TTAAATTAATATTTGTGATATTTGAGTTTTCATAAAATTAATTAAGCCTTATTTAAAAATACTTGTTTAACAAATTTAAAATATTTTTATTTTAAGTTTGTTTATTTCTAAAAACTTTCTGTTTTATAAAACATATTTAATTTTTCAGGTTGAATATATATCTTTAAAGTAAATTTTGGTTTTAAATCATAGATTTAATTTTCTTTTCATAAAATTTATAAAATAGAATAAAAAGAAACAATTAAAAATTTATATTTAGATAAAATTATTATATTGTAGATACAATTTTAAAAAATTATATGGTTAATTTTGTAATTTTACTGAGTTTCAAATATAAATATCTTTAATAGATGAATATACTGAAGTTTAGTTATTGAAGAGGGTATTTCTAAAGAATAAATAAAATCAAAGAAAGAAAAAAATTTTTAAGCAAATTAATAATAAAATATTGTGGTTACTAACTAACCTTTTAATAAATATTGATAAAATATAACTTTGAATGTAAAGTAAATCATTTTTTAAATTTTAAGTCTAGAATTTTGCTTTATTAGATTGAATTATTGTAAAGTTAAGAATGTTGGAAACGAAAAACCTTTCATTAAATATAACTCTTTATTCTGATAAAGCAACTCAAATTATTAAGAAAATGTGTAAAATATATAAACTGGTCAATAATTCATATATAGTCAGATGTACCAAAAACCCTCCTTATCCATTTATGTTCCAAAATACTTTAATGGTCAGTCAGTGTTTGGATAGATTCTGAAATTGCATAACAATACCTTTAATACGAAAGAACGAATTAATTAGGTAGATATTTATAAATGTTTTTTACAGAAAATGTTGATTTTATAGAAATTTCAAAAGATGAGATGCCTCAAGACTTACTGCGTTTTCAAAACGCAATAAGTTAACATGGTGGTCATCTGAAAAAATATTATCTGATATCTCCTGAAACTTTTAAATCGATATTACTTTTGAGAAAAAATGAAACAAACTAAACTCAATAAAATGTTATAGTTGAATATCTTCTAATTCTAATATTTCAGAATTAAATGTTAAGTACGTTGATTCTTTTAGATATTTTATTTGATTACTTAAATGCATTTAATTTATTTTGAGGTTAGCAATATCTTTAGTAAATAAAATTTGGTTAAATCTATAGGCTTATTTAATGTCATTGATATTGAGCTATTAAATTTAGAGCCACTATATTCATTGAATCTTAATAAAGGTAAACTTATTATTTAATTAAGCGCTATCAATAATAATATAATTTATTTAGACATAATTTATGTCTTTAATTCTAATTGAAGAGCTTATAATTTCATTTTAAATTGTCAAACTAAACTCTACTTGATTTTTATTCTAAATGAAAACATCACTGTTCAAACAATTAAAATATACATTCTATTATGAAAGCTATTAAGCTATACTTTAATCACAATCAAAGATTAAGTCTTAATCAAATATTTTACTAGATTTTATTGCTAGCTTCTGTATATTTACATCAATTAAATTATTACAAAAATAAATGCTTTTAAAAGGAACATACTGCACTTTTTTCTGTACTCAACTCTTAATAATTAATTTTTTATTGTTTTATAAATAATTTCAAGATATTAGTCTTTAAATTATTTTTCATTTTTTTTAATTAAATATCATAAATTAATAAAATAAAGGGAAATTAGCAATTACTAGAAAGATTTTTAATTTAAGATTGTGAAAGAATAAAATTTTTTGATGACATGATCAATAAAGTTTTTTCCGATACATAAAAATTGAAAAGCTAAATATTTGTAAAGAGGACATCCCAAATGAGAATCAAATAAAATTTCTTTTTTAAAGCATTGAATTTTTAATAATAAATTCATCTTTATTTAAAAATATTTGTAATTCAGCATGTTATTTATTATTCAAAAATATTAATTTGCGAAATAAGAGAGACAATAAACTAAAAATAGAATTTTTGATGCTTTTTTAAAAATATTTTAGAATTATTATGATAAACTTAAATACAATTTCATTTCAAAAAAATATTTTATTTTTTATTTAAAGCGAAATAATAAGAAAATTAAAATAAATATTTTTTTTATTTACATCAATAATAATAAGACAATTTTGAATGTTTTAATTGCATATTAATTATATCTATCAAACTAACATTATTTATTTATGAAAGGATATACTAAAATTGACTAAATACAAATATTTGAATTATTGTTATATATGAATTCTTCTTTTTAACTTTATATTTTAAAATTAATCTAAATAACAAATTTTACCTTGATACTAAATACAAAAAATTCAAAAAAATATTTTTATTAGATCAAATATCGAACCTCAATAATATATTTAAATCAGGTGAAAAATCAATCATCAATACTAAATAATTCATCTGATAAATTTACAATAATTGCGACTTAAACAAACTAGATTAAATAAATACATCAAATATTTATACTATTATTATTATTTTTTAATTATAATTTATCTACTTTATTTATTCTTAAATTTACATGTGTTCAAATATTTTTAATTGGGCTTATTACATACATAAAAAATACCAATGAATAATTATCAATTTTAATATTTTTTTTTTAAATAATAGAAAATAGGATATATATTTAAATTTTTTAATTGTGTCAATAAGATTAAAATTTTTGATAATAAATATCATATATTAATCATTAATAATTTTTTTCTATAATAATAATCATGTATAATAGGGATAAAAGCTAAATCAAATTAAAATTATGATATATATACTTCTAAAAAAAAGGAAAATATAATAATATCATATAATTAATTTGCGTCATATATGAATATTAACTCATAATTTCTTTGTAAAGCTAAATTATATTTTCCTTATCAAAAATAAATTAAAGTATCTTTTTAACAATCAAAAAGTAGGTAAAGCCTTTACAAAAAAATAGGAGATAAGAAAACTTAATCTGAATCTAAAAAAGGTAATCAAAAAAAGTAATGAAAACCAATTTTAGAAATTTATTTTTATAATCCTTCATTCATCAGAATTGAATATTAATTGACTCATATCTCTTTGAAAAGCTAAATTATATTTCCATATCAAAAATAAATTAAAGTATCTTTTTAAAAATCAATAAGTAGGTAAAGTCTTTACAACAAAATAGGAGATAAGAAAACTTAATCTTAAACTAAAATAGGCAATCAAAAAAAGTAATTAAAACCAATTTTAGAAATTTATTTTTATATAAATTGTTCATCATAAGAATTGAATATTAATTAACTCATAGTTTCTTTGTATAGCTAAATTATATTTTCCTTATCAAAAATAAATTAAAGTATCTATTTAAAAATCAAAAAGTAGGTAAAGTCTTTACAAAAAAATAGGAGATAAGAAAACTTAATCTTAAACTAAAAAAGGCTTTCAAAAAAATAAAGAAAACCAATACTAGAAATTTATTTTTATATAAATCCTTCGTTGATAAGAATCGAATCTGATTAGAGATCATTCAAAAGTATAAAAACTAAATAGAGATCTATATATTTTAAATATTACTTTAAATTAATAGAATAGTAAAAAAAGTAAAAAGCCTTATACATATTATGTTAGAAGATATACATTTTCCCGTATTTATTTTTTTAACATCAAAAACAATTGGTATAATAAGTAAATAAGAGTATATAACTAATACATTTCTTTGTAAATAACTTTTAAATAGTGGAGTAATGTAAGTTTTTATTTAAATATGTGGATTATTTTGATTGGTTAACTAAAATTTTTGATGAAATTCTAATAATACTCTTTTTATAATAAATGCGAATATATTCACAAATTTGAGTCTAAGAATGTTATTTATTATCTAAATATAAAAAATTTGATTTTAAGTTGAGATTATTTCCAGAGGCAACAATTAATTAATTAATCCATATTTTCCCAAATAAGATTACTTTTATAAATTATTATTTAAATATATTTTGAAATATGATTTTGAATCAAAAATAATCAATTACATCATTCATTCTATTTTAAAAATCATAAAAGTGTATTATCAATATTTCTTTTAAGCCAATTTATCCTTTAAGATGGGGTATATATTTTTATGGTAATTAAGAATTATGAAAAGCCCGTTCTATATATACATATCAAAAATTATTGTAAAATCAAAAATTAATTATTGCCCCACCATACTATGAAATAAATATATGGTTATTTCATAACTATTTGTTATTCTATAAATCTTGTTAAGAGAATTCTGAAATAAAATAATAGTCTTTAATCCAAATATTTTTTGAAGTTTGGTTTGTACCTCACTCAATTCAAATAGTAATGGTAGTATAAAGTGTATAAAGTATTCATTATTTGGTGCTTTTTAGGATGTTGTATTTTTCTAAATGATATAAAAAAAACAGTTTATTAGTTAAAATTAGAGGGCTTCTTTTTATAAATTTTTACCTTTTATATCGTTTTTTTAAATAGATTTTACTACCTAAAGATAAATAGCAAAGTAAATGTTTAAATTATAATAGGATAATAAATTGTCAATAATTAAAATATAAAGAAAACAAAATAAGATTAAAAAAAAAACAGGAAACTAAATTTGAATATTTATATTAATTGATATGGATATCAGCAAAATTTTTAACTAAATCTAATTAAATAGCTACTAAAACGCTAAAAATAATAATTAGTAAGTTTTTACAATTTAATTGTTTCTTGATATTGCTGAGAGTTTTACACAGCAAAAAGATGAACCAATTGCTAAAGATATACATTTTTTAACTGAATGCTACTCTACAAATATATACTAGAGCGAAGAGCTTCTCTACAGTGAAGATAGATAGATGTTGGAAGAAAGTGATTCAAGCAAACAGATACTTTAGATGATCTTTCATGCTAAAAATTCTAATCTAATGAAAAATATATTGAAGTCTTTCTAGAGATTTGTTGAAAATGAAAAGGATTCAAAAATCTAATAGTTATTTTGCAGGTTAGCAAAAGTCACTTATGGCTATCCTCAGCTATGCAAATTTATTAAATTCAGTCTAAAAAACTAAGGAAAAAGATGGAATATGAAGGCTAAAAATTTGGTTGAGAAGTCAAATTTGAAACCCTTGTTTTAATACTACTTAACAGATATTAACTAGCTATGGCTAGATAACAGCAAAGTTATAAATAAGAAATAACATGAAGAATTAAGTTAATTTCTACTAAAATATATTGAGGACCCAAAATAATGTTAGGAAATAAGATTTTACCAGAAAAAGAAATCAATTATTAAAAAAATATATTGATACAAAATATATTTAAATTTCAAAAAATATTTATAATATTTCATTTTATCATAATTTAATGTACTCACTCAATCTATTTATCTACTTTCTAAATTAATTTGTATTTATTTGCCTTTATAAAGATAATTTAAAAAATTAAATCAATTAATTAATTATGGATTATTATCGTTACAAAAATTATTAAATTTATTTTTCTAAATCAAAATAAGGGATTTTATTACCTTTACGTATCTCTCTCTCACACTTTTAATTTTTTAATTACTGATTACTTATTTATTAATCTTTCTATTTACTTTTTTAAATATATTCTGTCTAAAATTTCTTTATCATATTATGGAAATAAAGGATATACATACAGTAAACTCTCAATAAAAAAGACCCCTATCAATTAAACCTCTCACTTTGACTTGGGAGGCTTAGGAGGAGGTAGAAGGGAATACGAGGAAAAGGGGAGAGGGTCTTAAATAATGAAAATTAACAGTATAAAAAAACAGATTTTATTTCATATTTTCTTATATTTATTTTTTATTTGATCATTTTTCTTCCATATTATTCTATATTAATTATAATTAATATAGTTGAGGATAAATTGATTAAATTATTTTTCTATTTATAATTTGAATAGCTTCATAAATAGATGCATATGAAATTGTTTCTTTTTCTTAAAACATATTTTTAATAATAACTTTTTATTTTTTGATCCACAGAAATTATATTTGAAGGCTCTCAAAAGACCATTATTCATACATAGCATTACAAATTTCATTAAATCAATTACCTATTTTATGATAATTATATGGTTCGTATATTTAAGTGCAAATTATACTGCTAATTATATTAATTAGGAGTTATACAGATTAATCAATTTTTTTAATCAATACAATTTTGCGAGCTCACCCAATAAGTTGCTTTTCTTTATATTTGCCTATTTTATAAATTGTTTTATCAAAATAAGGACTTTTTAACTGTATGTTTCTTAAATTTATCTCATTTATATCTAAAATGTAAGATTATGTATCAATTGATCATAATTTTTGATAATCACTTATATTATTACTTTGTTACTTGTAATATTAATTAACAAAATATTTGCAAGTTAAATACTAATTCATTATAAATCTATTAAATTATCACTAAACAATCTTAACAATAGCTTTTCTTATCTTTTAAATGAAATATTTGTAATATTTGAGTTTTCAATAAATTAAATTATATTTAAAAATACTTGTTTAACAAATTTAGTTGTATTTTTATCTTAAAGTAATTCATAAAAAAAAAAAAAATTTTTATAAAGTGTATTGATATATAAATTTTGTATGCTTTTCAGATAGACAGCTAATTAAATTCCTTTAAATTATTCAATAATATATAAAATATTATTTAAAAATATTGGAGGTTTTTCATTATCCAACTTAATTTACAATATATTAAATTTACTTGAAGAATTTTTGGATACCTTATGGTTTTTAAATTTTTACCTTATAATTAATTGATTTTCACAAATTTTTTTCCTATAATTTCAATAACATTAATTAGTATCAAAAGAGGTGGGGAAATTAAATTTGATTATAATGCTTATAATGCTTGAATCAATAAAAAGCAAGAATAGATAAATATAAAGGTTCAAATCAAATAGCTTTTCAGCAGCAATACATGGTGAAGTATTTAATTTTTTTATTCAATTTAAATTTATAAACCAAATATATATTTGGTAATTGCATATTTAAATTTGCAATCAACTTAATTATTTTTACTAGTTTCCAAACTAAATAAAATCAAAATTATATTATTATCTTCATCGTTCTCTCAATAAATCACAATGCAACAATTTTAATCTTAATAAATAAGTTTTTAAAAAATTATGGTTTGTTCATGATATAACAAAATAAAAAAACCTTTAAGATTACAATTTTATTTATTAGTTTTGATGTATTATCTTAATAATAGTTCTTAAATACTCATTTTAGTTGTTACATCTTAAATATTTCACTTTTTTTGAGGTAGAATTTATATCTTAAAGTATATTTTGTTTTTAAGTCATAAATGGTTTTTTTTTAATTTTATTTTCATAAATTATTTAATTCATAAAATGTTAAAATAGATTGAAAAAAACATTAAAAAATAATGTTATTAATCTTGTCACTTTGCTAAATATTTGGGTTTTGAGAATTTATAATTGATAAATAAGATGAAAAAGTAATGAAATGCAATTATTGAAGAAGATATATTCAAACAGTAAATTAAATTAGTGAATGAAAAAAATCAAAGCTTTCATAAATTAATTACAAATATTAAGGTGACTAACTTTTTTATAATACTGAAAAATTAGATGTAAAATAAATCGCTTTTAAATTTTAGATCTATCTAAATATCTTGGTTGGGTTTGTTTGTGTAAGTTTCATAGCTTATTTAGAAAAAAATTTAGAAATTATTCATTCATTGATAATTTCTTCCTATTACAGTTACGATTGTTGAGGTAGGTTCTATTTCTCTATTTGAGAGCTTTCTTTGTTTTCAATGTCTTAATGAGAAAAATTCAATATTTGATTAATGAAAAATGCTAGGAAATTTAAATTTTCTTATTTAGATATTTACTTTCAACCTGTTGAATGGCTATGTTAAGATCTTGATCTAGAATAACCGAAAAATTTTCAGCATCAAGTGTTAATATAGAAAAGAATTTTATAATTTTATTTTCTTCTAGAATTAGAGCTTCTTCTATTTAAATTAATTAAATTAAATTGTAAAACTAAATCTTTTTTGAATGGTTATTAACTATTAATCTTCCTTTAAATCTTCAGCTGTTATTTTCTACAAACATTCCTGATTACTTAGACCATTCAATAGCTATCAATAAATCTATAACAATTAAATAAATTTAGCATGCATAAAATAATAATTAGCTATAAATCATTTCATATTTGTTGATTTATTAAAAAAATTAAATATAATTTTGAAATCGTAAACGTTTTTATGCTTTTAATTAAATTAAAGTAACCTTTAATTTCTTACCTCCTAAACCTTTTTTATGCATCTACTTTTTGGGATTAGCGTTGATAAGTAGAATAATAGATGATATGATGGAATTAAATTTGATAATTTTTTAAAAAATATTGATAAAGTATCAGATTGATTGATGTTTATGATGAGGATAATTGATATAGATAGAGAGTAATTTAAAAATTATAGCCTGATAAATATAAATATGCGATAGATTCATGTTAATGATCATCATAAAAAAACAATTAAATATTATAGAATATGACTTAATTATTTTTAGATTAAATAAAATTACATTTTAAAATGTTTAATAATTGAATAATTTAGATAAATTTTTGCGATTTAATAATAAAATAAATTTATTATTGAGTTTGTTTTTACTATTTTACTTTTGTTTACTAAATTATTTATTAGACATAATCTGAAGAAAAAAATGTATTTTTGTTGTGATAAACTAATCCTAATTTTAAAAATGTATTTAATTATACATTTTTAGCATATGCAGAATAAGTTAACTCTAGAAAATTTATTTTAATTGAACTATGATTAGGAAAAAGTTGCTGAATGTATAAAAAAGATATAATTAGATATGGACAAGTATTAAATGATTAAAAACAGGAAGAATGGTAATTGTTTAAATAGTTAACAAATCATAAATAATCAATAAATAAAAAGGAAAAAATAAAATAAAAACAAGAAATACAGGAAACAAAATTTGATTATTTTTTATTAATTGAAATGCAAATAAGTAAAATTTTTAACTAAATCTAATTAAATAGCTGCTAAAAAGCTGTAAATAACAATTAATAAGTTTTTACTATTTAATTGTTTCTTGATGTTGCTGAGAGCTTTGCACAACAAAAAAATTAACAGATTGCTTAAGATATACATTTTTTGACTGAATGCGACTCTATTAATACATACTAGAGCGAAGAGCATCTCTACAGATAGATATTGGAAGTAAGTAATTCAAACAAACAGACATTTTAGATGATTTTCAATTCTAAAAATTCTAATCTAATGAAAAATATTTTGAAGTCGTTCTAGAGATTTGTTGAAAATGAATAGGACTTAAAAGTTTAATAAGAATTTTGCAAGCTAGCAAAAGTCACTTATGGCTATCCTCAGCTATGCAAATTTATTAAATTCAGTCTAAAAAATTAAGGAAAAAGATGGAATATGAAGGCTAAAAATTTGGTTGAGAAATCAAATTTAAAACCCTTGTTTTAATACTATTTAACTAATATTAACTAATTATGGCTAAATAACAGTAAAGTTATAAATAAGAAATAACATGAAGAATTAAGTTAATTTCTACTAAAATATATTGAGAATCCAAAATAATGTTAAGAAATAAGATTTTACCAGAAAAAGAAATCAATTATTAAAAAAATATATTGAAACAAAATTTAAATATCTAACTAATATTCCCATCAAGTCCTACTTTAGCTATTATTTATTTGGCTTAGCAAATTAACAATTAAATCAGTTGCTTATGGACTATAATCTTTATAATAAATTATTAGATTTTGTTAAGTAATTGATTTTAGATTGATTTTACTTCCTCCACCTCTCTTTCTCTATTTTTAATTTGCTAACTACTGATTATTAATTTATTTATCCATTAATTAAAAAAATATATTCTGTATAAATTTACTCGATTAAAGTATGGAAATAAAGGATATATAAAAATAAAAACTCTATTTCATATTTTCTTGTATTGTTTTAATATTTTGTTATGAAACTTCCATACTATTCTATATCAATTGTTAATAAAAAAGTAGATGATATACTGATTAAATTATTCTTTTATAAAATTTAAATAGTTTCTTTAATAGATGAATCTGAAATTATTTCTTTATTTATATTTTTAAAAATAACTTTTTGTATGCTAACCCACATAGATTATATAATTAAACTCTCTAAAGATCTTTATCCATGCCTAGTATTATAAAATTTTTAGAATTTATTGCCTTATTTAATAATAAATATAAGAGTTGACGTATGCAGCAAATTATACTGCTTTTTAGTTTACTTAGGAATAATACCAATTAATTAATTTTTAAAAATTTCAATCTAAAAAATTTTGAGAGGTTACCCAATAATTTCTCTTTGCTTTTTATCTGATTTATCTGCCTATTCTAAATTTTTTTTATCAAAATAAGGGCTTTTTAGTTATAAGTCTCTTGGATTTATCAAAAATTTAAGGTTGCGTAAATTGATTATTACTTTCTGATAATCATTTATATTATTACTCAGTTTCTTTAAATATGTATTAATCAACTACAATCAAGTTAAATAGTTATTTATTTTCAAATTGTTAAATTATCACTAATAGTATTTTGCAATAACTTTTCTAATATTATATATAAAATAAATATTAAAGATATTTTAGTTTTTCATAAAATTAAAATTCATTTCTAAAAACTTTCTGTTTTGTAAAGCATTTTGATATGCGAAAAAAAATCTAAAGGATCATTTTTATTTATTGAGTTATAATTGATTGCCTATTTCAGTTGATAAAATTTATTTCTTTAGTGATATCTTAAATAAATATTTCACTAAATTTCTGGTAGAATGAATATATATAATGAAAGTAAATTCAGGTTTTAAATCATAGATTGGTTAATTAGTAAATTATCTTTTCATAAATAATTTAATTCATATAATTTATAAAATGTAATAAAAACAAACATTAAAAATTGATATTTCGATTAAATTATTTTATTGTAAATACAATTTAAAAAAATAATATCATTAATTTTGTCATTTTGCTATTTTTCAGATATAAATATGTTTAATAGAAGAATAAATGATGAACTTGCAGTTATTGAAGAGATTATTTGTAAATAATAAATAAAATTAAAGAAAGAAAGAAAGAAAGAAAGAACATTCTCACCTAATAAAATATAATGGTGAAAAACTTTTTTATAAATACAGATAAAATACAATTTTTAATGTAAAATAAAATTATTATGCCACTTTAAATCATATTTTTTCTATTAAAACTCACAGTTCAAATCTATCTTAAAACTACACTTTACAGAGTTAACAATTCTCTATTTTAATATATAAATAATATTTAACCGAAGGTTAATCAAAAGTTGGTATAAATGGGCTCCTAAATTTTTGACATACTTAGTATATTATAGAATTACATTTTTTAATATATCAATATGGAATCAATCAATATTATTAAATTTTTTGATAATAAAAATCAAATATTAATCAATTATCAATATTTTCTATTACGATAATTGTAATAATAAGGATAAAAGCTAAATTAAATTAAAATTATGATACTTCAACAAAAAATTAAAAATATAATATCGTCATATAAACAATTTACTACGTCATAGATTTAATATCATAGCTTCTTTTAAAACTAAATTATTTTTTCTATATCAAAAATAAAATATTGTATTTGCTTCAAAACCATGTATCTAAAACTTCTTCAATAAAATAGGAGATAAATATGCTTTATCTTAAACTAAAAAAGTAAATAAAACTAATTTTAGAAATTTACTTCTATGAAAATCCCTGTATCAGAAGAGTTGAATCTAATTAGAGATAATTTAAAAGTATACACATTAAGTAGAGAGATCTTTATATAGTTGAAATATTATTTTATATTAATAGAATAGTAAAATAGTAAAAAGCTTTACATATGTAAACTTAAAAGTTGTTAATTTTACCTAATTTACTTTTTTAACGCCAAAAATTGCTGATATAATATTTAAATAAGAATATATAACTAGTATTTTTCATTATAAATAGCTTTTAAATAGTATTAGAGTCATGTAAACATTTATTTAAATATGTGGATTATTTTGATTTATAAACTGAAATTTGTGAGCGATTACTAATTTATGGTAATTGTGAATATATCCACAAAATATAGTATAAGATTGCTATTTATTTTGATTTGTTTATAAAAAATTTGATATTGTATTGAGATTAGTCACATAATCATAAATTAATTAATTCATAATGTACCCTGATAAGATTATTTTTATAAATTATTGTTTATATAAATATTTTTTTTAAACATTTTTGAATTAAAAATAATGATTTGCATCATTCAATATTTATTAAAAATTATAAGAACGCATTATTAATATTCTTCTTGAGTCGTTTTATCTTTTAAGATGGGGTTTGTTTTTTTTTGATGAATATTCAAAATCATAAAAAACAAACAGCTCTATACACATGAAAAATAATTATAAAATCAAAATTTAATTAATTATTACCCACCATACCCATGAAATATATTTTAGCTTTATAAATTTATTTGTCTATTAACAATTTTTGTTTATTGAATTCTGAAATGATAATTAACTCTTAATATTCCAAATATTTTTTGTAATAAAAACCGCACTTAAAATAATTCTTTTACTACATACAAAATAGTGATTATTTAGAATATTTTCTATGTTGCTTTAATCTAAATAATATATTAAAACTATTTATTAGTTAAAAATACAATCCTTTTTTTGTTAACTTTTACCTTTTACTTATATTTTTTAAAATATAATTTAAGAAAAGTAAACATATAAATGATATAAGGATGATAAGTTAGTTATCAATGATTAAAATAAAAAACATAATAAAATTAATAAGATAAACTGGAAATAAAATTTGATTATTTTTATTAATTGCAATGCAAATTAGCTAAATTTTAAACTAGTTCTAATTAAATAGTTACTAATACCCTGTAAATAATAATTAATCAGCTTTTACAATTTAACTATTTTTTGATGTTGCTGAGAGTTTTCTACAACAAAATGATAAACCAATTTCTAAGGATCTGCATCTTTTAACTGAATGTGATCTTAAAAATATCTAATAGAACAAAGTGTTCACTAAAGTGAAGATATGTAGATGTTGGATAAAATGACTCAAGCAAACTACTATTTTTGATGATTTCAGACGCTAAAAACTCCAATCTAATGAAAAATATTTTGAAGTCGTTCTAGAGATTTGTTGAAAATGAAAAGGATTTAAAAATTAAATAATTATTTTGCAAGCTAGCAAAAATCACATATGGCTTTTCTCAAGTATGGAAATTCATTAAATACAGTCTAAAATATTCAGAAAAAAGACGGAATTTGAAGGCTAAAAATCTGGTTGAGAAGTAGAATTTAAAACCCTTATTTTAATACTACCTAACAACTATTAAATAACTATGGCTAGATAACAGCAAAGTTATAAATAAGAAAAAGCATGAAGAATTAAGTTAGTTTTTATTAAAATATATTGAAAATCCATAAAAATGTTAGGAAATAAGATTTTACAAGAAAAGTACATCCATCAATTTTTCAAAAATATATTGATACAAACTTTAAGTAACAAATAATATTAATCATAATTAACTTTTTTATAATTTATTGTACTCTTTAAGTTTATTTTCTCAATTTATTTGTATTTATTTACCTTCACAATTTAATCATTAAATCAATTACTTATGAATTATGATCATTTTTACAAATTATTAAATTTCTTTTTCTAAATCAAAATAAAGGATTTTTAAGTTGATTTTTTTTCCTTTCTCCCTATTTCACTCTATTAATTTGCTAATCTGATTATTTATTTATTTTTAAATATATCCTGTATAAAATTTGAGAAAAAAAAAAGATTTCTTAATTAATCAAATTATTTTTCTGAAAAAGGAATAAATCAATTTCCAATATTCTGAATAAAATTGTTCAATTAATACATGGAAATAAATAATAGAAAAAAAAAATTTCTAATTCTTATTTTCTAAATTTACATTTATTTTATTATTATTATTATTCTCCCATACTATTCTATATTAATTTAGATTAATATATCAAAGGATATCTTGATTAAGTTATTCGTTTATATAAACTTTCGATTGCTTCAAAAAAGATGAGTATGAATTGGCTTCTCTATTTTAAAAATATATTTATTATAAATACCCTTTTGCTTACTTAATCAAAGAAATTATATAATTAGATTATTAAAAAACCATTTTCTATGCATAGCATAAAAAAATTTATTTAATTTTCATAATAAGAATAAAGATTGTGTATGTACTACTTAGTAAATTGTTTGGGAGTAATACTAATTAATCTATTTTTAAAATTATAATCAACACAATTTTTCTATTCCACCAAATAGTTTCTCTTTATTTTTATCTAAATCTGATTGATATTGATATTTAGATAAAAATTATTTTATAGTAAATAAAATTAAACAAAAAAATTATTAATTTGTCATTTTATTAAGAGTATAAATTTTACAAATTTAAATTTGTTATATATGATGAATTAACAATAAATTGCAATTATTGAAGAGGATATCTGTAAACAGTAAATTAAATTAAATAAAGAATATATCATTCTAGAGTCATAAATTAAAAAATGTAAAGGTTATCAACTTTTTTGATAAATTCTAAAAAATAAATTTGCATTTAAAATAAATCATTCTTAAATTTTAAAAATCTAGTTTAGTTTTTTCCATTTATTGCTTGAGTTTGTATAAATTTCATTGTTAAATCAAAAAAATTTAGAAATGATTCACTGATTGATAAATTCTTCTTATTGTTATTATTATCATTGATCTCGATTTGAGTTCTTGGTTGCTTTCATTATTTTTAATGTCTTATTCTTTTTATTCAGATTCCTTTAAAATATTTTAGGTATTGTTTTTTAAATACGCAAGTGTAATTTTTACATTTTTTTAAGTCAATTTATTTTTTAGGAGATAAGCTAGAGTCCTTTTTTTTTCCATTTTCTTACTTCTTATCTTTGCTATTGCTATTTTTCTTGTATTTACGTCACCTAATTTAGAGGATTTTTTTTTTCTTTGAACACTCATATCTTTTTCTTGTTCTAACTGAGCCATTAATTTTATTTCATCTATCTTTCTACTACTTTTCGATTATCACCTCTTCTGCTACTTCTACTTTTATTTCTTCTTCTTGAAGTTCTAAAGAAAGAAAGAAAGAAAAACGTTTGCAAAATTAAAATGATTTATTTACTTATTTACTTTCTGGCTAATCGCTGTGAGAAAATCTTGAATGAGAGTAACTATTTCTTGATGAGTTTCATCTTCTAAAAAATATTCAGAATCAAGTGTGAATATATAAAAGAATATTTTTATTTTATATGCTTATTGAATGAGAGATTCTTCTATATAAATTAATTAAATTGAAGTGTAAAACTAACTTTTTTGAATGGATGTTAATTATTTTCCTTCCTCTAAATCTTCCATTACTATTTTCTTCAAATTTTTAATTACTTAGATCATTCAACATTTATCAATCAACATAGAATAATTATTTAAATAAATTTAGTACAAAAAAATAATAATAAGAAATAAATTATTAAATATTTGTTCATTAGTTAAAAATTCACTATATTTGATAATAAATATCATATATGAATTAATAATCAATTTTTTCTATATTATAATCATGTATGTATAATAGGAATAAAAGCTAAGCCAAATTAAAATTATGATGTACTTCAAAAAAAAGAAAAATATAATAAATATATTATAATTAATTTGCGTCATATATATTATTAACTCATAGCTTCTTTGTAGAGCTAAATTATATTTTCCTTATCAAAAGTAAATTAAATTATCTATTTAAAAATCAAAAAGTAGTTAAAGCCTTTCCAATAAAATAGGAGGGAGATAAGAAAATTTAATCTTAAACTAAAAAAGGCAATCAAATTAAGTAAAGAAAACCAATTTTAGAAATTTATTTTTATAAAAATCATTCAATCATAAGAAAAAAAATTTGATTAGAGATGATTTTAAAGCATAAAAACTAAAAAGAGAGATCTATTTAGTTTAAATATTATTTTAAATTAATAGAACAGTAAAAAAAGTAAAAAGTCTTATACATATTATGTTAGAAGATATAAATTTTTCCTTATTTATTTTTTTAACACCAAAAATAATTGGTATGATAAGTAAATAAGAGTATAAAACTAATACATTTCTCTATAAATAGTTTTTAAATAGTGGAGTAATGTAAGTTTTTATTTTAATATATGGATTATTTTGATTGGCTTAACTAGAATTTTTGATGAAATTCTAATAATACTCTTTTTATAATAAATGCAAATATATTCACAAAATTGAGTCTAAGAATGCTATTTATTATCTAAATATAAACAATTTGATTTTAACTCGAAATTATTCACAGAAGCAACAATTAATTAATCCATAATAATCCCAAATAAGATTACTTTTACAAATTATTATTTAAATATATTTTGAAACACGTTTTTGAATCAAAAATAATCAATTACATCATTCATTCTATAATAAAAACTATAAAAGTGTATTATCAATATTTTCTTTAGAGTCAACTAATCTTTTAAGATAGGGGTATATATTTTTATAGTAATTAAGAATTATGAAAAACCCATTCTATTTTACACATATAAAAAATTATTATAAAATCTAAAATTAATTATTGCCCCACCATTCCTATTCTATAAATCTTGTTAAGATAATCGTGAAATAATAATAATACTCTATTACTTAAACATTTTTAGTAGATAGAACCTCAATTCAAAAAGGAATAATAGTATAAAGTATTCAATATTTGGTTCTTTTTAGGATGTTGTATTTTTCTAAATGATGTTAAAAAAACTGTTTATTAGTTATAAATAGAGGGACTCTTTTTGTAATTTTTACCTTTTACATAATTTTTTAAAATAGATTTTACTGTCTAAAGATAAATAGCAAAGTAAATGTTTAAATTATAATAGGATAATAAATTGTCAATAATTAAAATATAAAGAAAACAAAATAAGATAAAAAAAAAAATACGAAACAAAATTTGATTATTATTAATAATTGATATGGATATCAAAATTTTTAACTAAATCTAATTAAATAGCTACTAAAATGCTAAAAATAGTAATTAATAAGTTTTTACAATTTAATTGTTTCTCGATATTGCTGAGAGTTTTGCACAGCAAAAAGGTGAACTAATTGCTAAAGATATACATTTTTTAACTGAATGCTACTCTAAAAATATATACTAGAGCGAAGAGCTTCTCTACAGTGAAGATAGATAGATGGTGGAAGAAAGTGATTCAAGCAAACAGATACTTTAGATGATCTTTCATGCTAAAAATTCTAATCTAATGAAAAATATATTGAAATCTTTCTAGAGATTTGTTGAAAATGAAAAGGATTCAAAAATCTAATAGTTATTTTGCAGGTTAGCAAAAGTCACTTATGGCTATCCTCAGCTATGCAAATTTATTAAATTCAGTCTAAAAAACTAAGGAAAAAGATGGAATATGAAGGCTAAAAATTTGGTTGAGAAGTCAAATTTGAAACCCTTGTTTTAATACTACTTAACAGATATTAACTAGTTATGGCTAGATAACAGCAAAGTTATAAATAAGAAATAACATGAAGAATTAAGTTAATTTCTACTAAAATATATTGAGAACCCAAAATAATGTTAGGAAATAAGATTTTACCAGAAAAAGAAATCAATTATTAAAAAATTATATTGATACATAATTTATTTAAATTTCAAAAAATATTTATAATATTTCATTTTATCATAATTTAATGTACTCACTCACTCAATCTATTTATCTACTTTCTAAATTAATTTGTATTTATTTTCCTTTATAAAGATAATTTAAAAAATCAAATCAATTAATGATTATTATCGTTACAAAAATTATTAAATTTATTTTTCTAAATCAAAATAAGGGATTTTATTACCTTTCTGTATCTCTCTCACACTTTTAATTTTTTAATTACTACTTATTTATTTATTAATCTTTCTATTTACTTTTTTAAATATATTCTGTCAAAAATTTCTTTATCAAATTATGGAAATAAAGAATATACAGTAAACTCTCAATAAAAAAGACTCCTATCAATTAAACCTCTCACTTGAGAGGCCTCACTTAGGAGGATGTAGAAGGGAATACGAGGAAAAGGGGAGAGTGTCTTAATTAATGAAAATTAACAGTATAAAAAAACAGATTCTATTTCATATTTTCTTATATTTTTTTTTATTTAATCATTATTCTTCTATACTATTCTATATCAATTGTTATTAATAAAAATAAGGATATATTAATTAAATTATTTTTCTATTTACAATTTAAATAGCTTCATAAATAGAGGCATATGAAATAGTTTCTTTTTCTTAAAACATATTTTTAATAATAACTTTTTATTTTTTGGTCCACAGAAATTATATTTAAAGGCTCTCAAAAGACCATTATTCATACATAGCATTACAAATTTCATTAAATTAATTACCTATTTTATGATAATTATATGGTTCGTACGTATAAGTGCAAATTATACTGTTAAATATATTAATTAGGAGTTATATAGATTAATCAATTTTTTTAATCAATAAAATTTTGCGAGCTCGCCCAATAAATTTCTTTTCTTTATATCTGCCTATTTTATAAATCGTTTTATCAAAATAAGGACTTCTTAACTATAAGTTTCTTAAATTTATTTCATTTATATCAAAAATGTAAGATTATGTATCAATTGATCATAATTTGTGATAATCACTTATATTATTACTTTGTTACTTGTAATTTTAATTAACAAAATATTTGCAAGTTAAATACTAATTCATTATAAGTCTATTAAATTATCACTAAACAATCTTAACAATAGCTTTTCTTATCTTTTAAATGAAATATTTGTAATATTTGAGTTTTCAATAAATTAAATTATATTTAAAAATACTTGTTAAACAAATTTAGTTGTATTTTTATCTTAAAGTAATTCATAAAAAAAAAAATTTTTATAAAGTGTATTGATATATAAATTTTGTATGCTTTTCAGATAGACAGCTAATTAAATTCGTTAAAATTATTCAATAATATATAAAATATTATTTAAAAATATTGGAGGTTTTTCATTATCCAACTTAATTTACAATATATTAAATTTGCTTGAAGAATTTTTGGATACCTTATGGTTTTTAAATTTTTACCTTATAATTAATTGATTTTCACAAACTTTTTTCCTATAATTTCAATAACATTAATTAGTATCAAAAGAGGTGGGGAAATTAAATTTTATTATAATACTTAATATACTTGAATCAATAAATTTCAAGAATAGATAAATATAAAAGTTCACATCAAATAGCTTTATTTAATTTTTTTATTCAATTTAAATTTAGAAACCAAATATATATTTGGTAATTGCATATTTAAATTTGCAATCATCTTCATTATTTTTACTAGTTTCCAACTAAATAAAGGCAAAATTATATTATTATCTTCATCTTTTTCTATAAATCACTATGTAAAAATTTATCTTAATAAATAACTTTTAAAAAAATTATGGTTTTTCATAATATAACAAAACAAAAAAACCTTTAAGATTACAAATTTATTTATTAAGTTATGATGGATTATCTTAATAATGGTTCTTAAATATTCATTTTTGTTGTTATATCTTAAATATTTCACTGTTTTTCAGGTAAAATTTATATTTTAAAGTATATTTTGTTTTTAAGTCATAAATGGTTTTTTATTAAATTTTCTTTTCATAAATTATTTAATTCATAAAATTTTAAAATAAAATGAAAAAAACATTAAAAAATAATGTTATTAATCTTGACACTTTGTTAAATATTTGGGTTTCGAGAATTTATAATTGATAAATCAGAAGAAAAAGCAATGAAATGCAATTATTGAAGAGAATATATTCAAATAGTAAATTAAATTTACGAATGAAAAAAATCAAATTTTCATAAATTAATTACAAAATATAAAGGCGACTAATTTTTTTATAAATACTGAAAAAAATACAATTTAGATGTAAAATAAATTGCTTTTAAATTTTAGATCTATCTAAATATCTTGATTGGGTTTGTTTGTGTAAGTTTCATAGATTATTTAGAATAAAAATTAGAAATTATTCATTCATTGATAATTTCTTCCAATTACTGTTACAATTGTTGAGGTAGATTCTATATTTCCATTTAAGTACTTTCTTTGTTTTCAATTTCTTAATGAGAAAAATTCAATATTTTATTAATGAAAAATGTTAGGAAATTTAAATTTATTTATTTAGATATTTACATTCTACCTGATGAATGGCTGCGTTAAGATCTTGATTTAGAGTAACCGAAAAATTTTGAGCATCAAGTGTTAATATAGATAAGAATTTTTTTATTTTATTTGCTTCTAGAATTATTCTAGAATTAGAGCTTCTTCTATTTAAATTAATTAAATTAAATTGTAAAATTAATTATTTTTGAATAACCTTCCTTTAAATCTTCAGCTGCTATTTTCTACAAACATTCCTGATTACTTAGACAATTCAATAGCTATCTTTAAACCTATAATAATTAAATAAATTTAGCATGCATAAAATAATAATTAGCAATAAATCATTACATACATATTTGTTCATTTATTAAAAAAATTAAATATAATTTTGAAATCATAAACCTTTTTATGTTTTTAATTAAATTATAGTAACCTTTAATTTCTTACCTCCTAAATCATTTTTATGAATCTACTTTTTTGGATTAGTGTTGATAAGTAGGATAATAGATGAAATATAATGGAATTAAATATGATAATTTTTTTAAAAATATTGATAAGGTATCAGATTGATTGATGTTGATGATGATGAGGATAATTGATATAGATAGAGAGTAATTTTAAAATTATAGTCTGATAAATATAAATATGCGATAGATTCATTTTGATGATCATCATAATTGATTGATATTTATAGATTTTAAAAAGAATAAAAATATGAAAAAAAAGCAAGTAAAAATTATTGAATACAACTTAATTATTTTTAAATTAAATAAAATTACATTTTAAAATCTTTAATAATTGTAAAATTTAGATAAATTTTTGTGATTTAATAATAAAATAAATTTATTATTGAGTTTGTTACTTTTTACTTTTGTTTACTAAATTATTTATTTGACATAATCTGAAGAAAAAAATGGATTGTTGTTGTGATAAACTAATCATAATTTTAAAAATGTATTTAATTATTCATTTTTAGCATATGAAGAATATGTAAACTCTAGCTAGAAAAGTTATTTAAATTGAACTAGGAGTGGGAAAAAGTTGTTGAATGAATAAAAAAGAAATAATTAGTTATGGAAAAGTATTAAATGATTCAAAACAGGAAGGAAGGTAATTGTTTAAATAGTAAACAAATCATAAATTATCAATAAACAAAAAAGGAAAAAACAAAATAAAAACAAGAAATACAGGAAACAAAATTTGATTATTTTTATTAATTGCAATGCAAATCAGCAACATTTTTAACTAAATCTAATTAAATAGCTGCTAAAAAGCTGTAAATAACAATTAATAAGTTTTTACTATTTAATTGTTTCTTTATGTTGCTGAGAGCTTTGCACAACAAAAAAATTAACCGATTGCTAAAGATATACATGTTTTAACTGAATGCGACTCTATGAATATATACTAGAGCGAAGAGCTTCTCTACAGATAGATGTTGGAAGAAAGTAATTCAAGCAAGCAGGTGTTTTAGATGATTTTCAATACTAAAAATTCCAATCTAATGAAAAATATTTTGAAGTCGTTCTAGAGATTTGTTGAAAATGAATAGGACTTAAAAGTTTAATAACAATTTTGCAAGCTAGCCAAAGTCACTTATGGCTATCCTCAGCTATGCAAATTTATTAAATTAAGTCTAAAAAATTAAGGAAAAAGATGGAATATGAAGGCTAAAAATTTGGTTGAGAAATCAAATTTAAAACCCATGTTTTAATACTATTTAACTAATATTAACTAATTATGGCTAGATAACAGTAAAGTTATAAATAAGAAATAGCATGTAGAATTAAGTTAGTTTCTAATAAAATATGTTGAGGACCCAAAATAATGTTAGGAAATAAGATTTTACCATAAAAAGAAATCAATTATTAAAAAAATATATATAAACAAAATTTAAATATCTATCTAACAATTCGAATTTATACCTAACTCTTTTATATAATATACCCATCAAGTCCTACTTTAGCAATTATTTATTTGGCTTAACGAATAACAATTAAATCAGTTTCTTATGGACTATAATCCTTATAATAAATTATTAAATTTTGTTAAGTAATGGATTTTAGATTGATTTTATTTCCTCCACCTCTCTTTCTCTGTTTTTAATTTGCTAACTGCTGATTATTAATTTATTTATCTATTAATTTAAAAAAATATATTCTGTATAAAGTTGCTCTATTAAAGTATGGAAATAAAGGATATATAAAAATAAAAACTCTATTTCATATTTTCTTATACTGTTTTAATATTTAGTTATGAAACCTCCATACAACTCAATATCAATTGTTAATAAAAAAGTAGATGATATACTGATTAAATTATTCTTTTATAAAATCTAAATAGTTTCTTTAATTGATGCATATGAAATTGTTTCTTTACTTATATTTATAAAAATAAATTTTTGTATGCTAATCCACATAGATTATATAATTAAACTCTCGAAAGATCTTTATCCATACCAAGTATTATAAAAATTATTGAATTTTTACCTTATTATAAAAACAAATAAGGCTTGATGTATGCAGTAAATTATGTTGCTTATTAGTATACTTTAAGAGTAATACCAATTAATTATTTAAAATTTCAATCTAACAAATTTTGCGAGGTTACCCAATAATTTCTCTTTGCTTTTTATCTGATTTATCTGCCTATTCTAAATTTTTTGTATCAAAATAACAAACATATAATAGATAATAAGAATACGAACCAATTAGAGTAGTAAACCATTTTTTCAAATTTGCACATATTATATTATTATAAAATTAAAAATTAATTATTGCCCACCATACTTATGAAAAATATGGTTATTTCATAACTTTTTGTTATTCTATCATGTTAAGAGAATTCTGAAATAATAATAATATTTTTTAATCTAAGCATTTTTTGTAGTTAGTACCTCAAATCAAATAGTAATGGTAGTATAAAGTATTCATTATTTGGTACTTTTTAGGATGGTTTATTTATCTAAGTGATATAAAAAAACTGTTTATTGAATTTATTTAAAGAATTTTAGATTCCTTATGTTTTTTTAATTTTTTACCTAATGATTAATTGATTATCACAAATTTTTTTCCTATAATTTCAATTACATTAATTAGTATCAAAAGATGTAGGGAAAGTAAATTTTATTATAATGTTTACAGTGCTTGAATCAATTAATATTAAGAATAGATATTATAAAAGTTCAAATAAAATAGCTATTCAGTAGGAATATTTGGTGATGGATTTAATTTTTTTAAATCTTTCTTATATATTTTTACTAATTTCTATGCAAAATAAATTCAAGATTATATTATTGTCTTCAACTTTCTATCAATAAACAACGAGGTAAAAAATATAATCATAATAAATAACTGTTTAAAAATTATGGTTTGTTTATTCATAATAAACCTTTAAGACTACATTTTTATTTGTTAAATCATGATGGATTATTTAAATAAGAGTTCTTAAATATTTTTTTTGTAGCAATATCTTAAATATTTCACTTTTTTTGAAGTAGAATTTATATTTTAAAGTGTATTTTGATTATTAAATCACAAATAGTTTTTTAATTAATTTTCTTTTCATAGATTATTTGATTCATAAAATGTTTAAATAGAATGAAAAAAATTAAAAAATAATATTATTAACCTTGTCATCTTGTTAAATATTTGTGTTTTGAGAATCTATAATTATAAAATAAGATAAAAAGGCAATTAAATGTAATTATTGAAGTGGGTATTTTCAAATAGTACATAAAATAAACAACGAATGAAAAGTCAATCTTTCATAAAATATAAGGCGACTGACTGACTGGCTGGCTAATTTTTTAAAAAGTACTATAAAAATACCACCACTTTGGATCTAAAATAGATCACTTTAAAATTTAGATATCTTGGTTGGGTTTGTGTAAGTTTCATTGCGTATTTCAAAAAAAAATTTATAAATTTTTCACTTTTCTTCCTATTACTGTTACGATTCTTCGAGGTAGATTTATTCTCTCCATTTGAGTGCTTTCTTTATTTTGAATATCTTAATCTTTTTAATAAGTTTCTTTATTATTTGACCTGCTTATAGAATGAGAGCTCCTTCTATTTAGTTTAACTAAATTCAATTGTAAAACTAGATATTTTTTATGAATTTTAATTATTTACGTTCCTTTAAATCTTCAGCTGCCATTTTCTTCAAACCTTCCTGATTACTTAGATCATTCAAAAACTATAATAAAACTAGAATAATTAAATAAATTTACTATATATAAAATAATAACTAACAATAGATCCTTAAATATTTGTTCATTTATTAAAAAAACTAACTATAATTGTGATATTATAAACATTTTTATTTTTGAATTTAATTAAAATAAGTTTTAATTTCTTACCTTTTTTATGTATCTAATTTTTTGGATTAATATTGATGATTAGGATAATAGATATAATAAAATGGAGTTAAATTAGATAATTTTTTTTAAAATGTTGATAAATTATTTAATAGATTGTTGTTGATGATAAGGTTAATTGATATAGATAAGAATAACTTTAAAATTATAGCCTAATATGTTTAAATATATTATAGATTGATCAGGCAATTCGATTATATAGAAAATAATTATAAAAAGTAAAATATAGGGAAAAAAAAAGTAAAAATATTTTTTTTAACTTTATTGTTTTTAGATTAAATAAAATTACACCGATTAAATTGTTTAATAATTGTATAATTGAGATAAATTTTTGTAAATTAATAATAAAATAATTTATAAGATAGTTTATTACTACTTTACTTAGATAAATTTGTTAACTAATAATATTTATTAGACATAATCCTGAAAAAAATTGTACTGTTATTTTGAAAAACTTTTTAATTTAAAAAAAGGACTTAATAATTCATTTATCACACTTGCAGAAAATGTAAACTCAAAAAAGTATAATAAATTGAATAAGAAGTGGGAAAAAGTTGTTGAATGAGAAATATGGGTAAGTATTCTATTATATACAGGAAGGAAGGTAATTACTTAAATGAACAAATCATAAATTAACAATAAATAAAAAGTAAAAAATAAAAATAAAAACAAGAAATAAAGGAAAAAAAATTTGATTATTTCTATTAATTGCAATGTAAATTAGTAACATTTTTAACTAAGTCGAATTAAATTGCTGCTAAAAAGCTGTTAATAGCTATAATTCAGTTTTTTCAATTTAATTGTTTCTTGATGTTGCAGAGAGCTTTGCACAACAAAAAGATTAGCAGAATGCTTAAGATATAAATTGTTTAACTGAATGCAACTCTATGAATATATAATAGAGTAAAGAGATTCTCAAGAGTGAAGATAGATAGATTGTGGATAATTGTGATTCAAGCAATCATACTTTTTAGATGATTTTCAATACTAAAAATTCCAATCTAATGAAAAATATTTTGAAGTCATTCTAGAGATTTGTTGAAAATGAAAAGGATTTAAAAATTTAATAATTATTTTGCAAACTTGCAAAAGTCACCTACGGCTATCCTGATTTATGCAAATTTATTAAATTCAGTCTAAAAAATTAAGGAAGAAGATGGAATTTGAAGGCTAAAAATTTGGTTGAGAAATCAAATTTAAAACCATTGTTTTAATACTATTTAAAAAATATTAACAAATTATGGTTAGATAATAGTAAAGTAAGAAATAAGAAATAGCACGAAGAATTAAGTTAGTTTTTACTAAATTATATTGAGAATCCAAAATCATGTTAGGAAATAAGATTTTACCAGAAAAATAAATCAATTATAAAAAAATTATATTGATATAAAATTTAAAAAAATAAATCAATTATAAAAAAATTATATTGATATAAAATTTAAAAAAATAATAATATTAATAATACTTTACTCTTTTAAAATTTAATATATCTATCTTTCAAGTCTACTTGAGTAATTATTTATTTGCCTTTACAAATTAACAGTTAAATCAGTTTTTTAAGGGCAACTACAATCTTTATAATAAATTATTATATTTTGTTGCTATATTAAGGTAATGAATTTTATATTGATTTTATTTCCTCGTACTCTCTTTCTCTATTTTTAATTTGTTAAATTCTAATTATTTATTTATTTATCTATTCATTTTAAAAAATATTAAAAAATTATGGTTAGATAACAGTAAAGTAATAAATAAGAAATAGCATGAAGAATTAAGTTAGTTTTTACTAAATTATATTGAGAATCCAAAATAAATAATGTTAGGAAATAAGATTTTACCAGAAAAAGAAATCAATTATTTAAAAAATATATTGATATAAAATTTAAATATATAATAATATTAATAATACTTTATTCCTTTATAATTTAATATATCTATCAAGTCTACTTGAGCAATTATGTATTTGCCTTTACAAATTAACAATTAAATCAGTTTTTTATGGACTTCAATCTTAAAAATAAATTATAATATTTTGTTACTATGTAATGAATTTTTTATTGATTTTATTTCCTCCTACTCTCTTTATCTATTTTTAATTTGTTAAATACTAATTATTTATTTATTTATTTATCCATTCATTTTTCAAAATATATTATGTAGAAAATGCTCTATTCAAGTTATTAAAGTATGGAAATAAAGAATATTTAAAATACAATCAATATTTCATATTCTCTTATATTCTCTTATATTTTTTAAATATTTGATTATAAACTTCTATATTACTCTAAATCCCTACTCAATATCTCCATTCTACTGGGATGGTGATTGTCATTTTTTGTCTGTCTAAATTTTACTCAATTTCCCATTGGATATATTTATAATAATTTTTTAATGAGATAAATTACCGTAGATTCTCGTTAATTAAGTACAAGATTAATTAAAAACTTTTTTGAGTGGTATTAAAAAAATTGTAAATTTTTAATACATGGGATATTAAGGGGGCACTGGAATATTGACTAAGATTTTAGAGTAATCTTTATTAATATAATTGACAATAATTATTCCTTTATAAAAAATGTAAATAACTTTTTACATACATTCATATGAAATTATTTCTTTGTTTATATTTATAAAAATAACTTTTTGTATGTTGACTCACATAAATTTTATAATCAAACTCTCATAAGATCATTATCCTAGCGTAGTATTATAAAATCTTTTAAATTTATTATCTTATTTTATAATAAAAAAAAAGGTTTGATGTATGCAGCAGATTTTTCTGCTTATTAGTTTACTTAGGAATAATATCAATAAAAATAATTTTGTGAGGTCATACAATTATTTCTTTTTGCTTTTTACCTGATTTATCTGCCAATTCTAAAATTCTTTTATAAAATAAGAACTTTTTAAATATTTATCCCTTGGATTTATCTTTTTTATATCAAAATTTAAGGTTGCGTCAATTTGTTATTTATTTCTCAGTTTATTTGAATATTTTATTAATTAACTACAAAAAAATTCATTAATTATTAATTTTCAATATATAAAATTATCACTAAAAATACTTGACAATCATTTTTTCTAATATTTTAAATAATCTATTTGACATATTTGAGTTTTCATAAAATTGAGGTTTGTTTCTAAAAACTTTCTCCTTTATAAAGTATTTTGATATTTGAAAAAAAAACCTGAAGGAATATATTTTTAATTAATGAGTAATAATGGATTGCCTTCTCAGTTCATAAATACTTATTTCTTTAGTGGTATCTTAAATAAATATTTCCTCATTTTTCTGGTAGAATATATATAAATGAAAGTAACTTTTAGTTTTAAATCATAGGTTGGTTAATTACTTCATTTTCTTTTCATTAATTATTTGATTCATAAAATTATAAAATTGAAAAAATAGAATAAAAAGAAACATTAAAATATTGATATTTCGATAAAATTATTCTATTGTAATTACAATTTAAAAAAATAATATCATTAATTTTATCATTTTGATAATTTTCATAAAAAAATATGTTTAATACATGAATAAATGATGACTTGTAGTTATTGAAGAATGTATTTTAAAACAATAAATAAAATTAAAGAAAGAAAAAAGCACTCTTACTTAAATTAATAATAAAATATAATGGTGACAAACTTTTAAAAAAATACAGATAAAATACAACTTTGAATGTAAAATAAATCATTTTTAAATTTTAAGAGTTGATTTTTGCTTTTATGGTTTGGATAAGTGTAAGTTTCACATTTTAATCAAAAAAATTTACAAATAATTCACTCATTGATAATTTCTTCTTATTGTTGTTACTATTATTGAGATTGAGTCTATTCCTCAATTTGAGTGCTTTCTTTGTTTTCAATGTCTTAATCTTTTAATTCAGATTCTTTTAAATTTGTTAATATTTTAAGATATTATTTTTTCAACAAATAAATACAATTTTTACTATTTTCTGAGCTGATTTATTTTTTAGGAGATAGACTAGAGTCTTTTCTTTTTCCATTTTCTGACTTCTTATCTTTGCTAGAGCTATCTTTCTTAGGACTTCTGTCATCTCTAGAGGATTTTTTTTTCTTTGAGGACTCAGATCTTCTTCTTCTTCTATCAGACCCATTAGTTTTTTTTTCATCTCTCTTTCTACTGTTTTTTCGACTATCACTTCTGCTGCTTCTTCTAGTTCTTCTTCTACTTCCACTTCTGCTTCTATCTCTTCTTCTTGAAATTCTAAAGAAATAAACAAAGAAATATTAAATATTTAATTAATAAAAAATACTTAGAAAATTAAAATTATTTATTTAGTTATTTACTTTCTATCTGATGAATGGTTGCTTGAAGATCTTGATCTAGAGTATCTTCTTCTTCTACTTCTATCTCTTGATGAGCTTCTTCTTCTATTAATTAGAAAATGATTCAAGCGTGGATATTAAAAAAAATGTTATTATTTTACCTACTTCTTGAACGGGAGCTTCTTCTTCTATTTAAATTATTTAAATTAAAATAAAAAACTTACTTCTTTTGCATTGGTATTATTTATTTATTTACCTTCCTCTAAATCTTCCACTGCTATTTTCTTCAAACCTTCCTGATTACTTAGACCATTCAACAGTTACCAATAAACCTAAAATAAATAAGTAAATAAATTTATTACTCATAAAATAATAATTCATTATAAATCCTTAAATATTTGTTTATTTATTACAAAATTAACTATTTATTATTATTTTTATATCATAAAATATTTTTTTGTTTTCTATTGTTGGATGTAAATTTTTAATTTCTTACCTCCTAAATCTTTTTTATGCATCTACTTTTTGGCATCTTCTGCGTCTCTGACTTCTTTAAAAGAAACAAATGCGTACTTTCTCTAATATTAAATTTGAATATATTATTACAAAATCACAATTTAACAATAAATTAATAAAAAGTGAAATTAATGAAGAGAAATTATTTATTTTCCTTCTATTTTATTTGTAAAGTAATAATGGATAAAATAGCTTAATATATCTCCTTTTTTTATAATCAAACAAGTTACTTAATTATATCAATAAATAAAAAATAGCCATTTCTGAAATAATTAATTACTACTTATTTTATCATGTTTTAGTTTATTTTGCTTATTAATTTTCATTTTTTGGTTAAATAGAGCAAAAATAATGAATCAATCCAATTTGCTTAAAAAATATTTTTTCACAATACATTTTTTAATTCATTTGATTAAGTAAGCAATTAATATGGCTAATTTATTTATTAGCATCTATTTTTAGATATCGAAAATATTAAATATTATATAAATAATTTTGTTTATTGAAAAAATTCATATTATATATTATGCTTTCTTTCTCTCAACAATGATGATTTTAAATTAAAAGAAATTTTTTGTTGATTTTACTATATTATGGTAAGCTTATTGTTTTGCTGTTTGGGTGGTATTTAATCTAGGGAATATGAACATGTTGGTTGAATGGGTGGATGGAAGGATGGATGGGTAGATAGATGCTTGTTGCTTGGTATTTTGATGATGATGTTGTTGATTTTTCATTACCCAAATGTTTCTCTTAGCATAGAAAATTATTGATGATTGGTTGAATCGACTGGTGGGTTGATATTGGTAGGAAGGGTGTGTGGGTAGTTGGTCGATAGATACTCTCATTTTAAGAAGAATTATAAATCAAAGTAATCTAAGCAGAATTCAATTTATGATCATTTATTAATCATATTTTAGGGTAATTCTACTGACTCTAAATATAGGAGTAGGCAATAAAGAATGGGAGGATATTATTGAAAAGCTGCCCGAGGGTCAGTCATCGCTAGGTAGGAATATTTGTTCCGAGCTGATGCAATCATAATCTTAGAAAAATTGAAAAGTGCTTAGCTTCAAATTTCTGAAGTTAGCAATCATGTATGTATGATTTATTTAAATTAATACAAGATCAATAAAATAAGATGATGGTATTTTATTGATTGCTTGTCCAGCAGTTGATTTATGGGTCACTTTATTCAAAGTTTAAAAATTTTTAAATAAAAATCTTCAGTTTATTGCTAAATTTGTTAATAAAATGAATCTATTTACTCTCAAATCGACAGTGCATTCGCCAAACTTAGAAAACTCTTTCTCTAAACGTTTTTAATCTACATTCTTTGAAACATTCCCTATAAATAAACTAAACTAGCTCATGTTCTTTTTTTTGAAATATGTTTCTTAATATCTTATTTGATTTATATATTTTTTATATAACAAATACTTATAAAAAACAATATATTTTTTCATTTAAAATAACAAATAAATAAATATCCCTCAAATTTCATTCACTCTCCCAAATCAAAGCATGCATATATACATAAATAAATAATCAATCAATTTATCATAAATCATTTTATTATAATTCAATTTATAATAATATCTTCTTTCTAGATGCACTCATTATTTCACTTTACAAAAATAATTTCGTATTCTATCAAATTTAATATAAATTTCTTTAGTTATTTCTCTTGCTAAATCTACCTTTAATCCAAACTTATAAAATGTTATTTATTTTTGTATTCAATTCTTACATTCATAAAATAAAAATCCTACATAAAAAAACAAACTAACAATCAAACAAACAAACAAACAAACAAACACCATTTTAAATCAGGATAAATTAAAATCACTATATAAATAATAAGAAGAAAATTATAAAAATATTTTTTAATTAGAATTTTCTGAATTCTAGACTTTTTTCTTAGAAATATAAAAAGTAATTAATCAGAAATCTTTTTTTTATAAGCTATTAATGAAAGTATATTTTTTCTCATATCTTAACCAAAATGATCTAAAATTTCATCTATCTTGTCTAAAGTGGCTTCAGTAGTACCACCTATATCTTCTGCTTCTCCTCTTTTAATTGTGCATTTGATTAGAGAATAGAAAAAAAAAAATGGTTTAAATACTCCATAAAAAGCTAGTTGATGTTTAGTATGAAGATACTATCATCAATATTGCTATTTTAAATGCTAATCTATCTAAAATCAAATTATGCCTTTTATTTATTAAAATATTAGTTAGTATATAAATAGGGATGAAATAACTTTCTTAAAATTAATCTAGTTATAAATCTAATTGTTATAAATTAACTAATTTTTAAAATGCATTCACAAAGAGAAGAGCAGTGTCAGTTTTAATCTCATTTAATCTTTTTTGATATTAATTTTTCATTAGTGATTAAATAAATCTATCTTTTTAGTTTACCTCAACCATAATTTAAGTTTTCTCAGCTAAACTAATTCTTTATATAAGTTAGCTATCATAGCAACAACTTCATGCGAAATATTTGAAAGACTTTATATTTTTTAATTAAAATAAAATTTAGCAAATAATAAATTTACTCCATAAGTAAAAAAAAAGATCTTAAATTATGTAAAGACTCAATTCCTTATCAAAATTAAAACCCTGCACCAATATCCTAACAGTTTGAATCTCTTTTTATATTAACTTATTTACTTGAATATGTATACTTACTTCCTTTAATTATTTATATTTACATTCTCACTACTGTTAGCTTCTCTAAAAAACAAATCTTTCTTAAAACTTTATCTAATGATTTTATTTCAACAGAGTTAAGTCCTGTAAACCTTTATCAAATAAATATATAAAATTTCTTTTCAGACGTTTAATTTATTTTAAAAGTAAATATTTACCCGAAATTTAAGAAAAGCTTCTTTAGATGAGCAAAGTTTTATAAGTTATTTACTAAAGCATTGTTTGATACTTCTAGCTAATTGTTGCTTTAATTATTAAAATATTATTACTGCTATTTATTCTTACTCGCTTGTTATTTTAAGAAATGTAAAAGAAAGCTCTTACAATAAGTTCATTTTGAATGATGTTAAATTAGGAAATTTATTCATTTAGGTAGTAAATTAAAGAAGATTAGGATTGAGAGTTTTACCTTCTGCTAAAATTTCAAGATTATCTTAGCATAAATAAATTTTGCTATTTAAAAGTTTTTATTTAATAAGGTGGAGTTTTATTAAAATATTTTATTTCTGTTATGATAATGTATAATATTGCTTTCAATTTTTTTTATTAATTATATGTATTATTTAATTTTAGTGATTTTGCTATTTCACAAATCTATATAATCATCATTTTATTCAAAAAATTAGTAAATTAGATTGATTATTTGAAACAAAAATTTGAGAAAGAAAAGTAGAAATAAATGCCAAAAATAAAGGTATTGGAGTTTTTTAAGAATTTAGACATATTCTCTGAATCAATTTAATTTAATGCAAGTAAATAATAATTAAAAAAAAGAACTATTTTCGGTTCTATTTTAACAATCATAATTGTTATTTTAACTGGCATTTACTTCTTTTATTAATCATACCTCTACTTTGATGGATAGATGGAACCTAATGTTAGATAACAAGGTATAGTATCTGATGGGATTGATGTTTAATTAAATAGTGATATGTTTGCATTTGGTTATTATTCACTCTTATAGGGTAAAACTTTAATGGAATTAGAAGAAGAGTAAAATAAAATATATAAAGTATTTTTGAGTTATTATATATCCTCAAATAATAATAAATTTCAAATTATACGATTGAATATAGTAAAATGTTAAAATCCATAATTAAAAGGCTTTTACTGCTTAGATTTGAGTTAAAATCCTGATCTTAAGTTAACTAATTTAGCAGACTTTAGTAAATTATTTTCATACTTAACTCTAATCACATATAATTGCTAAGATACTGATTAATACAAAACCACTGTTCCAGATAATTGTGCAGACTAATAATCAATAGACTAATTTGATTTAAGTTATGGATTTTTTTATAAGATATAAACTTCTTATTTTAACACATCTTCATAGGTCGTTTAAGATCAATATAAGCTGATATAAAGTCCGTCTATGAAAAATCAATTTATTTATGAAGAATTACAAATTTAAAAAGCAATTACTTAAGTTAAGAAAGGGTTTTTAATTTAATAAAAAGAAATTTACTCTTTTTTAAATTCGTTTAATCATTAAACCTATGCTTATTCTCGTTCAGAATTAATTTAAAATAAAAGTAATAAAATGTTATCTCAAATAACATTTAGATTAGATGAGAGCATTATTTACTATAATATTTAATACCCAATATTTACTCAAGTTTTAGCTCTTTGTAATAGTGTTTTAGCTTTGCTTCTACTTTTAGGGTATTTTTGCAGAAAGATGGCACAAAGTTTTATTCGAAGAGACATTTTTTTTATATTATTACAAAACTTATTTTTAGGTACATATTTAAAAGTCATTAATTGTAACAAGATTGTCAATTTTAATGAACAATTTTAAGAATAATAAATGAATTAAAATCATGAAAATTAGCAAACTTAAACTGAATTAGAATAAGAATAAGAAAGTCAACATAATATTTTACCATAGAGTTTGACACCAAAATCTAGTTAAATTGTATTTCGGTAGTTATTGACTAGCAATAGCGAAAAAAAAGAAAATGACTTTATTAAAGAAGAGTATGAATAAGAACAGCCAAATGAAATTTTTAAATAAAAAAATTAGGATAAATAATAAAACCTCAAACTAAATCTAAATAGGGTAGAGACATTTTAGAATTCTATAAAGTTAGAAAAAAAATTGAGAGTTTTTGTCCCAAATGTTTAAAGAAATGAATCATTTTATTAATAAAAATCAAATTTCTAACAGAAAGGATCTAATAATATAAAAATTAAGGATCTATCAAAAACTCAAAACAATTATAACATTTTTAAGAATGTTAACTAACTAAATCAACCTGGTATTTAAAAAAGTTAGATTAAAAATATTAATGTTATTAAATAGCAAATATACTAGAATTTCAAAAATTTAAATAATATTTCTATCTAGCAGAGACTTGAGAAAATTCTATTTTCAAATAGGTAAAATTCTTTACTTAATTTTCAATAAACTTTAATTTGGCAAGCAAAGCTTAAAATTTTATTCAATTATTTTTAAGTTTATTGAATAAATATATTAAATATTTATTACTTTCAACTGTTTAATAGATTATTCAAGCGTAAGGAGTTTTTAAAATCTGTAGGATTTGATCAAGATGCTTAAGTTTAATTAGAAAAATCTATAGATGATAGTTTAGATTTTTTTAAGTTTTACAAGGAAATATTATTTTTAAAAAAAGCTGTGATGATTTTATTAAGTAAAGAATAACTTGCTGCTTTAAATCTTGTAGGAATAGCAATTGAATCAATAAGGCCAAATTAGGGTAACACATCGACGAGTAAATTATCAGGTATTCTTCTATTTATCTAATTAAAGGCTTAAAGTTTATTAATTTTTATTTTAACTAGATGAAATGAATTTAAATCACCTCTAAGAGTAATTTAAAATATTCTAATCAAAAGAGTTACAATTAGAATAAATTAAACTCTTCTTATCAAAATGTGAAAACAGACAAAATCTAGATGTAATTGATTATAGAATACTATCTTCTATAATACTAAATTAGTCGAACTGATAATACCATAAATACTTGTTACTTCTATCTATCTATCTATCTATCTATCTATCTATCTATCTATCTATCTTATTTTAAGAACTTGAAAATTTAAAATAGTAAAATAAAAAACAAAAATAAATATTAGAATATTTTATATCCACAAATCCATACTCTTTAACTAATAATAAGTATATAAAAATAACAAATGCTATATCTTATATGATATATACTGATCTGTAGCCTTTCTCGATAGTTGAGGATAATGGTTTTTAAAATTGATTGATACTCTGCATCCTAGATAAAAAATAACTATAAATTAGATAAAATTTATTAAATTTAAAAATTAAATCCTTTTTTTAAAGTTTATAAAATAAAATTTATAATTATAAGTAACATTGTTTATTTTTTTTTTTTAATATTTTTATTGAAGTTAAAATCAAAATAGTAAAATTTAATAAACTCATATTTCAGATTGGAATCTGTAATTTTATGAGATTTATTAGTAGTTTCTTTTATTTTATTACAAAATATTTTTATTTAATTTATAAAGCTAACTCAAAACTTCTTTTTTTCTTTAAAAATATTTTCAAAACGAATTTTGATTTTATTTGAATAGTAATTAATTAATATTTTCTTTAAGATATTATACAAGAGGAAAAGTGTGGTCTGGCTGGAACTAAACTTTTTAGACTACTTTTTAAAGATTTTTATAATATATTCTAATTACACAATTACTACAAGTCAAATAACAGATTTGGCAAATATTTTACTACAATACACTATATAAAAATAATTCACATATTATTAAAATAACATAAACAATTAATTGTAAAATTATTTATTGATTACTCCATAATCTACAACTTAATTTACAATATATTAAATTTACTTGACCTTATTGTTTTTAAATTTTTACCTAATAATTAATTGATTTTCACAAATTTTTTTCCTATAATTACAATAACATTAATTAGGATCAAAAGAGGTGCGAAAATTAAATTTTATTATAATGCTTATAATGCTCGAATCAATAAATAACAAGAATAGATAAATATAAAAGTTCAAATCAAATAGCTTTGCAGCAGCAATACATGGTAACGATTTTAATTTTTAATTCAATTTAAATTTAGAAACCAAATATATATTTGGTAATTGCATATTTAAATTTGCAATTATCTTAATTATTTTTATTAGTTTCCAAACTAAATAAAGCAAAATTATATTATTATCTTCATCTTTTTCTATGAATCACTATGTAAAAATTTTAATCTTAATAAATAACTTTTAAAAAAATGTAGGTTTGTTCATGATATAACAAAATAAAAAAACCTTTAAGATTACAATTTTATTTATTAATTTTTGATGTATTATCTTAATAATAGTTCTTAAATATTCATTTTTGTTGTTACATCTTAAATATTTCACTGTTTTTGCAGTAGAATTTATATTTTAAAATATATTTTGTTTTTAAGTAATAAATGTTTTTTTATTAAATTTTCTTTTCATAAATTATTTAATTCATAAAATGTTAAAATAAAATGAAAAAAACACTAAATAATAATGTTATTAATCTTGTCACTTTGTTAAATATTTGGGCTTTGAGAATTTATAATTGATAAATAAGATAAAAAAGCAATGAAATGCAATTATTGAAGAGGATATATTCAAACAGTAAATTAAATTTACGAATGAAAAAAATAAAACTTTCATAAGTTAATTACAAAATATAAAGGTGACTAACTTTTTTGTTCATAATAAAATAAATACAATTTAGATGTAAAATAAATCGCTTTTAAATTTTAAATTTAAATATTTTGGTTGGGTTTGTTTGTGTAAGTTTCATAGCTTATTAAGAATAAAAATTAGAAATTATTCATTCTTTGATAATTTCTTCCTATTACAGTTATGATTTTTTGATTCTATTTCTACATTTGAGTGCTTTTTTTGTTTTCAATGTCTTAATGAGAAAAATTTAATATTTGATTAATGAAAAATGCTAAGAAATTAAAATATTTTTATTTAGATATTTACTTTCTTTCTACATGTTGAATGGCTAAGTTAAGATCTTGATCTGGAGTAACCCAAAAAATTCAACATCAAGTGTTAATATAGAAAAGAATTTTTTATTTTATTTGCTTCTAGAATTAGAGCTTCTTCTATTTAAGTTAATTAAATTAAATTGTAAAACTAATTCTTTTTGAATGGTTATTAATTATTAACCTTCCTTTAAATCTTCAGCTGCTTTTTTCTAAAAAACTATACTTATTACTCAGACCATTCAATAGCTATCAATAAAGCTATAATAATTAAATAAATTTAGCATACATAAAATAATAATTAGCAATAAATCATTACATATTTGTTCATTTATTAAAAAAATTAAATATAATTTTGAAATCATAAACCTTTTTACGTTTTTAATTAAATTAAAGTAACATTTAATTTCTTACCTCCTAAACCTTTTTTATGCATCTACTTTTTGGGATTAGTGTTGATAATTAGGAAAATAGAAGTAATATGATGGAATTAAATTTGATAATTTTTAAAAAAATATTTACAAAGTATCAGATTGATTGATGTTGAGGATGATTGATATAGATAGAGAGTAATTTTAAAATTATAGTCTGATAAATATAAATATGCGATAGGCTCATGTTAATGATCATCATAATTGATATTTATAGATTTTAAAAAGAATAAAAATATGAAAAAAAAGCAAGTAAAAATAATAGAATATGGCTTAATTATTTTTAGATTAAATAAAATTAAATATTAAAATGTTTAATAATTGTATAATTTAGATAAATTATTGTGATTTAATAGTAAAGTAAATTTATTATAGAGTTTATTACTATTTTACTTCTGTTTACTAAATTATGTATTAGATGACGTAATTTGAAGAAAAAAATATATTGTTGATGTGATCAACTAATAATAATTTTAAAAATGTATTTAATTATTCATTTTTAGCATATGAAGAATATGTAAAATCTTGAAAAGTATATTAAATTGAAATAGTAGTGGGAAAAAGTTGTTTAATGGATAAAAAAGATATAATTAGTTATGAACAAGTATTAAGTGATTCAAAACAGGAAGAAAAGTAATTGTTTAAATAGCAAAGAGATCATAAATTATAAATAAATAAATAAAAAGGAAAAAACAAAATAAAAACAAAAAATACAGGAAACAAAATTTGATTATTTTTATATATTACAATGCAAACTAGTAAAATATTTAACTAAATCTAATTAAATAGCTGCTAAAAAGCTGTAAATAACACTCAATAAATTTTTACTATTTAATTGTTTCTAGATGTTGCTGAGAGCTTTGCACAACAAATAGATTAAACGATTGCTAAAGATATACATGCTTTAACTGAATGCGACTCTATGAATATATACTAGAGCGAAGAGCTTCTCTACAGATAGATGTTGGAAGAAAGTAATTCAAGCAAGCAGGCGTTTTAGATGATTTTCAATACTAAAAATTCCAATCTAATGAAAAATATTTTGAAGTCGTTCTAGAGATTTGTTGAAAATGAACAGGACTAAAAAGTTTAATAAGAATTTTGCAAGCTAGCCAAAGTCACTTATGGCTATCCTCAGCTATGCAAATTTATTAAATTCAATCTAAAAAAATAAGGAAAAAGATGGAATATGAAGGCTAAAAATTTGGTTGAGAAATCAAATTTAAAACCCTTGTTTTAATACTATTTAACTAATATTAACTAATTATGGCTAGATAACAGTAAAGTTATAAATAAGAAATAACATGAAGAATTAAGTTAGTTTCTACTAAAATATATAGAGAATCCAAAATCATGTTAAGAAATAAAATTTTACCAGAAAAAGAAATCAATTATTAAAAAAATATATTGAAACAAAATTTAAATATCTATCTATCTAACAATATGAATTTATATTTAACTCTTTTATATAATATTCCCATCAAGTCCTACTTTTGCTATTATTTATTTGGCTTAATAAAAAAAAATTAAATCAGTTGCTTATGGACTATAATCTTTATAATTAATTATTAAATTTTGTTTAGTAATTGATTTTATTTCCTACACCTCTCTTTCTCTATTTTTAATTTGCTAGCTACTGATTATTAATTTATTTATCCATTTATTTAAAAAAATATATTCAGTCTTAAGTTGCTCTATTAAAGTATGGAAATAAAGGATATATAAAAATAAATAAAACTTTATTTCATATTTTCTTATACTGTTTTAATATTTAGTTATGAAGCCTCCTCCATACAACTCAATATCAATTGTTAAAAAAAAAGTAGATGATATACTGATTAAATTATTCTTTTATAAAATTAAAATAGTTTCTTTAATAGATGCTTATGAAATTCTTTCTTTATTTATAATTATAAAAATAGCTTTTTCTATGCTAATCCACATAGATTATATAATTAAACTCTCTAAAGATCTTTATTCATGCTAAATTTTATAAAATTTATAGAATTTTTACCTTATTTTATAATAAAAAAAGTCTTGATGTAAGCAGCAAATTACGCTGCTTATTAGTTTACTTTATTTATGAGTAATACCAATTAATTAATTTTTTTAAATTTCAATCTAAAAAATTTGCGGGGTTACCCATTAATTTATCTTTGCTTTTTATCTGATTTATCTGCATATATATATATAACAAAAATTATTATAAAATCAAAAATTAATTATTGTCCCACCATACTATACTTATGAATTATATATATGGTTATTTCATAACTTTTTGTTATTCTATAAATCTTGTTAAGAGAATTCTGAAATAATACTCTTTAATCTAAACATTTTTTGTAGTTAGTACCTCAACTAAAATAGTAATGGTAATAGAGTATTCATTATTTGGTACTTTTTAGGATGGTTTATTTATCTAAGTGATATAAAAAACTGTTATTAGTTGAAAATAAAGGGACCCTTTTTGTAAACTTTAACTTTTTACATTATTTTTAAAAATAGATTTTACTGTCTAAAGATAAATAGCAAAGTAAATGAAAGAAGACTTTATCAGAAAAAGAAATGAATTAATTATTTAAAAAATATGTTGATACAAAATTTATTTAAATTTCAAAAAACATTTATAATATTTAATTTTATCATAATTTAATGTACTCAGTCAGTTAGTGAATCTATCTATCTACTTACTTTCTAAATTAATTTGTATTTATTTCCCTTTATAAAGATAATTAAAAAGTCAAATCAATTACTTATGGATTATTTTCGCTATAAAAAATAATTAAATTTATTATTCAAAATTAAAATATGATATTTTAGATTGATTTTATTACATTTCTATATCTCTCACTTAAACTTTTATTTTTTTAATTACTGATTACTTATCTTTCTATTTACTTTTTTAAATATATTCTATCTAAAATTTCTCTATTAAATTATGATGGAAATGAAGGATATATAGTAAACTATGCTTAAAAAAACCCCTATTAATTAAACCTGCTCACCCAATAATTTTCTTTACTTTATATCTTATTTATCTGCCTATTTTATTAATTTTTTTGTCAAATAAAGGACTTTTTAACTTGTAAGTTTCTTGGATTTATCTATTTTATATCAAAAATTTAATGTTGTGTTTTAATTGATCATTACTTGTGATAATCGCTAATATTATTACTTTGTTGTAATATTAATTAACAAAATATTTGCAAGTTAAATGCTAATTCATTATAAGTCTATTAAATTTTCACTAAGCATTCTTAGCTATATAGCTTTCCTTATCTTTTAAATGAAATATTTGTGATATTAGAGTTTTCAATAAATTAAGTTACATTTAAAAATACTTTTTCAACGAATTTATAATAGCTGTATTTTTATCTTAAAGTGATTCATTAAAAAATTTTTTTGATAAAGTGTTTTGATATATAAAATTTGTATATTCTCCATATAAATACTGATTAAATTCCTTTAAATTGTTCAAAAACATTTAATATTATTTAAAAATATTGGAGGGAGAATGAATTTTTCATTATTCAACTTAATTTACAATAAATTGATTGAATTTACTTGAAGAATTTTTTGATTCCTTATGTTTTTTTTTATTTTTTACCGAATAATAAATTGATCTTCACAAATTTTTTTTCAATATAATTTCAATAATATTAATTAGTATCAAAAGAGGTGGGGAAAGTAAATTTTATTATAATTTTTACAATACTTGAATCTATTAATATTAAGAATAGATATTATAAAAGTTTAAATCAAATAGCTATAATAAATATATGGTGATGGATTTAATTTTTTTAAATCTTTCTTATATATTTTTACTAATTTCTAAGCAAAATAATAAATTGAAGATTATATTATTGTCTTCATCTTTCTCTCAATAAACAACTAGGTAAAAACTATAATCTTAATAAATAATTGTTAAAAAATTATGGTTTATTCATAATAAACTTTTAAGACTACATTTTTATTCGTTAAATCATGATGGATTATTTAAATAAGAGTTCTTATATATTTATTTTTGTAGCAATATCTTAAATATTTCATTTTTTTTGAAGTAGAATTCATGTTAAATGTTTGTGTTTTGAGAATTTATAATTATAAAATAAGATGAAAAGGAAATTAAAAGTAATTATTGAAGTGGAAATTTTCAAACAGTAAATAAACAACGAATGTAAAAATCAATCTTTCATAAATTAACTATAAAATATAAAGGCGACTGACTGACAACTAACTTTTTTATAAGTACTATAAAAATACCACCACTTTGGATCTAAAAGAAATCACTTTAAAATTTGTATATCTTTGTTGGGTTTGTGTGAGCGTATTTCAAAAAAATTTATAAATTATTCACTTTTCTTCTTATTACTGTTACGATTATTCGAGGTAGATTCTTTCTCCCCATTTGAGTGCTTTCTTTATTTTAAATATCTTAATCTTTTTAATGAGATTCTTATAAAATTGATTGATACTTTCAGTTATTATTTTTTTAATAAACAAATGTAATTTTTACTATTCCCTAGCTGGTTTATTTTTTAGGAGATAGACTAGAATCCTTTCTTTTTTAATTTTCTGATTTCTTATCTTTACTAGGGCTGCCTTCTTAGGGTTTCTGTCATTTTTAGTGGATTTTTTTCTTTATGACTCAGATATTTTTCTTCTCCTATATGAGCTGTTAGTTTTTTCCATCCCTCTTTCTACTATTTTTTCGACAACCACTTTTGCTGCTTCTTATAATCCCTCTTCTACTTTCGCTTCTGCTTCTATCTTTTCTTCTCGAAGTTCTAAAGAACAAATAAAAATTGAACAATTAAATTATGAAAAATGTTTCGATAATTAAAAATTTTTATTTAGGTAATAATTACTACCTGATGAATGGCTGCTTGAAGATCTTGATCTTTTGTAATCGAAAAATTTTCAGCATGAAGTGTGAATATATAAAAAAATTTTATTATTTGACCTGCTAAAAGAGTGAGAGCTTCTTCTATTTAGTTTAATTAAATTCAATTGTAGAACTAACTATTTTGTATGGGTATTTATTATTTAAGTTCCTTTAAATCTTCAGCTGCAATTTTCTTCAAAACTTCCTGATTACTTAGATCATTCAGCAGCTACAATAAAACTAGGAATAATTAACTAAATTTACTATATATAAAATAATAATTAATAATAAATCCTTAAGTATTTGTTCATTTATTAAAAAAACTAACTATAATTTTGATATTATAAACATTTTTATTTTTGAAATAAATTAAAGTAAGTTTTAATTTCTTAGCTCCTATACCTTTTTATGTATCTCGTTTTTTGGATTAATATTGATAATTTGGATGATAGATATAGTAAAATGGAATTAAATTAGATAATTTTTTTAAAAATATTGATAAATTATTTAATAGATTGATGTTTATGATGAGGATAATTGATATAGATAAGAATAATTTTTAAATTATAGCTTAATAAATATAAATATATTATAGATTGATCTGGAAGATCGGTTATTTTGAGAATAATAAAATATGTGGAAAAAAAAAAAAGATTAAAAATTTTATATTTTAACTTAATTGTTTTTAGATTAAATAAACTTATACACATTAAAATATTAAAATGTTTAATAATTGTATAATTGAGATAAATTTTTGTAACTTAATAATAAAATAAATTTATAAGATAGTTTATTACTACTTTACTTAGATAAATTTGTTAACTAATAATATTTATTAGACATAATCCTGAAAAAAATTGTACTGTTTTTTTGAAAAACTAATCTTAATTTAAAAAATGTGCTTAATAATTCATTTATCACACTTGCAGAATGAATATGTAAACTCTAAGAAGTATACTAAATTGAATGAGAAGTGGGAAAAAAGTGTTGAATGAGAAAGATGGGCAAATTTTCAATTATATACAGGAAGGAAGGTAATTGGTTAAATACTGAACAAATCATTCATGATCAATAATTAAAAAGTAAAAAAACAAAATAAAAACAAGAAATACGGGAAACAAAATTTGATCATTAATATTAATTGCAATGTAAATTAGTAATATTTTTAACTAAGTCTAATTAAATTGCTGCCAAAAAGCTGTTAATAGCTATTATTAAGTTTTTTCTATTTAATTATTTCTTGATGTTGCAGAAAGCTTTGCACAACAAAAAGATTAGCAGAATACTGAAGATATCAATTGTTTAACTGAATGCAACTCTATGAATATATAATAGAGCGAAGAGATTCTCAAGAGTGAAGATAGTTAAATGGTGGATAAATGTGATTCAAGCAAGCATACTTTTTAGATGATTTTTAATACTAATAATTCCAATCTAATGAAAAATATTTTGAAGTCATTCTAGAGATTTGTTGAAAATGAAAAGGATTTAAAAATTTAATCATTATTTTGCAAGCTAGCAAAAGTCACCTATGGCTATCCTGATCTATGCAAATTTATTAAATTCAGTCTAAAAAAATAAGGAAAAAGATGGAATATGAAGGCTAAAAATTTGGTTGAGAAATCAAATTTAAAACCTTTGTTTTAATACTATTTAAAAAATATTAACAAATTATGGTTAGATAACAGTAAAGTAAAAAATAAGAAATAGCACGAAGAATTAAGTTAGTTTTTACTAAATTATATTGAGAATCCAAAATAATGTTAGTAAATAAGATTTTACCAGAAAAATAAATCAATTATTAAAAAAATATATTGATATAAAACTTAAATATATAATAATATTAATAATACATTACTCTTTTAAAATTTAATATATCTATCTATCAAGTCTACTTTAGCAATTATTTATTTGCCTTTATAAATTAACAATTAAATCAGTTTTTTATGGGCTACAATTTTTATAATAAATATTATATTTTGCTATTATGTTAAGGTAATGGGTTTTATATTGATTTTATTTCCTCCTACTCTCTTTCTCTATTTTTAATTTTTTAAATTCTAATTATTTATTTATTTATCTATTCATTTTTAAAAATATATTGTGTATAGAATGCTCTATTAAAGCTAATGAAGTATGGAAATAAAGAATATTTAAAAATACAAACTCTATTTCATATTGTCTTATATTTTTTAAATATTTGATTATAAAATTCTATATTACTATAAAACCTTACTCAATATCCCCCACTCTACTGGGATCGTGATGGTCATTTTTTGTCTGTTTATAAATTTTTAATACCTGGGATATTGAGGGGAAACTGGAATATTGACTAAGATTTTAGAGTAACCTTTATTAATATAGGTGACAATAATTATTCTTTTATAAATAATGTAAATGGCTTTTTATATACACTCGTATGAAATTATTTCTTTGTTTATATTTATAAAAATAACTTTTTGTATGTTGATCCACATAAATATATAATCAAACTCTCGTAAGATCATTATCCTAGCCTAGAATTATAAAATTTTTTAAATTTATAACCTTATTTTATAATAAAAATAAGGCTTGATTAACGCAGCAGATTTTTCTGCTTACTAGTTTACTTAGGAATAATATCAATAAAAATTTCAATTTAAATAATTTAGTGAGGTAATAAAATAATTTCTCTTTGCTTTTTATCTGATTTATTTGCCTATTCTAAAATTCTTTTATAAAAGTAAGAACTTTTTAAACATTTGCCTCTTGGATTTATCTTTTTTATATCAAAATCTAAGGTCGTGTCAATTTATTATTACTCAGTTTATTTGCAATATTTATTAATTAACTACAAACAAGTTAAATAATTATTTATTTTCAATCTATTAAATTATCACTAAAAATACTTTTACAATAACTTTTCTAATATTTTAAATAAAATTTTTGACATATTTGAGCTTTCATAAAATTAAGATTCATTTCTAAAAACTTCTGTTGTTTTATAAATTATTTTGATGTTTGTTTGAAAAAAAACATGAAGGAAAATATTTTTATTTATTGAGTAATAATGGATTGTGTTTTTCAGTTCATAAATATTTATTTTTTTAGTGGTATCTTAAATAAATATTTCATTATTCTTCTAGTATAATATATATAAATGAAAGTAACTTTTAGTTTTAAATCATAGGTTGGTTAATATCTTAATTTTCTTTTCATAAATTATTTAATTCATAAAATTGAAAAAATAGAATAAAAAGAAACATTAAAAAATTGATATTTCGATAAAATTATTCTATTGTAATTACAATTTAAAAAAATAATATCATTAATTTTATCATTTTGATAATTTTCGCATAAAAATATGTTTAATAGATGAATAAATGATGATTTGCAGTTATTAAAGAATGTATTTTAAAACAATAAATAAAATTAAAGAAAGAAAGAAAAAAGCACTCCTACTTAAATTAATAATAAAATATAATGGTGACAAACTTTTTTATAAATACAGATAAAATACAGCTTTGAATGTAAAATAAATCATTTTTAAATTTTAAGTATAGATTTTTGCTTTTATGGTTTGGATAAGTGTAAGTTTCACATTTTAATCAAAAAAATTTACAAATGATTCACTCATTGATAATTTCTTCTTATTGTTGTTACTATTATTGAGATTGAGTCTATTCCTCAATTTGAGTGCTTTCTTTGTTTTCAATGTCTTAATCTTTTAATTCAGATTCTTTTAAATTTGTTAATATTTTAAGATATTATTTTTTCAACAAATAAATACAATTTTTACTATTTTCTGAGCTGATTTATTTTTTAGGAGATAGACTAGAGTCTTTTCTTTTTCCATTTTCTGACTTCTTATCTTTGCTAGAGCTATCTTTCTTAGGACTTCTGTCATCTCTAGAGGATTTTTTTTTCTTTGAGGACTCAGATCTTTTTCTTCTTCTATCAGACCCATTAGTTTTTTTTTCATCTCTCTTTCTACTGTTTTTTCGACTATCACTTCTGCTGCTTCTTCTAGTTCTTCTTCTACTTCCACTTCTGCTTCTATCTCTTCTTCTTGAAGTTCTAAAAAGAAATAAAGAAAGAAATATTAAATATTTAATTAATCAAAAATGCTTAGAAAATTAAAATTATTTATTTATTTAGTTATTAACTTTCTATCTGATGAATGGCTGCGTGAAGATCTTGATCTAGAGTATCTTTTTCTTCTTCTACTTCTATCTCTTGATGAACTTCTTCTTCTATTAAATAGAAAAATATTCAACATCAAGTGTGAATATTTAAAACAATGTTATTATTTTACCTACTTCTTGAACGAGAGCTTCTTCTTCTATTTAAAATATTTAAATGAAAATGTAAAGTTAACTTTTTTTGTTTTGATATTATTCATTTATTTACCTTCCTCTAAATCTTCCGCTGCTATTTTCTTCAAACCTTCCTGATTACTTAGACCATTCAACAGTTATCAATAAACCTAAAATAAGTAAATAAATTTATTACTCATAAAATAATAATTAATTTAAATCCTTAAATATTAGTTTAATTATTACAAAATTATTATTATTTTATATCATGAAATTTTTTTTTCTTCTATGGATGTAAATTTTTAATTTCTTACCTCCTAAATCTTTTTTATGCATCTACTTTTTGGCATCTTCTGCATCTCTGACTTCTTTAAAAGAGACAAATGCGTACTTTCTCTAATATTAAATTTGAATTTATTATTACTAAATCGCAATTTAGTAAAAATTAATAAAAAGTAAAATTAAAGAAGAGAAATTATTTATTTTCCTTTTATTTTATTTGTAAGTAAAGTAATAATAGATAAATTAGCTTTATATATCTCCTTTTTTATAATCAAACAAGTTACTTAATGATATCAATAAATAAAAAATAGCCATTTCTGATATAATTAATTACTACTTATTTTATCATATTTTAATTTATTTTGCTTATTAATTTTAATTTTTTAGTTAAATAGGGCAAAAATGAATCAATCCAATTTGCTTAAAAAATATTTTTTCACAATACATGTTTTAATTCATTTGATTAAGTAAGCAATTAATATGGCTAATTTATTTATTAGCATCTATTTTTGGATATCGAAAATATTAAATATTATATAAATAGTTTTGCTTATTGAAAAATTTATATTATATATTATGCTTTCTTTCTCTCAACAATGATGATTTTAAATTAAAAGAAATTTTTTGTTGATTTTACTACATTATGGTAAGCTTATTGTTTTGCTGTTTGGGTGGTATTTAATCTAGGGGAATATGAACATGTTGGTTGAATGGGTGGGTGGATGGATGGATGGGTAGATAGATGCTTGTTGCTTGGTATGTTGATGATGATGTTGTTGATTTTTCATGACCCAAATGTTTCTCTTAGCATAGAAAATTATTGATGATTGGTTGAATCGATTGGTGGGTTGGTAGATGGTAGGAAGGGTGTGTGGGTGGTTGTTGGATAGATACTCTCATTTTAAGGAGAATTATAAAGCAAAGCAATCTAAGCAGAATTCAATTTATGATTTTTTATTAATCATATTTTTGGGTAATTCTGCTGGCGATGAGATATATTATTTGAAGTGCCTGACTCTAAATATAGGAGATGGCAATAAAGAATGGGAGGATATTATTGAAAAGCTACCCGAAGGTCAGTCATCGCTAGGCAGGAATATTTGTTCCGAACTGCTGCAAAGATAATCTTAGAAAAATTGAAAAGTGCTTAGCTTCAAATTTCAGAAGTTAGCAATTATGTATGTATGTATGATTTATTTAGATTATTACAAGATCAATAAAATAAGATGATGGTATTTTATTGATTGCTTGTGCAGTAGTTGATTTATGGGTCACTTTATTGAAAGTTTAAAAATTTTTAAATAAAAATCTTCAGTTTATTGCTAAATTTGTTAATAAAATGATTCTATTTACTCTCAAATCGACAGTGCATTCGCCAAACTTAGAGAACTCTTTCTCTAAACGTTTTTAATCTACATTCTTTGAAACATTCCCTACAAATAAACTAAACTAGCTCATGTCCTTTTTTTTGAAATATATGTTTCTTAATATCTTATTTGATTTATATATTTTTTATATAACAAATACTTATAAAAAGCAATATATTTTTTTACTTAAAATAACAAATAAATAAATATCCCTCCAATTTCATTCACTCGCCCAAATCAAAGCATGCAAACATACATGCATATATACATAAATAAATAATCAATCAATATATCATAAATAATTTTAATATAATTCAATTTATAATAATATCTTCTTTCTAGATGCACTCATTATTATACTTTCTATTCACTTTACAAAAATAAATTCGTATTCTATCAAATTTAATATAAATTTCTTTACTTATTTCTCTTGCTAAATCTACCTTTAATCCACACTTATAAAATGTTATTTATTTTTGTATTCAATTCTTACATTCATAAAATAAAATAAAAATGCTACATAAAAAAACAAACAAACAAACACCATTTTAAATCAGGATAAATTAAAATCACATAATTATAAGATGAAAATTATTTGAATATTTAAATATGCAGGCAATATTTTTTAATTAGTATTTTCTGAATTCTAGACGTTTGTTTTTCTTAGAAATATAAAAATTAGCAATCTTAAAATTCATAGATATAAATAAATATATTTAAGGTATTAATTATTCATTCAAAAAAGTATACTGAGTTATTATAAACATGGTGAATTTTGTATTTAATCAGAAATTCTTTTTTTATAAGCGATTAATTAAAGTATATTTTTTCTCATATCATAACCAAAATTATCTAAAATTTCATCTATCTTGTCTAAAGTGGCTTCAGTAGTACCACCTATATCTTCTGCTTCTCCTCTTTTAATTGTGCATTTGATTAAAAAATTGAAAACAAAAAATAAAAATGGTATAAATACTCCATAAATAAGCTAGTTGATGTTTAGTATGAAGATACTATCATTAATCTTGCTATTTTAAAAGCTAATCTATCTAAAATCAAATTATGACTTTTATTTATTAAAATGTTAATTAGTATATAAATAAGGATGAAATAACTTTCTTAAAATTACTCTAGTTATAAATCTAATTGTTGTAAATTAACTAATTTTTAAAATGCATTCACAAAGAGAAGAGCAGTGTCAGTCTTAATCTCATTTAATCTTTTTTGATATTAATTTTTCATTAGTGATTAAATAAATCTATCTTTTTTATTTACCTAAACCATAATTTAAGCTTTCTCAGCTAAACTAATTCTTTATATGAGTTAGCTATCATAGCACCTACTTCATGCGAAATATTTGAACGGCTTTATATTATTTTATTAAAATAAAATTTAGCAAATAATAAATTTACTCCATAAGCAAGAACAAAGATCTTAAATTATGTAAAGACTCAATTCCTTAGCAAAATTAAAACCATGAACCAATATCCTAACAGTTTGAATCTCTTTTTATATTAATTTATTGACTTAAATATGCATACTTCCTATAATTATTTCTATTTACATTGTCACTACTGTTAGCTTTTCTAAAAAACAAAGCTTTCTTAAAACTTTACCTAATGATTTTATTTCAACTGAGCTAAGTCCTGTAAACCTTTATCAAATAAATATATAAAATTTCTTTTCAGCTGTTTAATAATATATTTAAAAAATTAATATTTACCCGAAATTTAAGAAAAGCTTTTTTAGATGAGCAAAGTTTTATAAGTTATTTACTAAAGCATTGCTTGAAACTCCTAGCTAATTGTTACTTTAATTATTAAAATATTATTACTGCTATTTATTCTTACTTGCTTGCTGTTTTAAGAAATGTAAAAGAAAATTCTTACAATAAGTTCATTTTGAATGATGTTAAATTAGGAAATTTATTCATTTAGGTAGTAAATTAAAGAAGATTAGAATTGAGAGTTTCGCCTTCTGCTAAAATTTCTAGATTATCTAATCTATCTCCATTTAATTGGGATATACCTACAAATAAACTCTAAACTGATTGATCATCAAATACATTTTTTCTAATATTATATTAGGATTATTTATCTCACTTATATTCTTAAAATAAAGCTAATAAAGTAGTCAAATAGCTATACAATATTATGAATACAATTGCCTTAAGATTAGGAAGATTATTGAGGAACTCAAACAAATTTGGTATAAACTCGATATTTTCTACTCTGTATAATTAAATTCAAAAACAAAATCTATATTAAGCCTTTGCTTTTTAAAATAGTCACCTAAAAATGGGAGTCACCCTCTTTAAAACTTTCAAATTTTCTAATTCATCTTCTCTAAAAAATGAATAAATATCCTTTTATGAATTGCTTTCGCAATCATTCATTTACATCATTTCAAGCTATTTATGTCTTAAATTAATTACTTATCCTTTTAACTTGTTTTAATATCTCAAAGATTTACTAATTTTTACGCGAAAAAAAAAAAATTCAATTTAAATTAAATTATAACAATGTAAATTTTTGATTATTATTTTTTTTAAGCAAGCTAAGATTAAAAGTTGGGCTTATATTAATTTTTCAACGTATAAAAATTATAACTTGATGAAAATCACATATGTGATTATATAATTAATTGGCAAAAATAAACAAAATATTTATTTATACAATTTTTTTAAGTTAAAGCTAAAATATTTTGAAAATTAAAATATCTAATTAACTAATTTGTAACCTTATTTAATAATTAATCAACATAATTTTTTTTAAAAAGATTATAGAAGTAGATTTTTTTAAATAAGCATTAGTTACTCAATAATTAATAATTATTTTTCAAAAAATTATGTTGTAATTAAATAGGTTCTTATTAATTAATGAGTATTTTGAAATACTTTTAATTAATTTACTTATTTATTAGAATTATATTTGATATATATTTCTTTTCAAACTGTATTAATCTTTCAAATTTAAAATTTTAATTTATGTTAAAACAATTTAATTGTTTTAGATTTAGATATTTTTTAAAATATATTTGAATTTAAAACAATAAGATGTTTTAAGTTATTTATTTATTAGATATTTATTTGATTTATTTTTCTTTTTTATCTTATTTTATATTTTTTCTTCATTTTTTCATAATAATTAACTAATTAATTATACAGGTAAAATCTATACTAGAATTGTATAACTAATAACTTTAAAAGAAGTAATGGAGTAATTATTTTTTTTTTTTTTGAAACTAATATCAATAAAAATATTTTTTGACATTTAGAAATATTAAAAATACTAAAAATTATAGTAGTGGAATTAATTTCAACTTAAAAATGATAAAAAAATTAATAAAAACATTCAATTTATTAAAACAAATTTGAACATTAATTTTTGAGAAACATAAACGTAAATTATTAATTCGTTTTATATAAAAATGGAAAAAATCTGCTTATTTCATTTATAATTTATTTAAATAATTAATTCTTATTAATTTGGTTAATTTGTTAAAATTTAAAAAATACTGACTTTATTTTTTTATAAAGAACTTTTCAATAACTTCTAATTCATGATTAATTGAAAATTTAAAAAAGAAAATTTTTATTTTGAAAACAGGGAAATCATATGCGTTACAAAATTATCTCAATCATCAAATTTACATAAATAAATTTTGCTATTTAAATGTTTTTGATTTAATAAGGCAGAGTTTTATCAAGCTAATTTATATTCTGCTGTGAAATTTTTGTTTCTCCATTCTTTTTTTATTATTATGTGTATTATTAATTTTAGTGATTTTCCTATTTCACAAAGCTATATAATCATAATTTTATTTAAAAAATTGGTAAATTAGATTGATTATTTGAAACAAAAATTTGAGAAAGAAAAGTAGAAATAAATGCCAACGATAAAAGTATAGGAGTTTTTTAAGAATTTAGACATATTCTCTGAATCCATTTAATTTAATGCAAGTAAATAATAAGTAAAAAAAAGAACTATTTTCGGTTCTATTTTAACCGTCATAATTATTATTTTAACTGCCATTTACTTCTTTTATTAATCATACCTCTACTTTGATGGATAAATGGAACCTAATGTTAGATAACAAAGTTTAGTATCTGATAACGTTGATGTGTAGTTAAATAGTGATATGTTTGCATTTGGTTATTATTCACTCTTATAAGGTAAAACTTTAATGGAATTAGAAGAAGAGTAAAATAAAATATATAAAGTATTTTTGAGTTATTATGTATCCTCAAATAATAATAAATTTCAAATGATACCTTTAAATATAGTAAAATGTTAAAATCCATAATTAAAAGGCTTTTACTGCTTTGATTTTAGTTAAAATCCTGATCTTAAGTTAACTAATATAGCAGATTTTACTAAATTATTTTCTTACTTAAATCTACTAACATATAATTGCTAAGATACTGATTAATACAAAACTATTGTTCCAGATAATTGCGCAGACTAATAATCAATAGACTAAGTTGATTTAAGTTATGGTTTTTTTTATAAGATAAAAACTTCTTATTTTAACACATCTTCAGAGGTCGTCTAAGATCAATATAAGCTGATATAAAGTCCGTCTATGTAAAATCAATATATTTAGGAAGAAGTACAAATTTAAAAAGCAATTACTTAAGTTAAGAAAGGATTTTTAATATAATAAAAAGAAATTTATTCATTTTTAAATTCGTTTAATTATTAAACCTATACTTATTCTCGTTCAGAATTAACTAAAAATTTAAGTGATAAAATGTTATCTCTAATAATATTTAAATTAGATGAGAGCATTATTTACTATAATATTTAATACCCAATATTTACTCAAGTTTTAGCTCTTTGTAATAGTGTTTTAGCTTTGCTTCTACTTTTAGGGTATTTTTGTAGAAAAATGGCACAAAGTTTTATTCGAAGAGATATTTTTTTTATATTATTACAAAACTTATTTTTAGGTACATATTTAAAAGTCATCAATAGTAACAACATTGTTAATTTTAATGAACCAGTTTAAGAATAATAAATAAATTAATTTCATGAAAATTAACAAACTTAAACTGAATCAGAATAAGAATAAGAAAGCTAACATAATATTTTACCAGAGAGTTTGACACCAAAATCTAGTTAAATTGTATTTCAGTAGTTATTGACTAGTAATAGAGAAAAAATAGAAAATGACTTTATTAAGGAAGAGTATGAATAAGAACAGCCAAATGAAATTTTTGAATCAAAAACTTAGGATAAATAATAAAACCTCAAACTAAATAGGGTAGAAAAATTTTAGAATTCCATTTAGTTAGAAAAAAAATTGAGAGTTTTCGTCCCAAATGCTTAAAAAAATGAATCATTCTATCAATAAAAATCAAATGTAAATGTCTAACAGAAAGGATCTAACAATATAATAATTAAGGATCAATCTGCAACTCAAAAAAATTATAGAATTTTTAAGAAGGTTAACTAACTAAATCAACCTGGTATTTAAAAAAGCTAGATTAAAAATATTAATCTTATTAAAAGGCAAACAGACGAAAATTTAAAAATTTTAAATAATATCTCTATCTAGCAGAGACTTGAGAAAATTCTATTTTCAAATAGGTAAAATTCTTTACTTAATTTTCAATTAACTTTAATTTTGGCAAGCAAAGTTTTAAAATTGTATCAATTATTTTTAAATTTATTTAATAAATATATTAAATATATATGTATTACTTTAAACTATTTAATAGATTATTCAAGCGTAAGGAGTTTTTAAAATCTGTAGGATTTGATCAAGATGCTTAAGACTAATTAGAGAAATCGATTGATGATAGTTTAGATTTTTTTAAGTTTTACAAGGAAATATTATTTTTAAAAAAAGCTGTGATGATTTTATTAAGTAAAGAATAGCTTGCTGCTTTAAATCTTGCAGGAATAGCAATTGAATCAATAAAGCCAAATTAGGGTAACATATCGGCGAGCAAATTATCAGGTATTCTTCTATTTATTTAATTAAAGGCTTAAAATTTATTAATCTTTATATTTAACTAGATGAAATTAATCTAAATCACCTCTAAGAGTAATTTAAAATATTCTAATCAAAAGAGTTACAATTAGAATAAATTAAATTCTTCTTATCAAGATGTGAAAACAGACAGAATCTAGATGTAATTGATTATAGAATACTATCATCTATAATACTTAATTAGTCAAACTGATAATACCGTAAATACTTGTTATTTCTATCTTTCTTTCTTTATTTCTATCTATCTATCTATCTATCTATCAGATTTAGTCACGATGATTTATTGTTGCTAATATTGAAAGAATTCTAGAGAAATTACCATATATAAAAGTTAAAATTATATAATATTCATAAAAATAATAAGTTTTTTTTTTAAGTATATACTTGTTATTTATTGTGTATGATTGATTATTCACTTTTTAATTTGTTTAAAGAAATCATCTTTTGTAATAAATAAAATAAATTTAATTAAAGCAAATAATGAAGCTATAATTAATGTTAATATTCAGCTATTTTTATAAGATTGTTTTATTGCATTAAATTGATATGATTTTCTTCTATTTCAAAAATTGTTTAACTACCTTAAATTAATAAATTTATTCTACTTGATGAAAGCGATGACATATCTGCTTTTTATTTATATATTATATATTTATAGTTTAAGAATTAAAGCTTTAATTTTAATATTCTTAAAAATTATTAAGATAAAAAAAATATTTTAAAGAAATTAAAGAATAAATTTCTAATTTAAAGTATAATAAACTTATGTATTGATCAAATCAATTATTTATTTTAAACCAAAAACAAAGCTACAATAATTAATTATGAAGAATTAATTTATAAAAGCTACTTGTTTTTTTTAAAAAAATAAATTTATTTGGAAGAAATATAGAGAACAACATTATTTAAACTTATTAAAAAAATAAAAAATAATTACATTTTAGTGGTATTTTTTAATTAGATTTTAAGTAAGTGTTGATTTGAGTGCAGTCAATTTTAGAAGGGAATAACTTAATGATCAGATTTAAAACAACAGAGATTCCATAAATAAAGAAACTACTACTATTACCAATAGCAATGTTGAGCTTGAGGTTTAGTAGCGATAACGTACCAAGTTTAGAGAAAATATGATAGTACTTGTAAGCAGTGGAGTAGTACGAAAAATCGATACCACCCAAAAACAATTCATAATCATCACTGTTTTCCTTGTCACAGAAGTAGAATGAGAAAACTTCTTAAGCAACCAAAACTTGAGCAACCAATTAATCGAAAATAGTTAAATTGTGAAAGTTGGAAAGCTATTTGAAAGCGGGAACTAAGATACCATCAAATTAGGAGGATTAGAAATTCATAGAGAGTTAATGAGAATTAGCAAATAAGACTTTCTTAGCAATCAAATCTCCAAAAGAAAAGGTTTCATTAGTTATTTATTAAATGGAGAAGGACTTACAGTGTCAACATAAGTGAAAATTTTTAATATTTTATAAATTAAAATGCCTTTAATTTATATTAATAAATTGTATATTAAAGAATTTCAGTTACTGAAACACATAAATCAGAAGAAACCATATCTAAGACAACAGTGAATATTTAAGCAAGGGCTAACAATTTAAACTTAACCGAAATATTGTAAATCAGCATAATTTTAGACCTTAACTTCAGAATAAGAATTAGCACGTATTCCGAAAATCTATTTTAAATAAAAAATTAAAATTATTAATTGATATAATTAAAGTTTGTTTATTGAAAAATATTATATTGTCATAAATACCCTTAAGTCTAAGAAGGAGATTCTTTTTTTGGATTTCAGTTTTAGCTCTCTTAATAATGGGAACGTGGAGGCCACTTTCCATGGTTTAGGCAGCTCAAAGGGCAACTAGCAATAATAAGACAATAATCTTTTTATTCATTTCCTTTTTATTAAAAATTATTTTATGATAAATTTTATTAATCATTGATTAGTATTTACCTAATGAGGGTTTTAGACTGTAATTATGAACGAATATCTGGCTAAAAATTAAAAATCTATTGTAATATTTGTATATATATTATAGAGTTAAATGCCTTTTAATTTTTGATAGGTTATACTAATGAATATTTAATTAAAAAAAATACATAAATAAAAATAAATTAAAATGAATTAAAAAAAAAATGGCTTAGAACTAACATTTTCAAATATATTTTTATTTAATTTTAAACTCATTAATACCCAAACCACTAGATTTAAATTAGACATTTGGCTATAATAAAAACATTCAATTTATTAAACAAATTTTGAACATGAATTTTGAGAAGAATAAAAGTAAATTAATTCGTTTTATATACAAATGGAAATTATCTTATTATTTTAATTTATTTAATCATTTTTTTAATCTTATTAATTTTTTAAATTTAAAAAACACTGGCTTTGTTTTTATATAAAGAACTTTTCAATAATATCTAATTCATGATTAATTGACCATTTAAAAAATAAATTTTTTATTTTGAAAACAATTATTATGTGTTACAAAACTTTCTCAATCATCAAATTTACATAAATAAATTTTGCTATTTAAATGCAGAGTTTTATCAAACTAATTAATATTCTGTTGTGAAAATATATTATTTTCCATTCTTTTTATTTACTATATTTATTATTTAATTTTAGTGATTTTGCTATTTAAAGAGATATATAATCATAATTTTATTCAAAAAATTGGTAAATTAAATTGATTATTTGAAACAAAAATTTGAGAAAGAAAAGTAGAAATAAATGCTAAAAATAAAGGTATTGGAGTTTTTTAAGAATTTAGACATATTCTCTGAATCCATTTAATTTAATGCAAGTAAATAATACTTAAAAAAAAGAACTATTTTTGGTTCTATTTTAACAATCATAATTGTTATTTTAACTGGCATTTACTTCTTTTATTAATCATACCTCTACTTTGATGGATAAATGGAACCTAATGTTAGATAGCAAGGTATAGTATCTGATGGGATTGATGTGTAATTAAATAGTGATATGTTTGCATTTGGTTATTATTCACTCTTATAAGGTAAAACTTTAATAGAATTAGAAGAAGAGTAAAATAAAACATATAAAGTACTTTTGAGTTATTATATATCCTCAAATAATAATAAATTTCAAATTATACCTTTGAATATAGTAAAATGTTAAAATCCACAATTAAAAGGCTTTTACTGCTTAGATTTTAGTTAAAATCCTGATCTTAAGTTAACTAATTTAGCAGACTTTAGTAAATTATTTTCATACTTAACGCTAATCACATATAATTGCTAAGATACTGATTAATACAAAACTACTGTTCCAGATAATTGTGCAGACTAATAATCAATAGACTAATTTGATTTAAGTTATGGCTTTTTTTATAAGATATAAACTTCTTATTTTAACACATCTTCATAGGTTGTTTAAGATCAATATAAGCTGATATAAAGTCCGTTTATGAAAAATCAATTTATTTATGAAGAATTACAAATTTAAAAAGCAATTACTTAAGTTAAGAAAGGATTTTTAATTTAATAAAAAGAAATTTATTCTTTTTTAAATTCGTTTAATCATTAAACATATACTTATTCTCGTTCAGAATTAATTAAAAATAGCAGTAATAAAATGTTATCTCAAATGACATTTAGATTAGATGAGAGCATTATTTACTATAATATTTAATACCCAATATTTACTCAAGTTTTAGCTCTTTGTAATAGTGTTTTAGCTTTGCTTCTACTTTTAGGGTATTTTTGTAGAAAAATGGCACAAAGTTTTATTCGAAGAGATATTTTTTTTATATTATTACAAAACTTTTTTTTAGGTACATATTTAAAAGTCATAAATTGTAACAATATTGTTAATTTTAATGAACCAATTTAAGAATAATAAATGAATTAAATTCATGAAAATTAACAAACTTAAACTGAATTAGAATAAGAATAAGAAAGTCAACATAATATTTTACCATAGAGTTTGACACCAAAATCTAGTTAAATTGTATTTCAGTAATTATTGACTAGTAAAAGTGAAAAAATAGAAAATGACTTTATTAAAGAAGAGTATGAATAAGAACAGCCAAATGAAATTTTTGAATCAAAAATTTAGGATAAATAATAAAACCTCAAATTAAATAGGGTAGAGACATTTTAGAATTCCATAAAGTTAGAAAAAAAATTGAGAGTTTTTGTCCCAAATGTTTAAAAAAATGAATCATTCTCTCAATAAAAATCAAATCTAAATGTCTTACAGAAAGGATCTAACAATATTATAATTAAGGATCAATCTGCAACTCAAAAAAATTTTTGCATTTTTAAGAAGGTTAACTAACTAAATCAACCTGGTATTTAAAAAAGCTAGTTTAAAAATATTAATCTTATTAAAAGGCAATCAGACTAAAATTTTAAAATTTTAAATAATATCTCTATCTAGCAGAGACTTGAGAAAATTCTATTTTCAAATAGGTAAAATTCTTTACTTAATTTTCAATAAACTTTAATTTGTCAAGCAAAGCTTAAAATTTTATCAATTACTTTTAAGTTTATAGAATAAATATATATAATATTTATTACTTTAAACTATTCAATAGATTATTCAAGCGTAAGGAGTTTTTAAAATCTGTAGGATTTGATCAAGATCCTTAAGACTAATTAGAGAAGTCGATTGATGATAGTTTAGATTTCTTTAAGTTTTTCAAGGAAATATTATTTTTAAAAAAAGCTGTGATGATTTTATTAAGTAAAGAATAGCTTGCTGCTTTAAATCTTACAGGAATAACAATTGAATCAATAAAGCCAAATTAGTGTAACATATCGGCGAGTAAATTATCAGGTATTCTTCTATTTATCTAATTAAAGGCTTAAAATTTATTAATTTTTATTTTAACTAGATGAAATTAATTTAAATCACATTTAAGAGTAATTTAAAATATTCTAATCAAAAGAGTTGCAATTAGAATAAATTAAACTCTTCTTATCAAGATGTGAAAACAGTTAAAATCTAGATGTAATTGATTATAGAATACTATCTTCTATAATACTTAATTAGTCAAACTGATAATACCGTAAATAATTGTTACTTCTATCTTTTTATCTATCTATCTATCTATCTATCTATCTATCTATCTATCTATCTATCTATCTTAAGAACTTGAAAATTTAAAGTAGTAAAATAAGAAACAAAAATAAATATCAGAATACTTTATATCCACAAATCCATACTCTGTAACTAACAATAAGTATATAAAAATAACATATGCTATTTTATATATATATTTTTCATTTTTATCTTGTATGTGTATTTTTTCTTTCTTAATTTTACTCATTCATTTATTCATTTTCAACTTATGCTTTGATTTATTATTAATTCATTACTTTATTATTTTATATTTTTTCTTCGTTTTTTCCTTCTAACTAACTATTTAATTTTAAACATTTTCTTCAATATTTAAAATTCGAAATTAAATTTGTGTAGTTGGTCATTAAGCTTGTGTTCTGATTTAGTAAACTGCACTAATTTCTTAAATTTGAGGTTTAATCTTAGGTAAAAATAATTTATTTGTTATATAATTTGATATTCATTAAAATATAAATTAATTTAAAACAATTTTAACTAATTCATTTACTTTTCTTTTTAATTCTAATTTTATTTATTGATTTAAAATATTATTTTTAACTTAAAAATATTATTCTTGAAACTTTTTAATTGTAATTTACATTAATTCATATTAAAAGATAAAGAAAAATCTATAAATCAGAATAATTGAAAGTAAAGAGCAAGTGTCTTAAATCAAAAAGATTAGTACTAAATAAATGATGAAAGTAGGAAGAAAATATTTAAAATTATTAATATAATAGGATATGATGTACTTTATTTTAAAATATTTTATAATTGAATAATTTAACCTAAAATATAAATATATTTATGGTTATTTTTGAAAATAAATATCATAATTTTGGTAAGTATATAAAAATCTTATTAATAAATCGAATTTTAATTCTTAAATAAAGCAATTCCTCAAAAGTTAGCCACCTTTTTTAGCCAAAAACTAAAAAAACTTTAAATATTACTAACAAAAATGGGAAAAAAAAATTAGGGGTGAGTTCGTCTTTATTATAGAGGAACTGCTTTATACAACTTTAAGTTTATTTTTCAGTCTTCATTTGTTTCTAAATACTAAAAATTTTTATTAAAAACTATAAATAGTATCACTTAGCTTTTTAATTTATAATCAAACAAGAATTTTGGCATTTCACAAAATGAGATTTCTTTTATTTATTAAATAAAAAAATCTATATTAATAAAATAAAATACTAATAGAGTATTACAAACAAATAGAACTAATTAATAAAAATTTAAATACTTATTTTTAGAAATTTCGAAAAATTTAAGTAATTCGATCAGTGATGAATGACCGATTAGTTACTCAAATTAAATAGTATGTAGAAAAAGCATCATTTTTAACAATCTCATCTAATTTAAATACCATTTAATTCACTATAATGAAGTATATACAATAAAATGTCAATTAATTTAATGGAGTTTACAATTAATTACTTATTTAGGTGCATTCATTATTTATTTCTGTATTAAAAAATAAAAAAGAATTGATTAAAAGTAGTAGAAACACAAATCCTAAAAGACAAATAGCTTATAATTAGCAACATAAAATTAAAAGGCATATATATTTACATAAATTAATCAATAAATAGAAATTATTTTAGCAAATCTTTTTGAGAGAAATAAAGCTAAATTAAAGCTGATTTTTTAGAAAAAATCTTTAAAATATTTTCAAAAAGATGTTTTCAATTTTTAATAATAATACTAATACAGAGCAAGGTTAAGATAATATTGAAGAACCATTTTTTAAGCATGTTAGAGAAGAGAATAAATTGAATTGTATTTAGATGTATCATGGTTTATTAATTTCTTTAATGATGATTTGTTTACAGTTTACTGGAGATTATCTAGGAAATATTCAAAATCATAATATTTAGCTACCAGAAACTTTTACTAGATCTAGTTTTAGTGGATGTTGGCACCTTGCTGATTATTTAGAACCTCTTTACATGTTTTGGATTGGATTTAACATATAAATGTCCATCAATTAAAAACATAAAAGAACACTAACACTATGGGGAAGTCTCCTCATCAAGTTTTTTTCCTTACTTTTTTTTGGATTCTTCATAAACTCAATCATTTGCGGATTTGACTACAGCCAATATAGGATGATGGGATTTTTTTAGAGAGTGATAATAATAAATTTTTTTATGTTGATCTTGCATCTATATGCAGACAAAAAAGTTTAGTATTTTATAGTAATAATCTTTTCTCTTGCCTCTCTTGGTATTACTACAACAGTTAAAGGTAAAACTATAGATTGTCCTCACGTTAACGTTAAGTTACCCTAGTGCAACGGATTAAGTTATCTAGATTAAAGCTTATTAAGCTCTAATCATATGTAGTATACAACGTATGATGAAGATGGATTATTTTCCATTCTGAATATAATATTAATTGTATATGTAGGTTACAGTTATGGAAGTGTTCTCAAGGCATTTGGATATAAAAATGTCAAAAGAGTGCTCATTTAATGGATGATATTTAGCTTAATATTAGGTTTTATAGGCCTTATAACCTATATACAATGGGCTTTTATACCTCCAGTTTACTCATAAAATTTTACTATGTTTTGCTGTGGATTATCAGGAATAGTTTTGCTCATTTTATTCACTACTGTTGATTTATCTCATAAAAAATATCCTATTTTTACAAAAATTTCTTATCCTTTTATTTGGTTTGGTAAAAATGGTTTGTTTCTATTTGGGGTCAGGTGCTTAATAGAATGTCTTTTTCTTAAGTATAACCTAACCTTAAAAATAGTTGACAAAATAGGCTTCTTTTCTAGTGATTCAATGAATGGACTTTTCTATAACATACTATTTTATCTTTTTTTCCTTCTAATATCTTTTTTTCTTCACAAGACAAATATTTGCTTCAGATTTTGATAAAGAATAATGTAAAATGCTTATTTATCATTTGGCTAAAAAATTAATGTATGTATAAAATTATAATATTAGTAATAAGTAAATAAATAAATAATAAACATTTTTGTAATAAATTTATATTTATAATTATTTTATATTAAAAATTTTTAATAAAACTTTTTAAACTACCTCAAGGATACATATAATTTATTAATTTTATATAAGCTCGTTTTATAGAAATATTTTAATTATTTAACTCACTAAAATCTATAAAGGACATGATAATAAATAATCTAAAATATAATAAGGAATAATTTTGAAAGAAATAAACTTTTCAAAAAAATTCATAAGAATATTATGTTCAATTTTACATTTTGAGAGATAGTTACTAACTAATATATGAATTACTATGAAAGTTTATTACATACAATTAAATTTTAGTCCTTTAAAAGCAATTATATATTGTTAAATTTATATAATATGAGTTTTGCTATAGTGGACAAAACTTATAAAAAAGGTAAAAAGAAATTGTCAAATAGAAATTAAATATTAATTATTTATATTTTGATACTCTGGGTAATACAAATTGAAGGTAGACTATAATTTATTTCCTATAATAGAGTTTAATTTATAAAAAATTGACTCGTGTTATTAAAATGAGAGATTTAAATAAATTTAAAATAATGCTGTTTTTTGAGTTTAATTTTATTTTAATAAATCTTCTTAATAAAATAATACATAATGAGTATATACATTTAATCTATAAAATCATAGAAATGCTTTTAATTCATTAATTATATGTAGTGACTTACTTATTTACTTACTTACTTATTTGCAATACATTTATTTTGTTATATATGTTATTCATTAAAAATATAAACAAGCTTAATTGTTGTTATTGTTGAGGCTATTTTGGTTTGGAGCAAATTTGTTATTGGAAGGATGATAATCATTTTAATTTTATGATTAGTGTTTGCTTAATTGTGTATTTGAAGGCATATTTTACTAGCTTTAGATTGGAGAGGGCTTTTATGTGAAGTAATTATTAACACCAACATTATTTAAGTTGGAAATAGATTACATAGGGGTATGGTTTGAGTGAAAAGAAGAAGAATTATTGACATGTTTGCTTTCAAATATTTTTTATTTACCTCTATTTTAATTGTAATTTATATTATTATTGAAATTGCAGTTTGTATTATTATTGCTATTACTTTTTTACTGTTGTTGTCTGAATTATTAATCATTAGTATTTGATTATTATTCTATGCGCTAGGATTTAAGATTATTTATGTTAATTATTTGTTTAGAACTTGCGGATTATTTACTTTAATTACCATTTGTGGGAGTAGTAGAAGAATCTTGTGAGCTCATTTTTTAAATAGATGTGTTTTATAGAATGCTAATGTTTGCATTGCAGCTAATATCGTTTTGATTATAAATATCTTAGAAGTTGGCAAATGGGTTTTAATTATTTGATAAATTTACATTGATTTGATTATTATTATATTCATTTTAACATGAAGATGAAGAAGAAACAAATGGAAGAGCGTTTCTTACAAAAGAAAGCATTTGTTCCATTGATTCAATCACACTTTTTGTTTTTTCTGTATTTATCTCCTCAAATATCAATGTACGTGATCTTTGGCCAGTTCTATTACTACGACTAACGTCGTTTATAGACATTCCTTGAGATTTTTCTAACTTACTATTAGAATATGAAATGCTGTTGCTGTTATTTGATGAAATTTGTTAGTTGATCTTAATTTAATTTGACAAAAAGCTTTGATTATTTTAGTTATTTTAACCTTGGCAAAATTGATTTTAAAGGGTTTAACAATCTTAAGTTAGAGAACGCTCTTTATTAAAGTACTGGTTTTAGAGATAACTGTTATTATTTTTACTGGCAGAAGATAATTATGATTACTAAGTATCCTATTTTCCACTACTGCTGTTAATTCCAGACTATTGTTTTTGGATATTTTTCCTTTCATCTTGTAAATTAATTTATTTTGTAGGAATTGCTGAGACTGGTAAATTAGTTTTATCTCCTAAAGGCTATTTAGACTGCTATTACTACATTTATTAGAGATAGCTACCACTAATTTTAGCATTATTTGAAAAGCTACCGTTATTATTTTGTTGTTAATTTAAGAAAGAATAGTTTGTAACTTTATTTGTCAAGGAATTCGATGAGCGTTAAGTTGAAAAAGTATTTTTATCTGCTTGATTTTAATTAGCAGTTCCATATTATTATGATGTAGATACTGAAGATTAATAATTTATAGGGCTTACAGATTATTGCTTTAAGAAGCTATGATTAGATACCATATTAGTACTATTGATTCTTGGACGATTTTCGGCTTGATTAGTAAATGTAGAGTAAGCTGAGTTAGTTGATTGATTATGAGAATGAGTTTAATTGCTGAATAGATTTTTAATTTAAAGCTTCTAGTTAGATGAGCTATTATCTCTGTTTCTTTGAGTTGTAGAAACGTGGGAAGGTCCAAGACAGCCGAAAAGAGAAAAGCAAGGCTCTTCTTAAGTTATAGATGTATTTGGATTATTGTTCCTGTTTTATATATACTAGTTACCTTCTGTTTTAGTACAGCTTTAGCTATTGTGCTAAGCTTCTAATTAAAATTTAATTTCATCAGTTTAGTTGAAAAAATTATTTTGTTAAAGCATCTAAGAAATGTTAATTCCCTTAGAAGGCATAAAATAATTAGAATTTTAACCACTTTATATGCTGCTAGTTATACTTGATTATGGCTAGTGGAGGCTATTACCATGAATACTCCCATGCTTATTTATAAAACGAGATGTGTTGATTGTTTTTTAAGAATTTTTTATCGAATTTTCATCTATTTCCTTGCTATAAGCAGTTTCTGTATTTACATTCATCTTTAATTCTTATGCTTCGTTTTATTATTGATGTGTTTGTTATGTTAGGTAATTATTAGCTAATTTCATTTATTCTTGTTACCTCTTAGCTATAGAATTTATTTGATTAACTTCCTTTTAGTCGAGATTCTTAAACATGTTCTCAGCACTCTACTGAGAAGATAAATGAGTAGGTGTAGTGCTTTTTACATTTCTTGTCTTTTTTAGTTCTAATTGTTACTGTTAAAGAGGGAACTATTCAGTTTATTTATCCATTTAATTAAATTCGCTTTGCTAAAATATTTTTTAAGCAGACTAAGCATCCTTTTAATACAATTAAAATTCAGATTGAGGTTCAGTCATGATAGTTTTATGGAATTCTATGCTCTGAGCAGTCTATTTTTAATTAGAGAAAAGCTTTTTCTAATTTGACATATTTTCATTTTCTTTTTTTGGTATAGCAGCAGTAGTTTTATTTGGTGTATTATTTTTCTTTTTATCAGATAATTCTGCATTGCAAATAGAGTTATAGGGAATCTGAGAAATATTTTCTTTTTCATTTATCTTAGTTTCATTATTGTTCAACAAATTTTTGTTACTAGATTTTTGATTTATGTTAATAGGGCTTTGACTGCGGTTATCTGGTTTTTTTTATATTTACTGCATTTCCTTAGTTTTAGGCTGATCATTTTCTTCAACCTTAGGAGTATTTTAAGCGTTATTTACTGTGATTTGAGGTTTTGATAAATTCGTTGTTGATTTACTTTAATCAATTAACCTTCTTTCATCTTTTTCAATTACTCTCATCTTATGCATCCAGGCATGAGACATAATATCCTCAATAGAGATTCTTCTAGAAGGATTTGCTTGGAGTACTTTGCATATTAACTATTTAGATAGATCACTAATTTAATCTGAAAACTAAACATCACCCTTTTCTATTTTTCTTTGAATTTCCTTAAATGTTTTTCCTTTAAATGGAGCGCAACCATGCAATAGCTCATAAATTAGTACTCCAAGAGCCCAAATATCAATTCTATAATCATAAGGCTATCTGAAAACAATTTCTGGAGCCATATACTTTTATCAAATACATAAAAAAGCAATTTAATTCTAATTCTAATTTCAATAAAACAATTAATTAATTTACTTCATAAGTTCCACAAAATGTATTTCTTGGGTTTTCTATGTCTTCAGTGCACCATCCAAAATCGCAAACTTTAATGTTGAACTCATCATCTAATAAAATGTTTTCAGGCTTTTTAATAGTTATTATAATTTAAAATATAAAAAAATAAATTTTGAAAAATTTAAACTTGCTTCTAATTAATAATATCTAGAATTTGCCAACTTACTAATTGAATAAATTTTGAATTATTTCAGAATATCTATCAAAAATTAAATAAAAATTGTGCCAAAATAATTTTATATTTCAAAATATGAGATTAATTTATTTATATTCAGTGATTATTAATTTATATTTTGCTTTTTAGCTAATATATATTGCTTATTTATATTTAATCAATTTAAAATTTAAAAAAGTAAAATAGAATAATTTTAATGAACATTTATTTATCAAACGGTGAATATTTTTAAATTCTAAGATGGACTAAGTTAAAAACTGCCAAAGTTTTATCAAGTTTTTATTGATTAAATTGATAATTTGAAAATTCAAATGTAAAGCCTTTAATTAATTAGAAGTGTTTGTTTGTTTGTATTTATGTTTGTCAATTCGCTTGATTGTTTGTATATCTTTTTAAAAATAATTAATTAATATGCAAGTTAATTTATTTTTCTTTATGATTGATGTTTTTATATACTTGATTGCTAATATTTAATTATAACGAATTGATTTGAGTATGATTCATATTAAAAGCAAACCATCTATCTTGAGATAATTTTGAAATCTAATTTACCTTCAAATCTCTATGTACGATGTTTATTGAATGCAAGTATTTAATTGCTTCACATGTTTAAGAAAAATATTTATAAGCTTCTTTTTCACTAAAGCTCCTTTTTTTGTAAAGCAATGAGTATAGATTTCCATTGCTTGCATAATCTAGCACTATAAAAACAAATTCATTTTCTTAAAAACTATCATGATATTCAATGATATTTGGGTGCTTTAAAAGACTGTGCACTCTTACTTCTCTTTCTATCCCTTATATTTCCTAAAAGCTATTCATGTTCTTTAAATTCATCTATATTATATTTAAATTTTAAAATATTTCATATTGCTTTCAAAATAATATTGATTGTATATATGTAATCTTGATATGATTGATCAACTCGCTAGATCTTTGGTTTCATTTAAGATAAATCTAGAAAAATTAACCTCCAAATCTAAGATTCACTGTATAATAATCAAAGTATTTTCAAATTACAATTTTTATTGCGAATTTAGTTCCACTTTTTTTATGAATTGCTAACTTAACCTCACCAAAACTGCCAACTCCTAATTATGTCTTATTTTTTTTAGGATCTTTTATGAATTCAAACTCTGTAATGCTGCTGAATTTCTTGTTGTTAGCAAGGTCTAGCTTATAATTCTCAAAGTTTTGCTTCTTCATCTTACAGCTTTGATAATTAAATCTCTAATTTAATGAATATCAGATAATCCTAGTTTTTGAGATTAAAAAATGATGTCTGTGTTGTATTGATTATCCTTTGAAAGATTTAACTATTTTCTATTATTCTTTAATGTTAATTGTTATAATATTTATTTTGTTTGTTTGTTGTGTTTTTTTTTTCTTTCCTCTTTTTATTAACTTGCTAGTGAAACAAACAAACAATTACCTTAATTTCTTTATATTCAAAATCAATTTGTAAAAATATATTCGTTTATATGTTTATAAATATATAATCTTATTTTTAATTTGTTTGTTATTATATATGAAATAATTTATATTAAATACATAAAAATTTATTAAGAACAAGAAAGTCTATTTACAGGCAAAATCTCTAGTTCAGTCTAGGTCTAAAGAAAAAAAAATTTAACAACCTTTCCTTAAAATTACACTTTTTACATGTAAAGAAGCCAGCTTAATAATTTTAATATTAAATAATGATATTATTTATTACTTAGCTCATCTTAGAACGATTGATTTGAGTTTGATTACAATTTATCTTAACTGAAATTTAAATAATAAAGAATCACACATAATATTTATCATAAATAAAAATAGTAATTGTTCTCTATTTATAAAATATTAATTTATATTTAACCCTCTAAATTGCATTATTTTATATTGCTATTCACATTTTATCTTATCCTTCTTTTTATTTATAATTAAATTCTAAGTTTTTTGTTGCTGTAACTCACTATTAGATTAAAGATACCAAGTTTTTTTATAATATTTATTTATTTAATTTATAATTTTTATTATTAATACATTTTATGCACTTAAAATGTTTAATTTTAAACATCTAAATACACAATTGCTCAATTAAATTAAATAAATAGGATATAAATTACTAATTAAATATAATTAATTCCAAATTAAAAGCAAATATTTTTGAGAATTTTATTTTAGAATTTCAATGATATTAAATTAACTTAAGCTTTTTTCTGGCTGATTTTTAAGTAATTAAAAAATGATAATTTAAACAAAATATTTTTTTTATTATTAAATCAAATATTAATTATTTTATTATTACAGTGATTTATTTAAATATGGTATCTAATATTCACATTAAAACATAAAATATTTCATATAAAAGGATAATGATTCACATAGTAATTACAAGATTAAAAATTTTTCTGAGAATTCAAGAATCAAACAAACATTTCTATTTTAACAACTCTTTTTATTTTATAAAGCATTTATTTGAAAAGCTTTTTTTGTAAAGGACAAATCTAATTTTCTCTTTTAATTTAATTAATAATTCAATAATTAAGATTTTAATCAATAAAAATCAAATATTAAAAAATATTTAATCTATTCATTTTACAAAATAAACAAATTTAAGTGAAATAAAATATCTTTGTTTACATAGAATAAAAAGTTAAGACTCGTAAATTCTCTGATTTTTTCAAAATTATTCCTATTGTATATGAACCTTCATCTCCAATCTAATTTTTACTTTAAAATATAAACAAACATTTATATAAATTTACTTTTTTATTAATATTTTTTTTATTTTATAAAGATAATGACTTTATTTATATTTCAAATAAGTTTTTTTTAAATATTTTCTAGTTCTTTTAGCTTAATTGTTTTTTTTAAATTTAATAAATTATTAATTAAATGTACTCTTATAATTTTAATATTTAATTAATTTTTGAAAATAAAAAATATTAAAGAAATGAGTAATATAATTTGCATAGCTTTATCTGTACACTACTTATATATATCAGATATTAAAGTAGTTTTAACTATAATTATAAATTTCATAAAATTTTTTATTGAGTTGAGAATTAAGGCTCTCAAATTTTATTTTGTTTATATTTTTTGCACCTCAACTTACAGAAAATAAAGTATTTAAATATTCGATTAGAAAATACTTCTATAAATTATAAAAAGAATTTATTTACTCTAAAAATAGCTCTAAAGTAGTTATTCTAGGAGAGTTTACTAAAATAGAAACTATTTAAGACATATTCTCGCCTTTCATGCTATTTGATCTTTTAAAAATTTATTTATTTTAAGCAAATATTTTATAAAAATTAATTATACTCGAGGCAAAGTTTGAGATGATTTAAATTTTCAAAATTTGATAAAGAAGAGCCTAAGTCAGTTATATCTTAATCGCCAATATCATTGAAACTTTATTTGTTTCAAAATAGATAAATATATAAATAATTAAATTAAATTTTATAAAAATAAAACAAATATGATAGTATTAATTTTTTAAATTTATAAAAATTAATTAATTAAAATAAATTAATAAATAAATAAGTAATATAATTACCTAATTTCAAGTAATAAGTATTTTAAACTTTTGCACTTTTTCAAAGCTTATCCCAAAGCACAGACACCTTCTGCTCTCAATTCGTTATATCTGTTATTAATATAAAATAAATATGAAATAAATGAGTATTTAAATTGCTTATTTTTATTTATATGATTAGGTTAGCAAATAAAAAGCTATTTTTAAAAGTTTTTACAAAAGATAAAGTGTAAGACTTGTAAGATTAGTGAATTCTGATAAATTAATAGCTAATCTTTAAATTTCCTTGTAGCTGAAATTATTTTTACTATATTTTATAGTGTAATATTAAAAGAACTAATATTTAAAATAATTATTTATCAATCTACTCTAAACCTAGAATGAGTTTTTATAAGTTTGGAAAACACCTTAAGGTAGAATATAAATTCTCAAAAAGTTCGTCAGTAATCATACAATAACTTGTTGTTTTATAATAAAATTAAATTAAAAATTTATTTTATTAATTTTTTGTATAATTTATTTTTGTAGATAGTTGAATTTAATTTAAATATACTTTGATTATTCTCAAATTCAAATAATTTTTAATAATTTTGATTAACATTAAAAATAATTTAAAAATTTTTTGAAATATTTAATTTAAGTTTACAATTAAGAAAAAAATTGATTACCTTAAGTCATATTCTAATGAAGTTAAATTTAGACATTTTGTAGAAGCAGCAATAAAAGCTTACTTTTCTTGAATTTAATTATTTCTTTTAATTTTATGATAATTATTTTAATTTAATTTAATCCATAAATATTTTCCTTTATGATTGATAACTTTATTATTTTTCATTTATTTTTTAATTATTAATTTTCATTTCTATAAATTAGAAATATTTTCTTTGATTGTCAATTAGTAAATAAATATATTTTAAATAATTGAAATAAGCATTAAAAAATAATTTTACTATAAATCTACGAACAAGTCAGAAATAGTTGAGCTGTTTGCTAAAGCAAACAACAAACGAAAAGCACCATTTTAACAAAGGTCGTTTTATCTTTTTGTATAAAATCCATAAAATATTACTTCTAAAATTTTTATATAATTATTTACCTTAAAGTAAGTTTGAGAGTAGTAAGATTTGGTAGTTTAGCTAAAATAGAACCAAGTTAACAGATTGAATCATCACCCAAAAAGCAATATCTATATTTAAAATTCAAATGTTTTATTTAAACTATTTAAAATTAATTAACCAACGATAGATCTATTATAAGAACTTTAAGATTCTGTAATTAGACCAAAGCTGAAGGAATACTATTAAGATCTTTAATTTATTTTTCATCTATTCTAAATAAGTTAAAATTAATAAATAAATTAACCATCAAAAAAACATGTAATTAATTAATCATTTTAATAATTTAGTTGAATAATAAATTAATAATTTCTAAGTTATAACATTTTTTTGTAATATTTTTATTTTTATATTTACTCTATTTTTATCTAAAGTACATTAATGTTTTCAAGTTTCTTTAGACCTTGTTGTAGATCATATAAATGTTATTAATTTAGCAAGCTTTTTATAAAATAGTTTTATTAATTTATTAGAATAAAATATTTGATTATAAGTTTTTTTAAAAATTAAATAATATTTTAAAAAGTATTAATGTTTTGCAATGTGGTAAAATCTATGAAATTTTAGGTATTTAAAAAGGAGTATAAAATCAAATTAATAATTTACGATAAGCCTAAATGTATGCTCTTAAGCTCTGCTAGGTTAGATTTTAAAAACTTTTTATAGATAACAATTATTATTATCAAAGGAAACTATCAATTTAAAATATTGAATTTACATCATCTACTGTTGAAAAGAATTATATATCGCCGTACATTTTTTATTTAATATTTAATTTTAGGATTAATATTTTTAATTATTTCCTAATTAAAATTGAATTTATGAAATGTTCGAAATATTTAAAAAATTTTAATTCTTTTATTATTTAATTTTGTTTTTAATTACTAGATAAATTCATCTTGATTATATATTGTATTTTATATTAATTAATTAAGTATTTATTTTATTTATATAGAAAAAAAGGAACCTTGAAAAAATTCTATTCTTTTTTTAAAATTTCAATTGTTTTTAATAGCGTTGAACTCAAAAAAAATGTTTAATACCTTTTAATATCTATTAATTGTTAAGATCTACTAATAATAAAAAATATTTAACAAAACTGATATTAATTTCAATATAAAATTTAATAATTTAATTAATATTATTTATTTTTAAATTATGTTTTGGCCTAATTAAGTTCTTGATGCATTTATAAATAAGTAGAAATTAAGTTTTCTATTTGGTTTTGCTCTATTAACTATAATTTTAAATTTATTAGGAGGGGTATAGAATTTATAGTAAATACTTTATTAAGTTATTAGTTTTTTAATTTTTTTCTGTTTTTACTCATGCTAAGTTGTAACTAAATCTTTATCTCAAATAAAAAATTTATGTTTGTTGATAAATATCTAACTATTTCATTTTAAAACATATGCATTGAAAATTTTTATATGATAAATTAATTGATTTAATTTGAATTGATAGGAGAATGATAGCTATATATTTTAGAAATTGTTTTTATTGTAATGAATGTTATTTAATACTGATTAAATTATAATTTATAATATATTTTCTACAATGATGCATCAAATATTTTCATAAAAAAGATAAAATTAGATTTAAATTTTGATAACAACTATAAAACGATTCCTTAGTGTAGTGGTTATCACGTCAGTCTAACACACTGAAGGTCCCGAGTTCAAACCTCGGAGGAATCATTTTTTTTAATAAACAAAAGTTAAGTTTAATAGAATACTTTTTTATTAATTTAATAGAACAAAGTACAAATTTTATATAAAACAATTATGCATTGATATTGTGGAAAATGAAATTAAAGATTAATACATGATAAACACCTAAGAAAGTAAATGAATATTCAACTATATTCTAATAATCTTTATTTATTAGATTACAATTAGCAAATGCTTTGAAGGAAGATAAATAATAATGGTTTTATTTTAAAGATTTTAGCAATGTTTATTTGGATTGTATTAGATTATTATTTTTCATAGAAGACTGGTGTGAGTATATTTATTTATTAATCTTAATGCAATAAATATTAATCCCTGTTCAAAAATAATTAAGAATAGTTCAATAGCTCTAAAAACAAATAAAATAGCTAAAAATTAATTTCTAATGGATAAGTATATTCAATAGGCAAAGTGCGCTTATAATTTTTCTTTAAAGGCAGTACGTTTCGTTGGACCTTTGAACATTGTTTTTGCTGGTGTAGCATTTCTTATGTTTTATGAAAAGTAATTAATTATAAAAAAATGATATTCCATTTTTATAATTAAGAAAAAATCAATTATTATTAGATTTAAATTATTAGGTAACTAAATAAAAAATATATATTAATTATTTCAAAAATAAAAAAATTAGCAACTACAAGAAGCTTTACTTGAATCCCAGATACTCTTACACCATGCCCTACTTGCAAAGTGCTAAAATAACCAAAAATCTTTACGAAAAGCTCTGATTTTGTTTGAAGAAAATCAAGGAAGGAAGGGGAAGTTATGAATTTAATTAAAAAAAAATTTAGGAAACAAAGAATAAGTATATATACAAGATGAAAGATTAAGAAAATTAACAATTATTTAGTTTTTGGATGATTGTTTCATGTGTATATATGATAGTATCTTATTCCCAAACATATTAATTAGTTAAATGACTAGACTTGACTTTATTTATTAAATTTATTTATTTATATATTGATTGCTTCTTAAATATAATAGAATATCACTTCTAATAATAATCTTTATAATTAAAGCTCTTTGTGATATATATAGCATTTGTTAATAATAAAAAAATTGTATTTTTTGTAAAATTTTAAATATAAATTGATGAGTAAATGACTGATTGACTGAGTGTTTTCATTTATTTACTTTTCTATTAATTAATTTAAAGAAGCAAACAAGATACGATTTAGAAAAATATATATATACATACTTCGTTTATTAGATATAAAGAATTTTTTTTAATGAGTTCAAAAGGAGAACTAAGTCCAAAGGTTTCAAATAGAAGGTTTTCCTTTTACCATTTATTTGAGGACTTAGATGTTTTATTCAACATTTGAGAAATTATCCTTGGAAATTTAAAGGAATTAAGCAATCTTAGCATTGCAATTTGTTAAACAATCTCTTTCTTCATCTTAAAATAGCTAGTCATCTAATTTAAGGCATTTCTTAAAGCAATGCTTATATAAGTTATGTTCTAATTCTTTTATAGCAATAAAGGCATCTTACTTATTTTACAAAACACTTAATTTTTCAATTGCTTTTTATCTGTTTTGATGGGCTTCTCCTTTTGAATCTTTTCTGCTAAAGGGATTGAACATATTTACTTACTTACTATTTTTTAACTAAATTTAATTGTATATTTTTGAGTTTGTGATACTCTTTTTATATTCTTAAGGTTTTAACTCTTAAATTTATGATGTAAATCTTTTTTGATAATTTACTTATTTTATTTGCAAACCTATCTATCTTCTTTTATTGTCATCTTCACTCTCTATCAGTTTTCATTTTTCTAGAAAACACGAAATATTCATTCATTTTTTCACATTTACTTTTCAGATAAACTATTTTTTATATTTACTTGCACTCTTTGTGCTCAACTGCTTAAAAATTATTTTTAACTTTTTCTGTTAAATATTTCTGTAAATAAATACACAACTTTAATATTAAAAATATTTAAAACGAAGAAATATCATGATTATTCTCTCATAAAATCTGATTCAAAATACAATTTTATGTATTTCTATTATTAAAGCAAATAAACCAGTAAAAATTTAGTTTATTTTTAGTAATTGAAGTTTATTGATAAAGAAAAAAAAGATAATTTATTGGAAAAATAAATATAAAGATGTAAATTATTTGTACAGATAGATATATTTTTTGTTTTAAATAGATTAAGCAATTAATCAATAAAATACATATACAAATTTATTTAATTTTTTAATTATATTTTAATTTTAATTAATTTATTCAGAATTTATTTATTTTAATTTAATCAGCAAAAATAAAGAAATAGCTAATTATTTACATTGAAATTTTATTAATGATGAAAAAACAAACAAACTGAATAAAAAATGGAATATTGATTATCATGTTAAATTATTAAAATAATTTTTTGAAGATTTTAAAATTTATTTATTTATTTTATTAATACACAGAAATATATTTTAAGATTTAATAAATATTTTGAAATTAAACTTTTTTTAAGAAATTTATTCAACTATTTTAATTTTAAATGAAACAAAAAAGTTTTGAATTAGATGAATTTTTAAAAATTAAAAAAATTTATAATTTAATTTAGAAAATTATTAAAACAAAATATAGATTTGATAATATTAGAATAAATAAACAACAGAATGATATTTTTAAAATTACTTTTTTATAGCAATTTAAGAAACATTTGTTAATTTAATTAGGGAATAAACTTCATGATTTAATATTTATAGTCAAAAAATTTTAAAGGAATAATCATAAAAAGTAATATTTAAAATTTGCTTTCTTAAGTTTTGAATATTAATTTATCTGATTTCAAATTTAATTAAAAATTTTACTTATTTTCTTTTATAAAAAATAGAATTATAATCTAATTTAATAGGTTTTAATATTTAAAACAATTTATACATAAATTGCATCATTTAAAAAACTTATAATCTTTAAAAATCTTAGACAGATTGAAAATTGTAAAATTTTAGTTAATTTATAAGTAAATTGATCAATGTTTATGTTATTGAATTTATTTATCTTGATTTTATAATGAAATAAAGTGATTTAATAAAATTGGATATATTTTTGAGTGATCAAAGATGCCTACCTCTATGCTACAGATAGTCAAAGAGCTTTCAATTCTTTCTTATAATAATAAATCAAAAGAATGAGGAGAAAATGTATAATTAGGGGAAGAAAACGATAAATAATTATTTGCATTAAAGAAAATCAAGTTAAGAATAGCTTAAAAAATTAAAATAAAATATTCCAAAAATCAAATTGCTTCAATAGAAATAGTTTTGTAAAAATAGCTATAAAATAAATAATACAAATTTCAAAGCTTATAAAGAGGATTGCGCAACAGCATTAATACACTAAAAGTAATAATTATTGAAGAAAAAATAACTAAAAGCAAATTAAGTTGTAGTTGAATAGTTTCATCAATATCTTAGTGATATATTAACTTGATAAATACCATATATTGATTGTAAGAAATGAGCAATAATAAATAAGTAGTATCCGATATGAGGAGCCTTTTTTGTAGTGAAGCCAATGATCAATCACAGAAATAAGTTTCCTAACAATAAAAAACTTAAAAATAAGTTCAATAAATACAGAATACTTAGCCTACAGCAGTTAATCCTTTTTTGAAATAAAAAACTTTATTAGCGCCAACGTAATTCATTTAATAATTTATTTATACTTATGCAAATATTTAATCATTCTTAATTTTGTTTATAAATCAATGGATTCTACTTAATTAGAGCTTATTTACCTATTCATACTGCACACTAATTAAATTTTTTTCATATAATTTTTAAAAATGGGTGATTTTAAATTAAATTTTAACATTTTTTTAAGTAACTCCACTTTGCTTATAAAAAAATTTAATATTCTTTTAGACATTTTATATAGTCAAACATGTCAAATTTAATTAGATGAATTTGAAATTTAAAATATTTTCAATGATAAATTTATATTTTTTAATATTTTTAATTTTAATTATTATTAGGAACGATAATGAAAGTTTTGGTTTCCAGTCTAGTTAGTAAAATAGATTAGGCGGGCAGTCTTCGTTTTAGAATTAGTAAATGGGCGGTATAGGGCAAGATTAGAATAGGCAAAATCGCACAACTTTAAATAATGGTTAAAACTAAGGAGGGAATTATGGAACTGCATAAAGTGATTCATAATATTACTCTTAGAATAACTAAAATAGTCAATAATAATCTATGCAATTGAATAATCTTTAAGCATAATAACAAAACTAGACACAAAAGTAATAACAGTAAAACAATTAATCAACCTAAATTTAACAAGCAACTAGCAATCAAGCTTTTGACTAAACTCCACAAAATATAAACTAGCCTAAAAAATACTTCATTATTAGAAACAGAAACGAATACTTTCGCAAAATTGCTTAAGAGCAGAGTATTTTTTTGATCCATAAAAACTATGAAAAGTTATGTGAAGCATTTAAAAATAGTGATGATGTTTACATAATATTTTCAAATATAGATCAAAAACACTTTTATGGATATGCTACAATGATCTCTGAAGCAGATGAACTGCGTTTTATTTCATCTTAATTAGAAAACTATTAGAATTTGAAGAACAAAGGAGAAGAGTACATTATGTATTCAAAGATTTAATGGAGCAGTTAAACTCCTCTTCATTATGACCACTGTAAGAATATTCTTAATCCATGGAATAGCAATAAACCAATAAATTTCTCAAAGGAATTTTAAGAAGTAGAACCTGCAGCTGCTCTTTAGTTATTGGAGCTACTTGATAATCCTCCTGCTGCTCCAAGTAGCAATTAAAACACAAATACTATTTCAGAAGACGACCAATAACCAAACGATGGAAAAATTTAAGCAGAGGAAGGATAAAAAAGCTCACCAACAAATGCTGGTTAAAATAGTTAAAGTAACTAATTAGGAATAAACAGTAATAATCTTTCTAAGTAAAAAAAAATGCCATATTAAAACATGGCTTTTCCATTTTAATCTAATATGAACCCTATGATGTAAAATATGATGAATCCTTATTCTGCCTTCAATATAGGTATGGTAGGTCAATTACCTTTAATGAGGTACATGCCAGGCATGTTTCCCTAAAGTGTTTAACCATAGTCTTCATATATCATGAAACAATTAGAGAGTTTAACCGAAGAAACAAAATAGAGCATAAATGGATCAAATAATACCTAAAACAATAATGGTATGAATAATAATCTAAACAAAAATATTGCTATGGGCAGAAACAACAAAAATAATAATAATAACAGTAACATAAATAATTAAAATTTTAGAAATAATTAATACAGATAAAACAACAACAATAATAGTAACAAAGATGCTGGATAAGGGTAAATGAGAAATTAAAACTATAATAAAATGAATAATAATAACTAAAATAATAATGGCTAGTTTTAAAATAAAAGAGGTGGTAATAATAACTACAATAACTAAGGCTACAGCAGAAATAGAAATAAATCAATTGATGAAAATGATAATCAAAAAAATAGAAATGAAAATAATAGCAATGACTCTGGATCTCGCTCAAGAAGTAACTCAATGAGAAATAGAAGTAATGATGAAAATAGAAGCAGTAAATCAAATCATTCAGAGTATGGCGATGAAAGACGTAGGTCCTCTGCTGAAAATAGTATTGACAGAAATAGCTAATAAGGTGATGATTTTGATAACGATAAAAGAAGCAACTAAGGTAGTCAAAGTCCAAGAAAGAGCAGAAGTAGAAAAAGCAGTAGAGGTTCTTTATCTTCTAGTTTATCAGATGCCCCATCCGTTAAAGGTAAGTCCAATCACTCATCAAGATCAAATCTTTCAAAATAAAACTCAAGAAAATCAAGTAAAAGTAGCGAAAAAAATCATTCTGATAAAGACTACTCCAGTGATAAATAGTTAAATAATAGAAATGTAAATAGAAAAAATATAAACTAAGATAGTGACAACAATGGCATCAGTAGCAACAATAACAACAACAATTACTAAAATAGAAGAGATTAAAATTTTTAAGGAAGAAATAACTACTTCAAATAGAACTAAGGAGGAAATGGTAATTATTAGAAAAAAGGGGATAATAGAAATTTCAATAATAGGTAAAATAATAACAGTAATATTAACAACAGCAATATTAATAACAACTAATAAAGTAATTAAAACCAAGCATCCAGCATTGCTAGCTCACGCTTCTACAGTTAATTTTTTGGTGGTGAAAAAGATACAGAAAAAAGCAATAATAATAACAATGAGTAAACAATAGATAAAAAACAAAATACTAATATTAATAATAATAATAATAATAACAACTAAAGAATGAATTAATATAATAATAGCAACTATCAATAAAGAAAAGGAGGAAATTATCACTCAAATAATAATTATTAAAGAAATAATAACTACAGAAATGATTCTGAAAGCAAAAAGCCATCTAACAGATACAACTAAAGATAAAACAGCCACTCTTAAAGCCTAAGCAAAGATAGCAGGGATAGAAGCTTATCTCGTTCACGCTCAAGATCTCATAGTATGGGTAGTACTCAAGACAGATAAAGAAATTATGAAAAAAGAGATTACAGATAGTAACCATAATAGTACAACAACTAATCATAAAATCTAAATTAAAATAAATACAATAATAAAAATGGTAACAATAATAACTATAACAGCAGTAATAATTATTACAATAATAAAAACAATTTTGATTAAAATAATGGTAGTAAAAGAAGCAAAAGCAGGGATAGGTCTGAGAGGAGAAGATCTTCAAGCTCGGGAGATAGAGGTAGTAAAAAGCCAACATACAATAACAAAGATTCGGATTAAAATTATAATAAAAATAGTAGCAGCCGTCAAAATAACAATAGAAATAATTATTAACAAAAAACCTCTTTTAAATCAAGCTAATAAAGAAGCAGCAGTAGTAAAAGGAGATAAGTTTCTAGATCTTAAGATAAGTCTAAGAATAGTAATCGTAATTCTCGCAGCAACTCTCGTAGCCATAACCGCAGTAAGAGCGATAGTCTCAGTAAAAGCAGTCTTAGCCGTAGTAGAACTCGTAGTTATTCTAACAAGAGAAGCTCATACAGTAGAAACAAGAATTAAAAAAATAATTCTTAAGAAAGAAACTAAAATTCGACTAAAAACGAAAATAAAAGAGTCTCTTCAAATTAAAATAATAATAGTGATGCAAACTCTAATAATAGGTAAAACTCACAGTAAAACGAAAGCTCTTTCAATAAATCAAATAACATGAAAGAAGGAGGTAGCAGCAGCAATAACAATAATTAATACAAAAAAAGTAGTTCAAATGATGAAGAATATCAATAGAAAAAAACAGGGCAACCATCATCATGGTCTGGCTAAGGAAATTAACCAAGCAGACCTAATTCTAATAGTAATTTTTCCACTACTGAGAGCAAATTTTAGATAAATAAACAGATTGTTAATGGTGTTACAAAAATTTCTTTTAAAAAGCAAAGCTCTTAAACATCTCAAAGTTAATCATCTTAATCTGATAAAGCATAAAATTATTAATCTTAGAACAACTAGTAGTAATAACAAACTTCTTCTTCTTCTTAACCTTCCCAACAATATGGTAACTAAGGATCCAAAAACTAAAATTACAATGACCAATCCTCTTCTTCTCAATACTCTTCTCAGTAATAACAGAACCAAAAAGCAATAAAAAAAATAAACATAAAACTATCAGAAAAATCTTCGATAGCTGACCGCATCAATCGTAAAATACCTAATAATTGATTTAAAAATAAACAAAAACAACAAACCAAATTTGACAGTAAAATATTATACATTCTTTTTTCTCAATAAAATAACTTAATTAATTTAATTATTAACTTTCAATAATTTTATATAAAAATAATCTATTCATCTATTAATTTAATCAATATTTATTTATTAATCCTCACAATTAAATCATCTCCTAACACCTAACACCAGAATTATCTTCTTTCTTAATTACTTATTTACTAATCGCCTATTTATTGCCTTTGTTTAAATTGATGATGAGAATACCAACCATTAATTGAGAGAAATACTATCTTCAAAACTTAAAAATAAGAACTTAAATAGTAAAGTATCTATAAAGTCACAAAATTATAATGGTTAATCACAATCAAAAATTAAGTGAAAGAAAAAAATAAAAAAACTTTATTTAATTAAGAGAGTCTTAAAATATCATAGAAAATCGAAGACATAAGAGAGCTAAATAATACTCTTAAGATGAATTTTAAATAATTCCTTAAGAAAAAGTTATCCTAGCTATGTGAAAATAAGTAGTTTACTTATTGAAATTTAAGAAAGAATACAACTTCAGGGAAAGATAATTAACTATCAGTTTAAAAATTCAGATCAATATTAGATAGAAATCATCTTCGTTGAGGAATCATTGATAGATAATTAGCTTTAATCTTTGATAATTGGTAGAAATTAAGCTCATTGATGGATGTATGGTGCAAAGTATGAACTTACACTTAAAATGTTATAACAAACAATTAGTTAATTAATTAATTATTAATAAAAATTGATTAAATAAATAAATAAAAAACCCAATTCAAGAATTATATTAAAATCAGAATATAGCATTAATAGACAAATAAAAACTGATTGGATAATATAATAAACTTTTTCTAAACTTTTTTATCAAAATATAAAATAATTTAATTATATAACAAATTAATTAATTAATTACTAACTAATTAACCCATATTTATTATTTCAATTTCCATTTCAATAACACTCATGTTATCATTCAAAGGGTTGAAAATTCTTTATTCTAATAAGGAATAAGTAAGAACTTTCTCCCTTTTTATTTTAATATGATTAATAAATATATTACTCACTCACACTACTATGTAAAAGTATTTGCAATTTTTACTTATTTATTTTTAACAAAATTAATCTTATAATTCCAACAAAATTCATTCCATTCAATCAATCAATATTAATCTAATTTATAAGAAAAACAATCAATGAAGAAAATTAATAGCAATAAATACTATACAAAAAGATTCTATTGTATATATAAAAATGAATTAAAATTGCTATAATTATGCATATTTTAGTTAATTAATTTATGGCATATTATTCTTTTATTCTATTTCTTAATTCTGATTTCATCAAAAATAAATAAAGATTAAATTTTTCTTTTCAATTATTTATTTATTTATCTCAACTAATTTAATAATTTCAAAATATTTTTCTTTTTTCTACCAATTTCTAAGAAATTGAATGAATAAACCTTAAATTTTATTATTTTTTTAATTTGCAAAGCCATAATTTCTTTTAATATTAAAATAGAGTTGACTTGAAAGATTTTGATTTAAAAATCAGGAAGTGATGACATGAAAAGTAATAAATAAATAAATTAATTAAATGTTGATTAAAAATTTACTTAACTTAATAATTAAATAACTATAAAAATTTTAAACTTATTTATACGTTATATAGCTAATATTCATAATATGTGTTTGTTATCCTTTTATTTAATATTAATGATATTTGATTTTTTTAAATTTCAAATTTATATATTACTGCTATAAGTCATATTCAAAATAATTTAAAGTTTTTTTCTAAATCTTTAAAATAAAAAACATTAAATCAACTAAATAAACTTTTCATCTTGAGATATACTAATTTCATACTCCATATTTTATGATTTATCTTTTAAAAATTTATGTTTATAATAAAATTTAATTTATAATATTAAAAATTTAATCATTTATAAATATTGTTCAATTAATATAAAAGGAAAATAAATTATCACAAGTTAAAAATAATTATAAATCAAACTAATTTTTTTCTTTTTCACTATTCAGTTTGATATTAACAATTGAAAGAAAAATGGTATTTTGCTTTAATTTTTATTATGAATTTCTTGTTAAAGTAAGTAGATGTAAAAATTATTTGATTTTTTTTTTGGAATGGATTAAAATAAAGAGAAAGATTTTTTAAATTAATTCCTGATATTTGCATTTTCAATTCTGATATTTTGATAGTAATATTAAACAAATTAATTATATTTTTAGGTATAAATCATTATTATTTTTGTAAAGTTTTAATTAATTTATCAGAAAAATCACTTAATTTAAAAAAATACATAAAATGATAATTGCTATTTTGTAAATATAAATTATTTTAATGGTATTTTTAAGCAACAAAACTTCGGAGAATTGCTTAAAAAATAGATTTTCTTAGAAAATTCTAGAAAGGGAGATCAATTATAAAAATAAAACACTAAAAATAGAAGAGATATTTATAGATTATAAACTGAAAAAGAAAATAATAAGATATTTTCAGAATTTTCGAATATATTATTAGTAAATTAATTTGATCAATATGATGTGTATCAAAAATATCAATAGCTAACTAGCTTCTTTATTTAGAAAAAGAAGGTCTTAGAAAAATTCCATTTAATATTGATGAAAGAGAGAGGAAAAAGAAAATATAAGGATAATAGGTGATGTTTAAAAACTATTTATATTAAATTGTTTAATTTTATTTATGCTCTCTTAATAAAATTGATTCTTTAATTAATTAATTGAAGGATAATACTTTTTATAAATTCTTATGACTAACAATTAATTAAAAAAAGTTATTTATCATTTTAATTCATTTGAAAGAAAAATAATATATTTAAATTACAAACAATAAATATAAAAAGCTAAGGAAAATCCTTAATACAAAATAGCAGCAGCAAAAAAAGCAAAGCAGTAAGTAGTATATTTAAAGCAGTAGCAGTTATAGAATGATCAAAGGTATAGTTGGAATTGAGTGTGGTAGTAGAATCAGTGTTATTTCAAAAATCGGTAGACATGGATTAGAAAACATAGCAAGCGAAGCATCAAATAGAGAAATACCATGTATTATAGTTTATGGAGATAAGTAGAGATTGTTTGCAGAGTTGGGATAAGACAGGTTAAAAACATTCTGGTAATAATCTATAGTCTATCCTTTCAGACTTTGCGCAAATAATGAAATTAATAAAGGGTTCACATTTTTTAATTATAATTAAGAGACAAAAAAAGCTATTATTGATGGACAAGAATTAGAATTAGTCCAGTTAATTGCATCTTATTTTACCTATTTAGATAATTTGATTTACAAGAATCTTAATGAATAAGATAATTATGCTTGTGCAATATCTACTCCAAACTATTTTACTCTCGAAGAAAAGTTAAGGCTATAAACAAGTGCTTAAATAGCTAGACTGCCATGCTTAAAGGTTTTTTTTTATTTTTATTATTAGAATTGTAGAAGATTAACTACTCACAAAACGAATTAATTATTTTAAATGGCTTTATTGCTTCTATTGATTAGTTTTAAATTTAAAATATTGCATTTAAGTTTTACGAAATAATTTTTAATAAATTTGCTGGTTTATTTCTTTTTAAATTTAGCATTTAAACATTTTAAAAATCATAACAAAAAAGTGAATTTATTTAATTGACATAAAAAATGCTGAGTTTTTTTTTATCCAAAGTTTTAAAATAATAAAATAGTTTTTTAGAAAAAATATATTGAAGTTTAAACAAAATTTTTAAATATGTTTCATCATCCAATTGCAAAATAATTAATCTTCTCAAAAATATTATATTTATTATTTGTTAAAAATATGTTTTTATATTAATCAAAAAGATTGTAGAAGAACACTGTGCTATTGGGTATACTTACTTGTGGTTTTAGAAATAAACCCTTCATGAGAAAAGAAAAAGAGTTTTATTTGTAGATTTAGGATAGTCTCAGACAAGCTGCTTTATTTACGATTTTGATAAGCTAACAGCAAGAGCTGAGTATATAAATAGTAATAGAGATTTGGGTGTCCGTAATATTGACATGCTGGTTTACTAGTATTTGAAGGAAAAATACCCTGATGTCTTCAAAAAAATTAATAAAAAATAAGAGTTAAGAGTACTCGAACAAATAGAAAAGCTTCGTAAAGTACTTAGCAGCAATTCTGAAGCAAATTTCATGATTGAGTGCTTGACCGCTGATCATGACTTGTAGCATAACTTCACTAGAGATGAATTTGAAAAGATTCTCTATAACGGAGGATTCGTTTCTAGTTTTGAAGAAATCTTAAACAGATCAATTAGCTTTTGTTTGCAGTACGAATTAATTGTTGACGACATTGAGATTATTGGAGGAGGTACACGTATACCATTAGTTTAGAGTTTGATCAAGAAGATTTTTAACAAAGAAAAGCTTGGTATATCAATGCAAACTAGCGAAAATATTAGCAGAGGCTGTGCTATTGCATGCGCCTTGGCAGCAAGTTAAATCAACCCTTTAATTAAAATTGAACATTACAAACTCTATAACATACTTTAGCATGACACTTAGGTAGAATTATTTGTTTAAGGATAAAAATATGCAGAGCAAAAGTTCAGCTAAACTTAATTCTTGCCAACCTATTAGCAAATAAGCGCTATTTTACCCTCCTATATTGAAAACATGGATGTTCAATTAAGATTTAACAATGTTGTTTATAAAAACACTGAAATAGTTTCTGGTAATAATATAACTATTTCTTATACAATTGGAGATAATGGCATATTAGAAGTTAAGTAAGCATCAGTTGGTTTAATTTCTTAAAATGAAAATTAAAACCAAGATAACAAAATGGTCAATGAGGGAGATTAGTAGAAAGATTAGCAAAATTAATAAGAATAACCCCCATAATAAAATTAAATGGAAGTAGAATAAGAATAAAAATACTTTGATATGGATTTACTTAACTAGGAACATAGTGAAGAAGTAATTAAAGCAATGATACAAGTAGAAAACTAATATAGAGAACGTGATTAAAATGTATTATTGACTTAGGAAAAGCGTAATTACTTAGAGTAATACATAAATGATGCTATTCGCTTCACTGATGAGTAATTAAAATTACATTTTTCAGCTGATAGACTTGCAGTAGTAAACTAAATTCTAAGAGAAAACAAAGAGTTTGTTGACAACAATGAAGTAATTGAGCTCTAAGAAACTGAGTCTAGAATTTAATTAATTAAAAACACATACGAGCCTTTAAAAAATGAATATAACAATAAGCAGCAATAGAAATTACCTATTAAATCTTTAGATGAATTGAAAAATATATCAACTCTGTACACAGGAAAAACTATCTAAGATATTTAGCTGCTCTTAAGCAATTAGAATATTGGTGATGGAGGTGGAATTATGGGTTACTTCAAGTCATCCGGATCTCAAAAAATTAAAGAATATCTCAGCACTTTCGGTATAACTCATTCAGTCCTTCTTGAATTAGGAAATAACTCCTTCACTGATATTGGAATCAAAAATATATTAAAGGCATTATCTCAGAAATCTCTTGGCTTAAAAGAATTCTCCATAAACTTAGAAAGCAACCTTAAATCTAAAAACAAAAATACAATAACAGCCAAATCTATTTAGAAAGTAATAAAACTGATTGGCAAGCTATAGGATATAGAGATTTTAGAAATATGTGTAAATTAAATTGAGGAATATGATCTCTAGTACTTGCAACAAATCCTACTTTAAAAATAAAAACTTAAACAAGTGAAATTAGAAATAAGAAATTTCGAACAAAACAAAATAAATAGAGATCATTTCATAAATTAGGTTAAAAAAGTTTGTGGTAGCGTTATTGTAGATTGCTACAATGAAACCGGAATGAAAGTCCATTGATTATACTAAATTATTATAATTTTATTTTTCATCTATGTGTTATTTTCAAAAGTATATGAATTAAATCAAAGTATTTTCAGTATTTTATCATTAATTTAAATTTCCTATTAAATAAAATTTTAATAAATACATTTCTTATTTTAGTATTCAAATAATCAAATATCAAGTTTCTGATCTTAATATCAATCATATCTTTTTTATTTGTATAAAGATTTGATTAATTATTATCTTTTGCTAAGCAAAAAAAAGATAAAAAAATCTAACATTAAACTAAAGAAAATTAAAAAAGAAATGGATAAATAATAAATATTACTTTGTAATGTACATAAGGAAGGAAATAATTAAATTTAATTCTTATGCTTAAATGAAGAGACCCCTAATAACATGCAACGTAGACTTCTATGTAATTACTGTTTAGAGGATTTAAATGAAACCAACTTGATTATAGTATCATTAGATAGAATCTAAATGAACAATAGAACAGTAAAATCTTGGCCTCCACTTAATTAAAATTATGCTCAGAGTTTATTCAATTTATCTGATATAAACGCTTCATATATAGAGGAATTTTATGAAAATTTAAAAATTAGTGTATGTGAACTTATTGAAAAATAAAAAAAATAAGACCTTTTAAAGCTTAACAGCTGTAATAATGAGAGCGTTTTAAATAATTATAATTAAATATCAGGATTTAAAGAAATTCAATAAATTATAAATGAAAATTGCAATTCTGTAAATGATTTGAATTTAAAACTAAATGAATACATACAATCTATGTATAATCAAAAAGAATAAAATTAAAAAATATTTGATGAGAAATTTTAGAATTTAACTGTTACAAAGCCAGAAAAACTGAATCAAATTAAAGATAATATTTTAGAGTAATTTCAATCGATAGAAATTCTTTAGAAATAGTAAAATTTAATTATTTAGATGGTATAGAGTACTTATGAAAAATCATCTAAATTTATTATAACAAATAGTAATAAATCTATACTTATAAACCCTAATAAACACACTGGGTAGGTATATAGTTAAGAACCTATTTTTAATGATAAGATATATTAATTTATTTTAAAATTCAATAAGAAACCTTAAAATTATATTTGTGTAGGTTTTGAAGAAGAATAACATAAAAATAGATATTTAGGTTAATAAGGTCGAAATTCTTTTATTTTTGGACAAATAAATGGTCTTTTTTGCAATTAATTAGTAAAAGGGTCAACAAACTTATAAAATATAGTAAATGATCAATTTATAGAATAGTTAATAATCGAAGTTTAGTTAAGCGAAAATAAATTTTACATTTCCGATTTACCAAAAAAAAGTGCAGTTAATTGCATGGACTAGGGACAATATAAATTCGATATATAAAAGAAATATTATTTTACAATACAAATAAGTAATTAAGATACATAAATTGAAATAATTTCTAGTAAAATAATACCAAATTTTACTTTAGTCTGAAAAATATTATTTTTATATTGAATTATTTCTTTACTATTTGTATTTTCAAATTAAAATAAATTTTAAATATTTAGTTTTCATTTAAAAAAATTGAAATAAAAAAGAATTTATTTTAATTCTATTCAAAAATTATTAAAATTTTAATAATCGATTTGTTAATCACTAAAATTAAATTACATTTAAACTTGTTACATTTTAAATATTAGTTAAAAAGTGAAAAATTCAATATATTTTTTTATTGAAATATATTTATAAAGTAAACCAAGTATTAATTAGCATTCATATAATATTTTTAGTTAAATAAAACTTTTACTTAACTTTTTTTCTATTTAATTCTTATTTAAACTGAATTTAGAGATATGTTTTTTAAATTAAAAGGATAAAATAAAATAGAAATTGTTTATTTATTTATTTAAAATTTTTTTAATTTTTATGGAACAGTGGAATTCTTTTTTGGGCTCAATTTTAGACAATTAAATTTAATAAATCAATAGTTTTTACAAATATGTTAATTAATTAAAGGTTTTTAGCGATTAAAAAGAAACTGTGTTAATTTATTAAATATTTTTAAAACTATTAAAGCAATAAAATAATTTTTTTGTAAGAATTTAATTAAAAATATAATTTTTCAGTAAATATAAGCAATTTAATTTAAAAAGTATGAATAAAATTAATTTGCAAAAAGATATTTTAAATTAATTTTTTATCGAAATCTAATAAAATATAAATTAATAAGATTTATCAAGTTAATCCTTTCTCTATGTTAACAAAATGATTGACTTTTATGATAAAAATAAACTATTATTTAATAAAATTTTCAAATATTTTAACTAATAAATAAAATAATTCTGGTTCTGATTTGACTTTAAAATATAAAATTCTAAAAAATATTTATAATTTAATGTGAAAAGTAAGGATAAAATTACTTAACAGAAAGATATTTTATGGTACAGTAAAATTCTATTTTAAATTAAATTTTTAGCTAAATCAAATATAATAAGCCAATAATGTTTATCAAGATTTGGTTTAGTTCTTGATTAACTAATTGATTGATAGTCTTTAGTGATAAAAAATAAGGTAAATCAAACTCTTGTTAATTAATATCTCACAAATTGTTTAGGAGTGTTTTAATATATATATATAAATAAACAACAATTCAATTAGGTTAGGATACTCTCTTTAATAGAAATATTAGGGACATAAAAAATGATTGAAGGGAGTGATTTAAAATCGCAAGAATTTAACCAGAGCGTTTTAAATTTGTAAACCTAGAATCAGATTGCGAGCGTCAATGATACCTAAGAAAACATTTACAATTCAAACTATTAAGCTAGTTTAAATAATGATTAACTCTAAAATGTAGAAGATATAGCTAGATTACAATAAAACAATATTTCTAAGCAAGCTTTTAACATGGAAAATCATGAAGAAATATACAAGATAGCCATGATTAAAGAGGAAAGTGATATTAAATCAATAAGCCTAGATGAAGATTCCGTTAAATAATATAAAAAACCTTAAGTTTTAACTTCGAGTAAAAAGATTAATATTTCTGACAGTAAAGATAAGAGCTATAAATAGAGGGAGAACAGTTTACTAAGCTTTTTTAAGAAAAAAACGATTACAAATTAACCATTTAATGAAAGTGATGATGGGGGATTTACTAGTCAGTTATGGTAGCATAGGGCTATGAAAATAATTTAAAAAGTAATTTATTTCAGCAGCTAAATGTTACAACTCTCAGCTACTGTAAGATTCAGATTACTGAAAAAAAAATAATTGCTAATATTAAATGATGTAACTGCAGTGGATATTAACAAAGAATAAATGGATAAGCAAAGATACCCGAATGCTAAAAACCTGATTGTAATTATATATTATTTTATTTATACATTAAAAGCAATTAGACTAAGCAAACTTAGAGATTTTGTCCTTATTTATTTCCTCCATAATATGATCAAAAATACATACAATCAAAATATAGACAAATAACGAAGTATGCAAGACATGTGCTATTGAGTTTAAGTTTTTAATCAAATATTTTTAATTGATCTATTTATCTTTATTTCTAATTCAATCAATTAATTGGTATGATTATTTACAATCAAAAATAAAATACCTTTATTTTTTCTAAAAAAATAATCAATCACCTTTTAAATTGTAGTTTATTTTATTCTGAAGGTAATTTATATTTTCATAATCAAAAAATTAAGTGGTCAATAAAAACGCCTGAAATATCTCTGAAGAACCAAAAAGATCTCATGAAATGTAGAGTTTTTTTACTTTTAGTATTCATCTAAATAACTTAAAAAAATTTTTATTAGCTCAAATGCTAATTTACCTTGCTAATTAGTAAAAACAGTCTATATTAAAGCAGCTTAATAATGTCTTTATCCGCTTAATGGCAAAAATACCAATTATATCTCCGGACTCTCATCTCAAAATTATCTGGGATATATTTTTTATGATATTTATCTTATTCAAAATTATGACCATGTAATATAATTTTTTTCATTATTATTTTAAGAGTTTTAATTTTAAAAAAGTTTTTGCATCCATAAAATTTAAAAAAATGAAAATTAATTATAAAACAAAAATTAATTTTTTTAATTAGAATACCAAATAAATTTTTGGTTAGAATCATTTGACAAATTAAATTTATTAAAAAAAATTAGACCAATGATTCTTTCTTATGATTTGGAGATTTTATGCTCAAATAATGGAGGAATATGTGTTGAAGAGTTTACTTCTGTTATACTGATGTCTATTGACATGTTGTTGTGTATGAATACAGCTATTTTTAAGCAGGGAACACTTATTAACAAAAGACTAGAAATAATAAAAAATTACAAAAGTAAAAAATTAAAAAATTAATAATTAAAAATGAATTATAATTATAATAAATAGAGTAATTCTTTTATGACTTGATAGTTTTGATATGCTACAGTATAAGCATTATAGTAGGGAATGATTATTTAAAATTAATCATACTTGTAAAATTATATGAAGTAATAAATTAATTTATTTGAAAAAATTTTGAGTATAATTTACTTTTTATTAATTACATAATAGATTACACATATTGTCATGTTCCTTGAAGAGATCTTCCATCCCACTCAGATTGTTTATAGTTTAATAGATATAGGAAAAATCATTTTCATAGTTATTTTTATGGCTCACATGGTGTCTTGCTTTATCTATATAATTTCTAAAAATCAACCAGTTACTGGAAATACTTGGATTACGAGGTTGAATTACAATTCATGGGTAGAATACTACATCACAGGTCTTTACTTTGCGATTATAACAATGTATATACTTCAAATTATATTAATAATTAACTAATCACAATCACTTTAAAAGGATTACTATTGGATATGGAGATGTTGTACCAGTGACAATATATGAGAAAATATTTGTGATGGGAATGACTCTTGTTTCATGTGGTGTATTTGCTTATTCTTTGAATACAATATCCAGAATTATCTCTGAATTTTCAATGAGGAGATCTAAGTTTAGAAAGAAAATGATTCATTTGAACATGCACATAGAGAGCAGAGGTCTGAATAAATAAATAGCCATTAAAGTTAGAAAGTATTTAGAGTTTTTCTATAAAGAAAGTGAACAAGAATGGGAAAATTCAGAAAAAGATCTTTAATACATTCCTTAGACTTTGAAAGATGAAGGTTTGAATTTATTTTAAATGATTTTAATAAAAAATATTTATATTTTATTTAAATGAAAGAAAAAACTTTAAATAAAGAAATTAATTTTAATATTTTTTTTAATAATTTAGTCTACTAAGATATCTATGGAAATTTATTGAAAAATAGCAAACTATTCAACTTAAATTTTTCTGAAAAATTTCTTAATTAAATATCTCTCTTCATGAAAGAAAAGAAATATGGACCTGAAGAAGTTATTTATAGGCCTGATGAACAAGGATAAACTTTATATTTTATAATCAAAGGCATTGTGGAACTTTATTTACCAGTGAAAAATCCTTCTGATAATGAGCATCCTGTTGTATCAACACTAAAAGTAAATAAAATAAAGATTTTAATACAAATTTTGAGAATTAAAAAAATATTTTCAATAAATTGATCAAATTTTAAATATTTAATGAGTCTATCTTATGAAATTTTAATAATGCTTGTTAAAAACAATTTCAAAAAAAAAAAACAAAAAAATAGAATCAATCAAATAAATTTTTATCATTTTTTAATGTGAAAGTTTATATAGAATTTTATATAATAAATAGAAAGGAGATAGTTTTGGAGTGTATTCATTTTTTAGTGGAAAATGCAGAGAAACTGGAGCTATTAGCAAATAGGTGACTTCAGTCGTAGTTTTAGAGCTCAGAGATTTTTTTTAAACTATTAAAGAATATGAAGAGGATTATGAAATTTTTTGTATGATGAAAGATAAAATTAATTTGAATAATAGCACGTTTGGCTTAGACGTTAAGGTATTAAATTACTTCATCACATCTAGGCATTATGAAAGATATTTTTTTTCTTTTATTTTCTACTTAGAAAACATTATAATATCTTACAATCTAATTTATTCTTTTATAAATCCTAGTGTAAGTCCTGCGGAAAATTCAATCATTAACTTTATGACTGTCCTTTAATAACCTATAGTAATTCTTTTTTATTTTTGATTATCAAATCTATAACTATATTAATTTTTGCATTTTTATGATAAAAGGGCCTAAGAAGTAACTTGTTATTGCTAGGGGTAATAGGAGTGAGCCTTAGGTTAGAGCTTCTTGTGAAAGAAGAAATATGAGAAGCCCTAATAGTTTATACATTTGGAAGTATATTAGGTCTTTTGATTCTGAAATTTTGAAGAATGGAAGATAAAAAAGTGTAAGCAGCATGACTAAATTAGATGAGTTTGTGCTTGAAAAAAAATAAAGTTACAGTTAAAGACCAAGCAACAAATTTTAAGAGGGAATATGTGAAGAAGACGAAGAAGATTTTAATGAGGAAGAAGATTTAAATAACTCTTAAAAACCATTTGAGGAAATTCTCTATCCAAAATCGCTGTCTAACATTTCTAATAGTGGGGGAGTTGTTGCTACTTAAAATTTTTAAAATAACTCAACTAAAAAAATGCTCAGCTAATAAGGTGGATCTAATCTTGCTTTCTGCACCCAAACACCTTTAAGTATGGCAGTGTCTAACTAACAGAATAATAATTCAGTTATAGTTTATACACTTCCGAATAATGCTAATGGAAGTTTTCAAGAGAATATTTTAACTTAAAATTCATGTAATTTAGGAATTAATTAACCTAATTCTCCATCAAAGTTTAAAAGAAATGCTGACAGAGAAGAAGCAATGAAATGTTTTTAGAATAAAAAATCTAGCGGGTAGCAGATGTCAAAGTAGATTGATGATTTATCTCTTTAAATAAAAGATAATGGTTCAAACTATTCATAAAAGAAGAAGAAAAAGGCATAAAAAGTATCTAAATAATATTAAAGTACTTTGCACAGTTACAATAGCACTTTGAATTTCACTCATGGGTTTTAGGCTATGAATTCTAATGGTAGTTCACATAATCAAAATAATTTTAATTTGTAAATATAACACTAAAGCTCTCAACAAGCTTCTTAAAATAATAATAACAACAGCAATATAAATCATACACACAGTTTAAACTATGTATATAATACACCATCTATTAATAATAACTAGAATAGCAACAATGTTAATTATTTAAATAATAACAATAACAACATGAGTAATTTAAACAATGTTTATGCACATAATAATATATAAAATAACTAAAATTTAAATACAAATTAAAATAATTTAATAAATCTAATGATACACTAGCAACCAACTTTCCAAGAATTAGTAAAATAAGTCACTCAAGAAAACAATGATTAGAACAGCCAAAATTACCAGCAAGTATACTACAATCAAGTTTCAGACTAAATTACTAAGACTGATAATTTTATGCTAGAATCATGGTTTTCAATAATCTTAGACTTTGATAAATCTAAGTGTTTCAAACGATATTTACCTCATAATAACTTGGATAAAGTTTTAGCAAGATTTAAATTTTTAGAATTCAAAAAGATGAAGAGTAGATTGACTAATATACTGAAGAAAGGCTCTTAAACAAATATTAAGGAAAAAATTAGCCTAAGCTAAGTAATTAAGTAAGCTGAGAGAATAAGAAAACAAAGAAGAAAGCTTTCCCTATATGTAACTTAGCAAAGCTAAAGTGAAAGTAATCTAGAGAAAAGAAATAAACACATCAAATAAGCTTAATCTTTCATTAATGAACAATCAAATGAACTATCTAAATTTAAAAGCTTCTAACTTAATCTAGGGGCTATTAATACTGGTGAATAGAAATTCAAAGAATTTTCTAAAAGTGAAATCTAATTAAGAGAGTAGGATCAGGAGGATGATAAAGATTTTTAGAAAAACTAAACAATTTAAATATGAAAATCCCTTTCAAAAGAAAAAACGTATTGATTTCAATTTAACCTTATCTCAGTATTATTAAAAAAAGAAAATAAACGATGTTAAAAATTAAAATAAACTATTACTATATTACCATAATTATAAATAAATATAAACATATATTTAAACATAAATTTAATCAATAAAATCTTAGCTAGGAAATAATTATCAATTAAACTAAAATCAATCACAAATATTTATGAATTCAGAAATCAATTGCTTTTTATAAAAAGGCTTGTATGTTAGAAAATTTTCTGACAGAATGTTTATTGTTTATATAATTAACGCATTTAAATAATCTATTGTGAGAATAATTAAGCAGTAGGAAATAATAAAAAACCTTTTAGCCATATAACGATAAAATCAAGCAAATACTCATACACATTTAAACAAAGATTAATAATTAAACAAATTAATTGTAATCTGTAATTTTGTTTTCACTTTGATGAAAGTTTATATCATTAAATTGATATATTCTTTTATAAATTTAGTTAAAAAATTAATTTATAATTCTTTCTACGCTTGTAAAAGCTTATAGATTTATAAATTTTACATATTTTAAATTCTATTTATTCTTTTTAATTATCAAAAATAAATTTACCTATGATTTACTTTTTTATGTATAAACTAAAGTAATTGATTGTATTTGATCAGTGTTTCTTATTAAAACTTATAGATTACAAATAATTTAGTTTATTAAGGTCAACCACAAACCAATATTTTTAAATATCTTGAAACCTTCTTATTTAAATTAATTACTTATTTACTGCTTTACAGTTTATAATATTTGTTTTAATAAATATCTCCTAATTGTTTTTACAGTAATATTCATTGCAATCTTTAATTTAAAAAACAAGAAAATATATTTATTACTCATTTATAATTTTATTTATTTTTTAGTGATCTACTTTAAATGTTTGTTTCAAATTGATTTTTCATCCAAAAATACTTTTAAAAGTAAGCTAAATAACTTTATTGAGTAATTTTATTTGAACACATTAGTTATAATCTAATAATTTCTAAAGGTTAGTTAATATATATCCATATTTAATTTTATTATCAATTTGTAATAAGAAATACAAAAAATAGATAGATGATGAATTTAAATTTGGAGTTAACTCTTATAAATAACTAGATTTATCTTTTGAGAAAATAATCAAATCAGAAAGCTAAAAAACGAAAATAAAAAATTTTTCATTTTGAAAGCACATTTTCAAAAAAAATACAAATTTATTTTCCTCAAAATTTCTAGAAATAGCTTGATAAAAATTTAAAAATTTTGAATTTAGCATTTTAATACTAAAAATAAGTAAATTAATTTCAAATAAGACTATGTTTGTGAAAAATTGTAAATTAATTTGAAATAAAACTATGATTGTGACAAATTGTAAATTAAGATTCTCTTATCTTTATTTTAAGTATTAAGTGAATTTACTAATTTATTAATTAATAATTTATTATTTTATTTTTTTATAAATTTACTTTTAAAACAATTTTTTGTTAAAATATTTAAAAGTTAATTATTTAAAAAAAGTATAAAAAATAATATTTATACTAGTTTACTTAGAACTATACAGCTAGACCTTTTTTTAGATTTTAGTATTACTAAATTAGTAATTTATATGTTAAAATTCAAATATAATTGGATGATTAAAAGAAATAGTAAAATCCTAGATTACTTAATTTAAGAAAATAATCATCTGAAATTAACTAGCAATACATATTTAATAGTAAAAGAATAAATATTGACACGAAATGATCATCAACAAAATTACTTATATAAAAGAAAAATTAAAATAAAAAATCTAACTAACTTGTTTGTGTAAATGCATATCAAATTCAGAGAGTTAGAAAGCATGTAATTTGAACTATAACGATAGCTTTTAAATAAAATTCAAAATGAAAATGAAATTAAAATACTATATTTTTTGGTTGATGAGATTGTTTTTGATGACAGATTATTTTATAGACGCAAATCGAATGGATAATTTGTATATTTTTTGATAAGAAAATAGAAATAAGAGTAAATGTATGTCGCTTTCTTATCAAGAAATAAAAAATTAATCATTTAAAAACAAATTATTATTTTGGGATTTAAAAGCAATCAAATCCCACACTCTTCTCTTATTGGTTTATTTATATTTTTTGAATGGAAATCCATTAATCTATTAAAAATATCACTGTTTATTAAACTTTGTAGATAGATTTTTTATTCAAAAGCAATTATTACAATTATTTATTTCCAGACATGAGTAAATAAATTTTTTCCAAAAAGTTATCAAACATTACATAAATATTTAAATTAAACTAGTTGAATAGAAATCTTTTTTTAATTACTTTTTATTATACTATTTTTCTTTTTATTGTAAATTAATTATTTGAAATGTCACTTTGGACTTTCTACATATAAAAATGATACTTAAATATTCTAAACTAATGAATTCATAAAAGGTTTCAAATTGAATATTTGAATTGAGCATTGTTTAAAATAATTGAATTCAAAGCATATAAATCGATTAATATTTGTTGCAAAATGAAGCTTATTTCAGCTATAAGATTCCAATTTATTAGCTCTTAATAAACCTAATGAATAATAATAGTTAGTTAATGATGTGCAAATTCATAGAGAAAATATTGAAATATATAACTACGATCAAACTAATCATCAAAAGCATCAAAAAAAAAAGAAGAAATAGATGAATGAACAAGAAAATATAATATTTATTAATGAATGAATGTATGAATACCAATCTCTTAAGTACTAATATAATGAAGAAATTGAATGATGATAACACAAAATCATGAAAATAATCAGACTCAATGACGATCACAATCGCAGAACTGATGTTACTATTTGTCAATAATAATACACTGATTAAATTCAAAAAGAAAGCAAATAATTATGTAATATTTGTTAAAAAAATTTATAAATCAGCTAATAATTAATTAATAATAATAATACATAAAAAAAAATAAAAACAAAGAGAAAGGCATCTTTTTGTTGTTAAAACAAATAAACAGGCAAAAAATAAACCAAACACTTATATCAAAACAGTAAAATGGGAGGTAAAGAAAGTAAATTACTCTGCTGTCCAAACAGCAGCGTTAATGTATCACCCTCTTCCTAAAACAGAAAAAGCAATAGAAGATAATCTTTCCAATCAGACCACTACTAGAATGTGGAAGACTATCTAATTGATAGATCATCTACTCATGATTCGATTTCTTAAAAAATAAGTTTCTAACCTCTTTTTTTTGATTTCAATAAGTGCTCTCTTACAAGTCAAAGCCACTTAGAAAAAGGTGTCCAATAAAGATCTGACAGTAAGGATAAATTTAACAAATTTGATCATTTAATTGAGTACATTACTGACTTCTTTGATACAAAACCATACGCTAATCCTTATAGTTCTATGCTTGTCTAGTCTTAGTTATAATATCAGTCTTAGCTTCATTTAGATTTAAAGGAGTAATATGAACGTGCTTTTATCGAATCAAAAGAGCCAAGCGAGTTGACAGTCTATTTGAAGAGGGGATAGACCAATAACACAAAATTCTATGACTAAGTCAATGAGTACATATTCTAAAATGTAAAGAATCTCGATGAATATTTAGAAAGAGTAGAGGTAAAGTTAAACGATTAAATGGACCATTAAATTGAATCCTCTTAAATCTTATACTAATAAAAACTGAAAGAAGGACTATAACTATAAATAATCTACGTGATTTTTAAAAAGTTAAACTACTAGAAATCCAGGGATTTAATATACTTAAAAATACACAAAAGAATCGATGAAAACTAATGTATACAAGTCTATCAATCAGTTTAAATTAAATGCGAGTAGAATACTTTGATTGATTCTGATTCAGATTAAACTATTGCAAACGCTTCTCCTGGGGTGGCAGCAATCGCAAATCCAACTGCAAATAACAATGTCAAATAGCCAATAAAGAAGTAAAAGACAAATGGATAAAAAATTAGAAAAGTTTCAAGCTCCAGCAATGTTACAACTGATGAAAAATACGAAAGAGCTATGCTCTATATGGGAGGTAAAAAAATAACATTTGTTCCTGAAAAGAATGAAGTTCATTTATAAGAACTACAATCATTAGATATGAAAATTGATACACCACATATTTTCCAAAAGGAAGTTATCATCCATCACTCAAAGAAAATATTTGAAAAGATAAAGAATACTCTTAATTAACAATCAAACTAATGAACAAAGTTAAAGAAAGCTAAATAACTTTAAACCTCCATTTATAACTTTATAATAAAAACTATAAACACTATATATTTAATTAACCACATGAAGCAAATTCATCAAACTAAACTGTACTTTTTAGATGAACAAAATAATAGATTTGAATATAAGATTTAAAAACTCTATTCTCATTTCTTATTGAAATTCAGATGATTTGAAATTAATACATCAAATAAATACCTCGAATAGTACCTACTGTAAAAAATTACACTATTAAAGCTCTCAAGTAATTACCCTGCTGCAGACTCTTGTTTATGAGCGAGTAAAATTTAGTGAAAAAAATTAATTTATTTCAAAGCCCAAATTTCTGAAATTATTTGAAATTAGTTTAGCCTTTCCTCTTTCTTCTTATTCATAGAAAAGATTAAAGTAAGATAAACAAGATGAAATTGATTAATTAAAGTGAGTTGTTAATTGTTAAAGAATGTCAAATAATTGATGAACTTGTGGGGCAAAATGATTTGAGATATTAAATTAAGCTTAATTCAACAAAATTATTTGGTGAATTGTTCAGATTACTCGAGGGAAGGAGGATTAAATCTTGCTTAACTTCTATCATTTCTAATATCGAAAGTTGACTAATTTATTTTTTTGCTTTTCTTAATTAAAACCTCTCTATTCTTCTCAATCTAAATTTTACAATTTTAATTGGACTTTATTAATGTAGAGGGGAAATTAAGTAAAACAACTTTTGTATAAACAAAAAAAAGACAAGCCTATTCAAAAATATTTGCGAACGGAGAAATTAATTTAAATTCAAAAGAAAAGCTAAAGAAACGGCGTAATAGTCTAGTAAATTTAAATCTTTGAAATAACTAAAAATTAGAGGAATTCAAATCTAAAGAATTTAAAGCTTAATGATTGAATAAATAAATAAATAAAAAAACAAACAAACAAAAAAATTGGACTTTATTATTAAAACAACATGTACTTTATAATAGAAAAAAATCAAACCGAATTTTATTACTTTATATTAAATAATTATTACTTAAGTATTATACATATTAACCATTAAATTATATAAAAAATAACTAACTACATAGCTAACTAATATATTATCACTTAATACACCTATTGTTTATCTGTATTTAAAATATTCAAACATTTATCATCCTTCAATTATTTTCATTTTATTTTGTTATTTATTTGATTTGTTTGGCTTTATTGTTTGCTTCAATTTATATAATTTTAAAAGTTGTGATTTACAAACAGAACACGGAAGATTTATTCTTTTCCCCAAAATCCAAAATTAATTTATAATTTTTTAAGCTTTAATAAGAATTCATTGGAATTTATTTTGAAAGCTTTGAATCTTTCTCAAAATCCAAATTTATTTTTTTTCATGCAATAGACTAAATGTATTTATTGTAAGCACTGATAAGAGTCCTGATCAAAATAAATTTGCTAAATATTAAAATGGCTAGATGCAACAATAGTATATAGAATCTATTATAATAATTTTATTAAAGACAAAAACTAACTTTTAATTTTTAAATTCAAAATTTTTAATTTTTAGCAAAAAAATTTTGGTGATAAAACATAGAAATATAATGGAAAATCATTTTTTTTGTTAAATATCAAACTTACTTTGGACATATTTAAAGATTGAATACTTTTTTAAATGAAGTTCCATTTAAAAAATAACTCATTTTTCTAAAAAAAGGATACATTGTAGTACAAGACAAGTATTAATAAACACATTTTTTTGTAAATTAAAGATAAAACTTTGCTAAATATAAAATTAGTTGAATGGCTAAATAGCTGAAAAAGATGAAAATATTTAATATTTAGAATCAAAACTTCAAAATTTGTATGCTGATTTAGAATATGCAAGTTAATACAAGCAAGATTTATTATTGGTCGCATTTTCATGTTAAATTAAAATATATTCAATAATTTAAACAATAATAAATTATCATTTTCTTGAGAATAGAAGATTGATTATTATTTATTTATTCATTCATTATTTATCAATCATTATAAAATAAATCACAATCTTAAAAATTTACAAAGTAATTCATTTACAAATATCTAGTTAAATCATAAATTTTCATTTAAAAATAGAGTAATTATTTTAAAAATAGCACAAAATAAAAAGGATAATAATAAATATAGTAATGGGCTAAGTTTGTAATAAGTTTATGGAATGCTTTGGTACAACCCAAAAAGAGCAAATAAGCAATCATCGAGGTCATGCACATTATCATCGCTATAATGATTAAGAAGAAGAAGATGGATCTGCAATTAATAATGATGCAATTGGTAGTAAGAAATCAAAGAAGGTGTTTTATTCTCAAAATTAAAATTAGCAATCTGGCTCTAATAATAAGGTATAAAAATAAAAGAATCTTTAAAATGGTAATTAGGAGAAACTTGGTGTTGACTAGAATAACAATCAATAATATTTAGATGAGGATGAAGAAGATTCTAAATAGAGAGCAATTAAAAAAAATGAAAGTTCAAAATATTTACTAAAGCACAGCAATTTAAGTGCTATTATAGAGGAGGACGAACATAAAGATTCGTTTAGGTAATAGAGCAGAAAGCTTTCTAGGGAAGCTAAAAAAAATTATTATAAAGAGACTTATGACAGCGATAAAAACTGCATATTGATTTTGTAAAATACAGAATCTAATCATAGCCTAGCAAGATTTGAAGAGAATAGCTTTAGTCTGATTCATGATATTTAATTTGGCGAGGATATAGCTAAGTTTTTACCTGATTATGAAAAACTAACAGCAAAAGCGATGGAAAATTTAACAAATATACTCAATAAAGATTACTAGGAAGAAGGTTACACTCTCGAGAACAATAAAAGCGAAACAGATGATTCTGGGTTTTATTCGCAAGTTTATCTTAAGCCAACAGAAGATGGCAAATATAAATATTTTAAAATCAGAACTGAGTATAATCTTTATAACTGCACAGCAAGGGAATATCTATAATTTACAACTGATCCTATTAGAAGTATGTAAAACAATCCAAGTATTGATGCATTTAATCATGTTGCATGTCACGATGATTATCATATTATTTACATCCTTTATAAAAAAGTACTAATTTGCTCACCAAGAGATTTTATATATCTTAAATACAATAAACAAATTGATAATAACACTTACATTTCTGTATAGTTCTCTTTCGAGACTAGCGAATTTCCCTAGTATTAAGGGAAAGAAAGAGGAATAATTGTCCTAAGTGGTTCTATCATAACTGAAGAACTAGATAGCAATGGTAATAAATTCATAAAATTATCTAATTATGCAGAGTCTAACTTAAAGTTAACTGTTTAGCATAAACTAATGAAAACATCAACTGTAAAAGAAGTAAGTAAATTTATAAATAAAATGTAAGAATTATTTTTAAAGCAATCCACATCATAATTGCCAAAAATGTGAAAATAGAAATTAATAATATGGATAAAGATTTATAATTAATTAATTTCATTTTTGATTATAAGACTTTATTTTAAAATATATAAAAATTAATTATATTCATTTATTTCAAGTTTCTCCCTAAAAAATTGACTTAGTCTTGTTAATAGTAAACTCTTCCCTAAACGATAGTAATTCAAATTTTGATATATATCTAAATCAAAATACTATCTTAGGTTTCTCCCTTAAATTATTTGCTTATTTTGAATTTAAACATTCATCTTTAAATTAAATCTATTGATCTTTATTAAATTATAATATATATACATATAAGTTTCTTTATAAAATTCAATCAGGCATTCCTACTGTTTTTATATGAATTAAATTTTCATAAGTTTTTTTTGATTAGCAAAGAATAAAATTTTAATTTACAAAAGCATCATTATTTTAAATATTTGATTCAATAAATATTTTAATAATTTGATCAAATTAGAAATATAGCCAAATATTTACCTAAATAACCTAGTGCTTTATAAAAATACACTAGAGATTTACAATATCGTCATTTTTTTTAACAATCTTAAATTTTCACCATCAGCTTTTTAGACGCTTTGCTAGTATACAGCATTTGATAATCAAACATGGTTTTTTGGCTATTTATCATTTCAGTCCATTTAATTTCATTAAATTTGTATATAAATAAACAAATTAAATTCTTTTTATTTTGTTAAAATAATTTAAAATTTGTTTTTTTCTTGTTTCTATCCAAATCAGCAAAATCAAATCATTTTCGCTTTTCTATAATATTTATTTGTCGATTTGTTGTAATAATAAAGATAAATAAATGAAAAAAAAGTATGAATGACAATATTTTTATATTGATTAATAAGAGCTTATTTAAAAATGATGGTAAAATATGTAGTTTATTAAATACTAAAAAATCCTAAAGAGTATAATTAAGTAAATATTAATCTTTAACATCATCTTTTTTGCAATTATTCTAAAGGATAAAACATATAGCAATTTTAAAAGCCAACTAAAAAAAATTCGAAGTAGCCTAATTCTAAATAGTGATTATTTAATATTGAAGTGAATATCTTATTTTTATTTTTAGTAAAATACAAAAACAATTTAATTTGAATAAGGTAGAAGATTTGTAAAAATGTAATAATCTGATTTGTAAAATCCAGGATTGGTTTAACAACCTGGCTAAATTTAGTATGGTGTACAAATTCCTTAATAATCAGCTGCAGCTCATTAACCATAAGTTTAAGCTTTGCCTAGAATGGTTGAAATTCCTATGAAATAAGGAGAAGTTATGTCTTAGTATTTGGTTAGAAAACAAGTTTATAAAAATGCATTTAAAGATTTAAATGATCATGATAAAGCCTATTGCTATGCAAACATTTACGCAAACATTACATTTTTATATGCTAAATATCCTCCATCTCTCACTGAAAAAGTTATGAAATATGCACCTCAAGCTTGATTACGCATTATTTATTAAAAAGTTTCATTTAAATTACTTTGCTAATATAGCTTTTGCATTTCATCTATAAAAAATGAGTAATAGTACATTAAAAACTGGTTAAAGCTGCTTAAATAAAGAATTTAAGGCACTAATAACTTGTAGATATATAAATATATATAAAAGAATAGAAATAATTAATACTAAATAATAATTATTGTATAAATATAATTTTATCAATAAGGTTGAAATTATTTCAATCTAACTTAGTTTTTTATATTTATTTTACTTCAATTGTGATTGATAAACTATTCAATTCAAAAAATATTATTTTTTTTATTTTCACTTTCTATCATCAACAAAATAAACATTTTTTAAAATATTACTTTACTTTTTAATAAAAATCTTCGAAATTATTTATTTAGATATTTTTAATTTTTAAAAAATTTAAATTTATTTCAAAATGAATATTTATCACTCATTTCTCTTAGAGAATATTAAAAGAATTAGCTTAATAATCATTATAAATTAAAAAAATTGATACAAGGATCCAAATATAAGTAATAAAATATTATTAATCATTTTGCAATTAAAAGACTTTTCTTTATATTTATTTATTTAGTAAATTCGATAAATAGAATTTGTTGAGGTTTAAAAATAAAATAGAATTCGTAATTCTTATTGAAAAATAAGAATGTCTTTTAGAAATTTTAGAATTGATAGATTTGTTAATGATGATTTAGTAAGATGAAACAGATGATGCTATCTATATATATAATTACAATATTAATAGATGCTCTGCATAAAGATAAACATCCATACTAAATTTAGTTTATGATAATTTAATTTTTAAATCCACAATGATCATTATCTTTTATTATTTCACTCGACAACAAGGTTAGTACGAATGGGATAAACTAATTTTGAAGTCTTGTGATATTCTTCTGTTTAATGATTAAGGGCCAATGCCTTTGTATCTTTTTTTTTTAAGTATAAAATTAATCTAAATATTTTTGTAATTTAATGAAGTGAATACCAATGTTTGTAACTTTGTCACCAATTGAACTTTAAACTTGAGCAATATTTTCAGGAGAGAAAGAGTTATCCAAAGCTTACCAGAAGTTAGGATCACCCTTGAAAGTAGGCATATATCCTAAAGATTCTCTTCTTTCCTATAATTGATAAAATAATATTTAATATTTGAATTAAATTGAATATTAATTTATTTACAGCAATATTTTCAAAAGTCCATTCTAAATCTAATTTGACTTATCTCCATACAGGATCATCAGCTAGAATAATAAAAAATAAGTTATATTCAAGTTATCTATTAATTTATTTGAATACCAGCCATATCATAGGTCTTGTAAATGTACAATTCAGGATTGTACTTTTCTTCAATGCTGACGGACCAGACTTCTTCAGCATTAACTTCACGGAAAAATTCAAATTGTTAACGGACATGGTGAGCAACAGATTCTCTATTTTCCTTAGTGATAGGCTTATCACTGTTAGAAATTTCATCAATAATGACTATTTAAAACATTTATTTTTACATGAATATTTTGATTTATCAAAAATGTGTTTAGAATATAAATTTCAAATAAAAATTTTAAGTTAGATTAAAATAATTTAAAATTTTCTAAATTCAATTTAAGATAGCTTATCTATTTTCATTCTAAATTGAATGTATTATTTTATCTATATTTATTTATTTATTTTAAGTCACAGTCTAATAAATATCCAAAGATTTCATTCATTTATTTTTGAACTTATTAGAGTTTGTTTAATTGAAACAACCCATTTGTATAATGTAAGCTAAAGTACAATGCTACTCTAACATTTTAGTTTCAACTTTAATTTGTCTTTATTTAGTGATAAACTATTAAGCAATTTGATTAATTCTTCATATGTATTTGCTCTAAATCTAAATTGATTGCAGAAAAAAATATTTGTTTACTGTTGTTTGAAGGACTTCTCTTTTCTTTTTCTTAGAACTCCTTAGCAGCAGCAGCAACAGCTTCAGCATTATTAACTTAATCCTTATTCAAGTAGCCATAACGAACTAATCTATTTATTTTTATTAAACAAAAATTATGCAAACAAACCTTAGAATTATTATTTATATTATGATATTCTTTTGCTAATTTATTTTTGTATCTAGAATTCTATGCTTAAAATGAGAATGAAAATCATATATACCTTTCAGTGGTAGTTTCACCGACTGGGTCGTAGCTGGAATGATAAGTTTAATCTGATGTATGAATTTCATGGTGATATCTAATATTGTGGGGAGAATCTCTGAAAGCAGTTTTGTAATCAATTTAATGTACTTCACGATTGATAGGTTCAGAACCAGGAGCGGGATATCTTGTTCTTCTGACAGTAGGTTTAGGCAATTAATACCATCTAATGGCAGGGTTGAAAATAATTTCGCTATTAATTTTTCATTATATGAGTGAGCTTAATATCAGTATTTTGCTAAATTTTATCTAATTCTATTTTAAAATATAATATATATATACTTGAAACGTTCAAGTGCCTTTCTCATTTATGCTTATTAAGAAAAATAGTGTTTTAGATTTTTACTTAATCCTTTAACTTTATTATTTATTTTGATTTCTTAAAAATGAATAAAAAAAACTCAATAAATAAATAAACAAAAAAAAGCAAGCTAACAAGTAAAAAAACAAATACTTATTACTTTATTTACGATTGAATAATAATTCCTCAATTAATAATAGAAAGAAATTTATTAGTTTATCAATTACAAAGAGAAAAGCAAATCCTTTACTTTATTTATTTATTCATTCATTCATATATCTAATATTGAATGATATATCTAAAAAAAGATGCTTGATCAATCCTTCCTCTCATCAATTAATAAATATCCTCTTTTTTATTTGTTTTATTTCATATTTTCCATAGTATTTAATCATTTAAAGTAAAATTATTTTTTATAAAAAGAGTCTACTAATTTTGAGAGTTTTTAAATAAAATATATTAATTATTATCAATGTTCAATAATAAATCAAATTAATTAGCATGTTTGTTTTATATAAATTAAGAAATCAATACATTTTTATATAAAATATTAAGAATATTTTGCATGTATTTCTTACTAATATATTTTTAATTATTTATACGTAAGAACCTATTATTTATTTTTTATGTGAAATAAATATAATTGAATATTTATACATGTTTATTTTTTCAATTATACTTAAATATTATATTTGATCTAGTAAAAAAAACTATTTAATTTAAAATAATTAGTTATTTTAACATAGTTTTTTTCATTAAAATTCTAAATTTTGTTTAATATTCAAATATTATTTCTAACTTAGTAAAAAGCTAAGGAGAGCTATTTATTTTTTATTGCTTTTTATCATCTTAGATTATATTTCAATTTTGGTTTAGTAATTTTAGAATTTATAATTATTTAATTGTTTATTGTTTCTAATCAAAGTTTATTTTTTCTATTTTATATTTTCTATAGAATTAGTGACCTTTATCTTCAATCTTTATTCACTAATCTTTTTAAAATATCTCCTGAATTGTTTTTAATTTCTTTTCTTTCTCCAAGTATTCCAAAAATTATTCTGTTAGCAACTTCTACACTTCCTTTAGGCTTTTAGATAGTTTAGTCTAAGTATTCGTTTTTCAGTGAATCCTTAAATAATTTCCTTGTAATTTTCAAATCATAAATTATTAAGAACTTGAAAGAATAAATAAAATACCTATCAATTTTTGTTAGAGGAATTATTTAAAGTTCAATATTAGATTTTTAGATTTCTTAGTTGGCTTGCTACATAAATGACTATGCTTCATTTTCATCACCGAACACAATCTTTTAAAATTTAATATTTTTAAATTTATGAAGCTTAAAATGTATGTTTTTACAAATGAAAATGTCTCACTTTGTTTTCTAAGAAGGAACTTATGTTAAACTAAATTACTAGCCCAATTTTCAAAATCAAAATCTTGATTGTTTTAGTGATGACTTTATTTTTACTACAAAAATAATTATTTTATTGAATCAATATCATATATTTTATTTTACATTTAAACATAAGATATGATTTAAACTAGGTAAAAAGTTATCTTTTTTATCATTTGTAGCGTTATTGTCTTCATAAACTTCTATTTTTTATCTGCTTGAATTTGAGCTTTCATCTTTTGAATGAATTCCTGTATTCGAAGATGCAGATGAAAGAGAACAATCTTCATCTTTTCCAACTGAATTAGAGCAATTTTCGTTTTCGTTTTCACTTTCATTTGCCAATTTTTTCTCTGATTTCTTATTCTTTTTATGCTACTTTCTCTATTTATTTTTGATAGACAAAAAATTGTATTTTTTTAGATTTACTTGTGCGCATAAAATTTTAAATTATCTTTCAAAAAAACTCTGTATTTTAAATTTTTACTTAATTAACAATTTCATTATGAATTTGTAGCTAACTGCTAGTAAAGTAATCCCTCAACTACAAAGCTGGAGTAGGAGCATTTAAGTTCTCTTTACTTCTAAAAAGCAAAAGCCCTTATTTTTTCTTTTTCTTTTATTTATTGCTATTCTGATCATCACCTTCTGTTTAAGCATTCTACTATTTAAAAATATGAAGCTTATGTAAATGAATAATTCTAATATGAAAAGACTTATTACAACAACGACTTTAACGTAAATAGATTTTGAATTCAAGTTATAGTATTCTGTCATTGTTTTAATTAACTTCTTTTAGAAGCTTTTTAAATTAAAGTACTGAACACCATCTTCGTTGCCTTTTTCTGCTTTTTCTATTTATATAAATATTATTATTTTAAATCATTCAAATCTATAAAATATCATCTCTAGTATTTTAATTTAATGCTAAAATAAAGCTCTATTTACAAATCTCGCTCAGGTATTTGATTATTTTAATTTCAAGCTTAAATAAAAACTATCTAGATTCATTATCTAGTAATGCCTACTCAAGATACTAGTTCATTTGCTTTGCTTTTTTGTTTGCTCTTAACTACCTCCCTCAACTTTTCTTTAAATTAATTTCACTTAAATTTCTATATATCTTTATTTGATATTTAGTAAATTTATAATGTAATGAGCTATTTGCAATTAATTAATTCTTCTTGCTAGACTATTTATTAATTAAAATTTTCTATTTGAATTATATAATAGCTAAAAATTAATTAATTAGTAATATATTTTTTTTACATACCTTATAAATTATTATATAAAGACCAATTAAATAATTTTAATTAGATATAGGTTTTTATAGCTTATTCAAATATTGATAAATTTCAAAATAATTTTTTTCATTAAAAAACTTTTTTATTAAAATATCATTAAAAAAAAGAATTGAATTAATCTTTCTTTTAATTTTAAGAAACAAATCATATTAATTTAAAAACATTATTTTTAACTAATTTATTAAAATAATTGCAAAAACTAGATATATCAAAAAAATATATAGATAACATGTAAAGGTATATGTTTATACTTTTTATTATTTATTTTTGATATAAATTAAAAATATTTTTTTAAAAACAATAAATGATAATTCATTAATATTTTAGATTCAATTTTAAAATCTTAAAAATAATTTATTTTAATAAACAAACAAGCAGATATTTTTTTTCTTTTAGATTAGAGTTTTAAGAATATATTTTTAAAATGGTAAATAAACATCTTCTTAATCAATTTTATTTGGAAAATTAATATTTTTTATCAAAATTGATTGTTAAATAATGAAATTGAATTTATTTTATTAGAAATATAAATTTTCAGAAGTTATCTGGTTCATTGAATTTGTAAATTGATGAATAAATGTAATTCATGGAAAACTAAAAGAAGAAAGATTAAAAGTAAAAATATATGATTTTTCATGAAATTTAGCACTGGAATTTAACAGGTAAAAAAGATATTTACCAGCACAAAATTCAAGTAAATAACTAATATATAAAAATCTAAGGCCTGTAAATAATATTTTTTTATTAAAATCTGACAGATTACATACAAATAACAGCGAATTAAAAAAGAGTCAATCTCATAAAATTAGTACAATATAACCAATATTAATCAAATAATTTAGAATAAACATAGCTAAAAAGAAATAGATATTATGGGCAAAATATACAATTATTTTACTTTAATAGTAGTTCTCATCCTCTTAAAAAATTCATACTAGATTACAATTAATCCATTAACGATGAAGGATTCTATAGAGCTATTGTAATTTCCTATTAATTCAATAGATTTATCAAGCATAGAAAGAGAGGGTTATTTTATTTAGTATGAGTTTAGTAGTAATAATCCAGGAAGAATTAAAATATTATTTTAATAACCTCTAAATGAAACTAATTGGTTTGGAATGGGTTTTAATTATCTTATGCACAAGAGCCACATGATAATAATATAATTTATAGGAGGATATATCGATATATATGAAGCATACTCTTAGGATTATTCTTTCCCTTAGCCTAAAGAAATAACATCATTAAACTTAATAGGATATTACGAAGATTTGCAATCAAAATATATTTTAGTTGAAGTAGATTTTTACGAAAATGATAAAAACTATATCAGTATTGCATATGGCCCTACACAAACTATGCAATTTCATGGCAGAAGAAAAGGTAGATATATCATACCTCTTGAACCAGGTAATATATTAACTAATTTATCTTAAAAAATAGCCTTCATTCTAACACAAGCACATAAAAAGCAAACCAAAATATAAAAATTATTATAAAACAATTAAATGAGTTGAAAATATAACATTTTATTTTTATAATATTATATTTTTATTTCTGATTTATGACAAAATTATTTTAAAATATACTCTTTGAAGGTTATTTTTGTTAAATCTATTGCTACTTGAATAATCAAAAGAAGTCAAATTATTAATTTTGTAAAATTTATAGGTTTTGCTGTAAATAAGAACGATGAAGTCATAGTAATAAATATTATATATAAATTGCATACTACTTGGCTCACTTATGGATGGGGATATTTAGCTGATTTCTGCATCATTTCAATTAGATATCTAAAAGGATGGAAATATTATATAACACTCCACTCCTCATTATTTTTTATATTAAATTTGTTTACTGTGATTATAGAATTTCTCCTTATCTTCTATAATTTACCCAGAATATATAATATATCTTATTTGGACATTTTTCTCCATTTCATTTTAGGAACTCTGTTTCTAGCTATCGTGATAGTACAACATCTATCAGGTAAAAAGTTAAATAATATTTAAACTAATAATTAAATTTTTTACTATAAATTAATATAGGCTACTTTTTGAAAAAAGACATTGAGAATGAAAAGGTTAAGTTGCTCATTCCAAGAATAAAATAAATACATAAATATTTAGGATATAGTCTTTATATTTTAGGTAAAATTGCTATTTTTACTGGTAAATGGGCTTCTACAATTCTAAAAAACTCAAATAAATCTCGCTACTCATCAATGAAAGATTCTCTACAGTATTTTTATAAAGTTTTATTTCATTTAATTTAAATATTTTTCAATATTCAATATAGAGACTTTACTTTGATATGGATTTTATGGATCATGATTGAGAGCCTTTATAGAAAAGGCTATATTTAAAAGATAATATATCAAAATTTTACATATTTGATGAAAAAAGCAAGAATACAAAAAAATAACTTATCTTAATCAGATAAAAGCTTGTTGATGTCACTTATAAATAAACAATATACCATATATGAAATTGAATAATAATTTCCAAATCTTAATTATTGCATTATTGGACAAAAGGTATATGACCTTACTGGGTTTATGCATCCTGGAGGTAACTATATGTTAAAATTAGTAAATGGCTAAGAGGTTTAAAGATATTTAAATGGCTAACAACATATTGAAGGTAAATTTTATTATTAACAAATTAAACATATAAATTTAGTGTTAAAAAAGATTATTTAAATAAAACAATAATTTTTTTTGTAATTTTATATTTAGTAAAGATATTTTATTTTTTAAATATGTTAATTATTAATTTTTTTAAAATAATTGAAAACCTTATACATTTATTTAACTAGGAATATAAAATTCAGTGGATAAAATAAATAAACCTTATACTCATCCAATAAGCTCAATATTATTTTTAAAAGAAAAATATATTGGAACAATTGATTACAATGAAAGAAACATATTCTAGTTTTCTTAGAATACCTTTGAGATAGAGAATGAAAATAAAAATTATGAGTTGATAAAATAATAAAGTGAAGAAATGGATGATATACATGAAAAAATATATGCTAAAGATAATAAAGAAACATAAAATATTTTCAGTATAAGTTAAGAAGAGAAAGTTACCCCACTCATACATGATAATTATAATTTCTAAATAATCAAAAAAGACAAGTCCTTAATTTATTTCCAAAATAGCAGCTGTACGATCAGAAATACTATGAAAGGGTTATCTTGGCTAGGTCTACATTTCTCAATATATAAAAAGCAAAATAAAAATTCTAAAAATAGACTATACACTACTGTACTTTGCATGACAGAGTATAATTAAAAGAAAAGAAAATAAATTTCTCAATTCTTAAATAATAAAAACTTGAATGTTTAGTTTAAAGTTTAACGCTTTGATGACAAATTACCATTTATTATTAAAAAATATAACTCAAAAGGAGCTTTTAGTAAATATATTCATGAAAATTAAGATCATATTTATAAAATAGAAGGACCTCTTGGTGTTGGGTTAGAAATGTCAGATTAATTTAATGGAAATATAGCTATAATAGCTAATGGTACTGGCATCTTACCTTTTCTAGATTTACTTAATTATTATTTACAAAAAAATGCCTATTTGTATGCAAAAAAGCTCAATAAATAATAATAATTTTTAAATTTGTTTGAGTAATCAGAAGAAGATTTTAGTTATTTGCTGAACACTAATATTTATTTATACAGCTCTTTTGAAAACTTAAATTATTTTTATGGACATGAAATAGTATAAGATATATTAAAATCAGAAGAGCTACTAGGAATTCAAAATTTCCATTTAACTCTAAAAATCAAAGATACTCAATAATATCAAAACTTCAAAGGCTAATACACAGTTTATGAAAATTATTTTGATAAGAATTTGATCAATCAAATTTAATCAACTGTTTTAAAAGATGTAGAAAGAATTTATGTATCAGGGTCTTATGATTTAACTTACGCTATATCAGAAGCTCTTAGATCTACTCCAAATCTTAGCCAAAAATTATTTTATGTATGAATTTGTAAGAAATTTAAAAAAATAGATATTCTTTTACTAGTAAAATAAAAAGTTTATTGTAAAAAATAATTATTCTGTTTTTATATTTCTGCTATTTATAAATTTAAAAAATAAATTAAAAATGTTAGTATTTATAAAAAATCTTTGGATTTTTATTTAATATATTAGATGAATTGAGGTATTAATAATTATATCAAAAAGTAGTTATGTTTTAATTTTATAAGAAGTTTTTTAATTTTAAAAATATTCAAGAATAATCTCATAAAAAGGTTTATTTTTATTGACTCATACTATAAATATAAAAAATATTAAGATAACTTCTTACAGAAGCATACTCATAAAGATCCTAATTAGTTTTACTTACTTTTAAATAATTTAGGAGTATGCTATTAATCATATTTAATTTTTTAATTTTGAGAAAACGTATTAGGTGATTAAGATTTAACTTCACTATTTGTAATACTATTTAGCTAAATTGGGGAATTAGGTCTATCTTTAAATTCTACTTTAACAAATTCTTCTTGAATACTTATATCTGACTAGTTTAACGAAATCTATTCTAGAGGATTTTCTTCTTATATACGTTATTTGAATAATTTAAACATTTTATTTTTATTTTCTGAGTTATTTTAATTATAACTTTAAGTAGATTTGCAATCTGTTTAATAGAAATATTTTTCGTAAGCATTACTTAATTTACTGTTTTGTAAGTTATGTTTGCCTAATGAATAGAGCTGCTTTTAATCACTAGCTTCCTTAAATATTTTTAATAAATTAGGATCAATTAAATCAATTAATTTTTAATCTAATTTGGTGCAATTAGATTTTTTTATTATTTTTTAGTATGCCTAAAAAGCGTCATTGGCTTTTTGTAAATCTGATCGATTATCTTGATAGAGTAAATCTATTTCTTTGCTTTTCTAATCCCAACTTTCTTTGATTTCTTATTTCAACACTAAATCCTGTTAAATTGTAGGTTTAGGCAAATAATCAAATAGTTTTTATTAATCTTGGTCTAAAAGTAATCTTTTTAACTTTTCTACCTCTACAAATTTCTTTAAAATATTAAATATGTCTAAATTATAGTATAACTTATCAACACTGTACTAAATTATTTTTTTTTTTCTTTTATATTCTCTTGTGGGAAAAATAAATGATTTAAAATATTCCCAAGTGCTTAATTTCATACTCTTTGTATGTTTATCAATAAGCTATTTGAATTCAGTTTCCTTGGTTTTCTATTATTAATAGTAATTCTTTTAAGATTGATCAATATTTGGTTCGTTATTTTTAATATAATCAGATTCATCAACTCCACCAAGTTTATTTTGAATTTTAATCTATTTATGTTTTTGTTACTACTCTTAAAATGATTCTGAAACCTATTAATTTAAATGTAAAGCATCATTCGTTGATCTTGGGTTTATTTGATCAGGTTTTACTTACGTTAATTAAAATAACTAGTTACTACTTAGTATATTCTTTTCTAACTAAAATGGACTATTTTGAATCGTCTCATTTTAATTCTACTTCACATCCATGCTTTCTTTTCTATCTAAAAAGTTTCTTTTTCTTAAAATATTTTACGATTGTTCAATCTCTAGATTACTATTTTTAAAGTCTAATTCATTTTTAAGTTTATTTGGCTGAAAACTCAAAGTTTTTAATCTTTATTATTTTTCTTACTTATTATTACACAATTTTTCTTTGTTATTTTTTTCATCTTCTTCATATTTAAATGCCTCATTTATCAACTTTAAATTTAATTTTATTTATGAATATTTTTTGCAAAATAAATATCCAATAGCGAGGAGACTCTGAGTAAAACCACCAATTTCTGACATTATGCTATTGAAATTTTTATATGTCCTTTTGTACACTCCTTCTTTTTGCTTTTCGAATCTAAAAAGTATACTCAAGAAGTACTTTTATGAATTTGGTGGATAATCCTATATTTTAAATTTTATTCATGAATGTAAATTAAATACAAAATTAGTTAAAAAATAATTAATTTACGCTAACCTCATAGTAACTATAAGCAGGAAACGATTAAGTAGTGATATCTGAAAAAAACCACCCAAAATCACTATAAACATAATTATTCCTAATGTATAAAGTTACATCCTTAGGTAATGACGTACTTGTGCGCCAAAACATATCCCTAGAGTATATCTTAAAGGGATTATTCTTAATTGTTGGATCTACATAAGAGTCAGATAGCTATAGTCCAAAATTTGCCTTTTACAAGTAAAAGTCTAAATCACTTTTTGGTTTACAGTTTTGTGAGCATTATTAAATAGTCAATAAAATGAGTGAGTATTCTAATGAAGGAAAATCCCCTTAAATTGTATATTAGTAATCAGGAGGTAAACAGTACATACTTGTATAGTTTAGTTGTGTATAGTAGTGCTAGTTATCAAGATTTTAGAAGTTTTCTATTGAGCATTTTTATAATTAAATATTAGTTATATTCCAGATTGTTACATATTGTTTTGTAGTTTCGTTGTAGACTAAAAACTTTTATTTCCACTAAGCGGTAATTGTATAAATACTTTCATCAATATAGTAATTATTAGTTACCGGATCTTCCATACCAAAAGCAAAAGGAAATGTTTTACTGGAAGCTTAAAAAGGAGCAGGATTGTCTACTTATCTTTCATTGTAGATAACCTAAGGATTATTTCTTTGAAAAACATCTAATACAATAAAAAATAAACGAAATGAAATAAATCCCACAATCATTATTGTTATAAATGAGCCAAAGTTAGTGTGAAATGAAGAGGATTTGTTAAATCTCAAGAGCATTTCACTTCCAAAAATATCAATCTTTTTCATCATATTTAGTAGTTTAAACGCCTACCAACCTAACTATATTTTATTAAATATTAATCTGGTCTTATAATTCTACTTAAAGTACTTTATTTTTTTTTAAATGTTGTTTTATAAATGTTTGTTCATAATCACCACTTAATAAATAAATAAAATTAAACTTAAATTCTAGATGCAGATACTAAATTGATAAACTAAAACTTTAAACAGTTGGAATAATATTTAAAGGCATTTTTACCACTAATTATTAAAATTTCTAGTTAAAAAACTATCAAATTTAAATATTATTTACTTAAACATTTTTAGGAAGAATTTTGGAAAAGGAACATTTGATAAAATTAATAATTAAATCTTGAATCATAATTGTATTCCATTAAGTTAATTTGAATTTCAACTTTTTAATACTAAAAAATTATCACAAAAAATCATCTACATTACTAGGTATTTTAAATTTAGGATGGTTGTAAAATAATATTGAAATTCCTAAAAAGCATTAACATCAGAAACAATTAAACAAAAATTGAAATTTTTTAAATAAATAAAATAAAATAAAAAATAATTTCATAAAAATTTTAATTTTTATTTTTATTAAAAAAAATATTCTCAAAAAAAGTTTATTTTTATTGGCTCATACAATACATACAAAAAATATTAAGATAAATTTTTAGGAAAGCATACTCATAAAGAACCTAATTAGTTTTAATTACTTTTAAATAAATTAGGAGTATGTTATTAATCACATTTTATTTATAAATTTTGAGTGAACATAGATGATTATTAAGATTTAATTTCACTATTTACAATACTTTTTAATTAAGCTGGCTAATTAGGTTTATCTTTAAATTCAACTTTTACAAATTCTTCTTGAATACTTATATCTGACTAGTTTAACGAAATCTATTCTAGATGATTTGCTTCTTATAAACGCTATTTGAATAATTTAAAATTATTTTAATTATCACTTAAAGTTTATTTATTATCTGTTTAATATAAAAATTTTTCGTAAGTATTTAATTTATAACTTTACAAGTTATGTTTGCCTAATGAATTGAGCTACTTTTAATCAGTAGCATCCTAAAATATTTTTAATAAATTAGGATCAAGTAAATCAATTAATTTTTAATCTAATTTGGTGCAATTAGATTTTTTGATTATTTTTTAGTATGCCTAAAAAGCGTCATTGGCTTTTTGTAAATCTGATCGATTATCTTGATAGAGTAAATCTATTTCTTTGTTTTTCTAATCCCAACTTTCTTTGATTTCTTATTTCAACACTAAATCCTGTTAAATTGTAGGTTTAGGCAAATAATCAAATAGTTTTTATTAATCTTGATCTAAAAGTAATCTTTTTAACTTTTCTACCTCTATAAATTTCTTTAAGATATTAAATATGTCTAAATTATAGTATAACTTATCAACGCTGTACTAAATTATTTTTTTCTTTCTTTTATACTCACTTGAAGGAAAAATAAATGATTTAAAATATTCCCAAGCACTTATTTTCATAGTCTTTGTATGTTTGTCCATGAGTTATTTGAATTCAGTTTCTTTGGTTTTTTATTATTAATAGTAATTCCTTTCAAGCTGATCAAATTTTGGTTCGTTACTTTTAATAAAATCAGATTCATCAATCCCACTAAGTAAGTTTTGAATGTTAATCTATTTGTATTTTTATTATTACTCTTAATATTAATCTTAATTCTATTAATTAAAATGTAAAGCTTCATTTCTTCTTTTTGGGTTTTTTTGATCGGGGTTTACTTACATTAATTAAGATAATTATATATTACTTAATATATTTTTATCTGACTAAAACGGACTATTTAGAATCATCTCATTTTAATTCTACTTCACATCCACACTTTCTTTTCTATCTAAAAAGTTTCTTTTTCTTAAAACATTTTACGTTTGTTCAATCTCTTGAGTAGAATATTTTTAGTCTAATTTATTTTTAAATTTGTTTGGCTGAAAACTTGAAGTTTTTACTCTTTATTATGTTTCTTATTTATTATTACACAATTTTTCTTCGTTCTTTTTTTCATCTTCTTCATATTTAAATGCCTCATTTATCAACTTTAAATTTAATTTTATTTATGAAAATTTTTTGCAAAATAAATATCCAATAGCAAGGAGACTCTGAGTAAAACCTCCAATTTCTGACATTATGCTATTGAAGTTTTTATATGTCCTTTTGTACACTCCTTCTTTTTGCTTTTCGAATCTAAAAAGTATACTCAAGAAGTACTTTTATGAATTTGGTGGATAATCCTATTTAAAAAATTTTTTTTATTCATGAACGTAAATTTTAATTGATTAAAAAAAAATACAAAATTAGTTTAAAAATAATTAATTTACACTAACTTCGTAGTAACTATAAGCAGGAAACGATTACGTAGTGATATCTGAAAAAAACCACCCGAAATCACTATAAACATAATTATTCCTAATATACAAAGTTACATCCTTAGGTATCTAAGTACTTGTTCGCCAAAACATATCCCTAGAGTATATCTTAAAGGGATTATTCTTAATTGTTGGATCTACATAAGAATCAGAAAGCTATAATCCAAAATTTGCCTTTTATAAATAAAAGTCTAAATCACTTTTTGGTTTACAGTTTTATGAGCATTATTAAATAGTCAATTAAATGAGTGAGTATTCTAAAGAAGGAAAATCCCCTTAAATTATATATTAGTAATCTGTAGGTAAACAGTACATACTTGTATAGTTTAGTTATGTATAGTAGTGTTAGTTATCAAGATTTTAGAAATTTTCTATTGAGCATTTTTATAATTAAATATTAGTTATATTCCAAATTGTTACATGCTATTTTGTAGTTTCGTTGTAGACTAAAAACTTTTATCTCCACTAAGCGGTAATAGTATAAATACTCTCATCAATATAGTAATTATTAGTTACCGGATGTTCCATACCAAAAGCAATAGGAAATGTTTTACTAGAAGCTTGAAAAGGAGCAGGATCGTCTACTTATCTTTCATTGTAGATAACCTAAGGATTATTCCTTTGAAAAACATCTAATACAATAAAAAATAAACGAAATGAAATAAATCCCACAATCATTATTGTTATAAATGAGCCAAAATTAGTGTGAAATGAAGAGGATCCGTTAAATCTCAAGAGCATTTCACTTCCAAAAATATCAATCTTTTTCATCATATTTAGTAGTTTAAACGCTTACCAACCTTGCTTTATTTTATTAAATATCTATTTGGTTTTACAATTCTCCTTAAAGTATTTTTATTTTTTATTAATCTTGTTTTATAAATATTTGTTCTTACAATAGGAACTAATTAATAAAAATAATTGCCACTAAATAAATAAATTAAATTAAACTTTAATTCTTGATGCATACTATATTGATAAACCAAAACTTTAATAAGATTGAATTATGTTTAAGAGCATTTTTATCACAAATTATTAAAATTTCTAATAAAAGATAATCAAATTTAAATATCATTTATTTATCATTTTTAGGAGGATTTGCGAAAAAGAAAAATTTGATTAAATTAGAAATTCAAAGCTTGAATCATAATTGTATTGCATTAAGCTAATTTAGATTTCACCTATTTAATATAAAAAATCATAACGAATAAATAATCTACATTACTTGATATTTAAATTTCGGATGGTTGTAAAATCATATTAAAACTCCTTAAATGCATTAGCATCTTCAATGATTGAATAAAAATTGAAATTAATTAATTAAACAAATAAAATAAAAAATTATTTCATAAAAGGTTTAATTTTTAAAAACTGAAAAAATTAAAAAGATAATTAATAAAAGCTTTTATTGATAGTTTTGTGGTTAAGCAAAATTGTATTAATTTCTTAATATAAATTTTATGTAAATTGAAATTAAATTAATTATTTTAAATTAATTCTAATTAAAATAAATAAAAAATACTTTACTATCTTATAATATTATAAATTAATAAAAATCAGATCTTTTATTTATTTATTCAATATATTACTAAGAGATTTATTTAAATGTAGAATCTATCCCTTTATTAATAATTTTTGTTTATTTTTTATTGTTGTCAATACATTAATTAAGTTAAAATAAATGTAATATATTTTGTGTGATATATCAATATCTTTCAAAATCTCTATATATTTAATATATATACTTATTTTTTATTTGTGTTAAAGTTGAAATAATTACAACTTAGTATTTTTCATTTTCGCTTTTTATTATATAAAATAAAGAGTATAATTATTTTATTTCTGTAAAGTATGACTGAATTTAAATTAAAAAAACAATTCATTATCCACATTCAAGAAAATTAATACAACATAAAGAATGACTGTTAAATATAAAGTCATTATGCAAGTGTCAATTTAAAAAATAGTTATTTACTCAAATTCTTCTATAACGAAAAAATCAATAAATTATTCAAAGTTAAAAAACCAATCGAGTTTTAGAAGAGAAGGGAGGCAGGCAAATCCTAAATTTTATATAAAAAATTCAAAAATAATTTAGTCTCATATATCTACATTCGACCTCTCATACAGTCTCTGAAATCTAAATCCCCCTAAATTATTTTTAAAATATTTATTTTTTCGTTTTCAAATAATAAATTTTTTATAATGTAAAATGTTTATGCATTGATTGATATATTTAAAAATGTTAATTTAAAATTTTATTTTTGATCTTATGAATTTTCTGCATTATTTTTTTCAAATTTACATGAACGATTGATAAATATTTTAATCAATATTTAATTAAATAAATATTCCTTTATATTAACTTTTAATAAATTCCTTAAGTCATAACTTTCGATTATAAATGATAGAGTTTTAATATTTTTTACTAATAAAATAATGTATATATTAAGTAAAATGATGTAAATTTGATAAAAATTCAACTATTTAAAAATAGCAAAAAATATTTAAACTCAAAACAAGATCATTACTCTATTCATTTATAGTTTTACGTAATATATAAAAAAAAATGTTACTTATTGCAATTAAATATTGCTTTATTATTTTTGATTATTAAAATTAAATAAAACTTATTAAATAAAAATAGAATTATTCTATGCTATTTTAATTTAGAGTTATATAAATAAATATCAAACGAATAAAATATCTATTTAAATTAAAATAGATTTATATTTTATTTACTAAAATCAGATATTTTGTGCTAGATTTAATTTTAATTAAATAAATTTTAATTACAATCATCGCATCCAAAAATAATATAATTATTATATTCTTTATTTATTTGATATTTATAATAATAAATATAGGAAGTATATATTCAAAATTTGAAAGATCCTAAGGTTTATATGACACAACAGCAACATTTTGTTATAATTGCTATTGCTTCTCCAGAGGCTATTTCCCTAACTTTAATACAACAGCAACAAATATTTTCAATACACTAAGAATTTATAAAATCACAGCTAATACCCTATATATATTTAAAGCAGTCTTCGCACAATCCTTAAGGAATCAATAAATTTTGCATACAATCACCGCATTTTAGACATCCATAAGAGCAACAGCATTCTCCTTCTTCATTAGTGCATAATTTACCACAATCTAAAGCTTTACAACACTTACAATCAATAGTAAACGAACAACAAGATTTGACACATTATCCAGAACTTAAACAGCATATTTAACAACAATTATCAAATCCATCTGTATTACTTAAATATCTTATACTCCCTCCATTACAACAAAACATTTTCGTAGAATACCAGCACTGGTTTACCCATGAACCAAAACAAGAAACTGGGGAATAGGCAATTTCTTCTATTAAAGTTACAAGCTACATTAAACAATTATTTCCCTTACAGCAAATTCGAGTAATGCAAGAAATTAAAATACCCATGACTTTAAAAGGAAAGAAAAATACATGAAAAAATAGATCAGCTATCCATTTTAAAAAGCAGTCATCTGCATAAAATAAATAACAACATTTTTTTGTGTGATAACCAGGAGTCTCGCTAAACCAATAAATATGCATGTTAGATTATTTGCTTACATTATTAGCAAATGTATTTGGTTTAGAAGAAGGAACATATCTCTAAGCCGTCCTCTTTTTATTGGGATTAGAATAATACATGCTTGGATCTTAATATGCTGTTTACTAAAAATTAATTCCGCCACAAGCCATTTCTAAATCATGAGTATTAAGTTTTTTCTATCCATTGTTAAGATGTTATTTTACATAATTATCTTAGTTTTAATTTTAATTATTCAGCACTTAATTATTTTACATATTATAACAATTCACACCATTTTAAATTCTATTTGTCTTATAAAAATAAAACAGAATTAAATTTCATTTTGTAATTAAATGTACATTTTAGATTTAAATTATTTTAGAATTGAATGCTTTAAGATAAACAAATAGCAAGTAGACTTTTACTTCAATGCTTTAAATTTATAATTTACATTTTAGTCATACATGGTTGGTGTCGCAATTTAGTTAAACTAATGATTTAAAAGCTCTTACTAATACATTTAAGAATTTGAGCAACTTAAATCACAATTTTAAACTCCATTTTAAACATTATTGATATTCTGATTGTACATTTATAAAGATCTTTTAATCAATATTATTAATAATAATTACTATTGTAATTATCTAATAATCAAAATTATCTTTTTAATTGAAATACTTTTTAGTATACAGTTGAAATTTATTTACAAAAGATAATTAAATAATCTATTAAATTCCACAAATTTATATGTTTTTAATAAAAATACTCTTTATAATCTTACAAAAAATACAATTATGACCATTAATATATAGAAAAAGTTAATTTACTTTCAAATTAATAAAATAGTTGTTTATACTCATTTAAAATCATTAAAAAGGTATTAAATTAATTTTAATTTTAAAAAATAATATTTGCATTTTAAATAGCTCTATTAAATTATTATGTATTATTAGTTTTCTTTTTTTTTGTGCTTTAATCAAAAAATAGAGAAGATCAGAAATTTATTTTTCAGATCGAAAGAAGATTTGTATTTTTAATTAGCTTATGGCTATTAGTTAATATTTCATACTAATAGTAAATGTAAATATTTTTTTGATGGAGAATAAATTATTAAATAAATTTGTACTATTAAAATAGATAAAAGTATTAATTCATCTATTCTATTTAACTCGAATTTAAATTTTAAATAAATAAATAAATATTTTTCAAATTTTTATTATTAATATCGAATTTTAATAGTGAAAAAATAGAATGTAATAAATAAATATCTCTTGGTATTTTATCTTAATTACCTCTTTTTAAATGGTGTAACACAAATAAATCCTCTAACTATTTTTTATTTAAATTGATAAATATTCTATGTTCTCTAATTTTTTTTATTAAATAAAGTAAATTTAGAATATTAAACTATATGGATAATTTATTAATGCTTTTACTTTATAATCAAATATAGCTTTCAAATTAACTATTTGACTGAAAAAAAATATATATTTAAAAAAATTCTAATCCATCATCAATAAAATAAGAATAACAACTTGAAAAATTTTATCTTAATTTTTAACTACAATATTATATATTGTTAAAAATAAGATTATAGCTGTTATTTAATTTGATAGGTGTAAAATCTGTCTTAAACATGTTAAAAATAAAAAATATCATATTTACAAGAAAAAAAATATATTTGTTACATTTTTTATTCATAATTAATTCAAAAGGTATTTATATAAGATTTTAAATTTAAACTATTTAAAAAATAGATCATTTTTATTACAAAATAATGTTTATCTCTTTAATTAATAATGAAATATTTAAATAAATATGCAAATTGAGCTTTGAGAATGAAGGAATAGCTATAAATTATCAAGAGCGGTTGGTTGGGAGGATTAATAGTTTTTTTTACTTTGTGCTGGAATGGTTCTTTATTTAAATTTATAGATGATGGACACAGAAATATTAAATTATAATCAATAAAATATAAATGTGATTCAAAAAAATAATTATGAATAAATAATTTTCTTTAAAAAAAAATTTATTAGGATTATCTATTATTAATTTAAAAAGATAGCAATTAAATAAATTTTAGTAATAGTTAAAACAATAAAACTAATTTATGAATCTAGAATAAATTATATTAGTAAGCATTGAAAATACAAAAAAATAAAACATGAATAAAATTTTATATGTTGATTATAAAATTTATTAATATATATAAATAATAAAGGTTTTTATCATATTTTATTTAATTAATTATTTTTGGTTTCAAATTAATTTGGTTTATTCTATTTTTCTTATTTTAGACAATTATTATTAACAATTTATTAAGAATTTTTTATTGCTTCCTAATTAGAAAAATAATCTTTTACCTGAGAGGTTTAATTTATTTTATTTTAAACTTCTACTTTCATAAACTCATCTTAAATGCTGCTTAAATCTGATTGATTGCAGCTATTAGCATCAAGGATCGAATCTGACTTGATCTAATTTTATTGCTAAAATATTTAGAATACTTTTTATGGTTGTTTTATATTTGATTATGATAAAAACTGATCATAAATATTAAATTTCGCTGATTCGCTGTTTTATCTAATCGTTTACATGTTTAATCTTTCTTCAGCTTCTTTCTAAAAGATTTAAAGCAGATTACGATCAAGCAAATTTATGATCTTTTTGTCTAAGCCTCCTTAATTTTATTTCTATGTTATATTCACGTATGATTAGAATGCATCGCTCAGCTTTTGCATTTCAGATCTTTCGTCTTAATACATGAAGTCTATTTCTTTATTTTTTTAATCCCAAATTTAAGAAGATTGCTTTTTCAATGCTAAATCAGGTTGTATTGTGGGCTTTGGAAGACAATCAAATAATCTTAACTAGTCTTAATCTAAAAGTAATCTCTTTAATTTTTCCACATCCACTAATTTCTTTAATATGTTAAATATATCTAGATTGTGATATAACTTATCGACGCTGTATTTAATAATTTATTTCTTCTTTTTGTATTTTTATGTAGGAAGGATGAGCGATTTAAAATATTCCCATGTGCTAACATTTATTTTATTAGTCTTTTTTTCTATCATTTATTTAAATTGGCTCTCTTTTTTTCTTTAGGTTACAGTATTAGTTCTTTTAAAACAAAATTTACTGTCATCACTAAATATGCTTTACTCATCAGGAGAATTTAATGTATTTGAGTTATTTGTTTTTGATTTGTCTCTGCCCATCTTATTGATATTAGATTAATTGAATTATTACTTATCATTTTTTATATTATTCACATTTTAGCCAGTGGTAGCTGGTGAATGCTATTACATATTATTACTTATACTGATTTTATTTATAGTCGGAGATAAACTGCTTTAATCTTGCTAATTTTAGTTTTTTAACTTATTTTCGTTTGAGCTTTGTTTCAAAAAATTTCTCTTTCTTAAACTTTTAAACCTTTCTTCATTTACCTTTATTGCATTTTGATATTATTCATTTGTCAAATTTTATTGTTAATCAAATTGTTGTTATTTTTAAACTGATTTATCTTCTTAATCGTTTTAATTATTTTCTAGGCTAGTTTCATCATAATTAAAAGACTGATTTATTAGCTCTAAATTTAACTTTAATTTAGAAAATTTTTTGCAAAATAAATACCCAATCGCTAAAAGACTCTAAGTAAAGCCACCTATCTCTGAAATTATACTATTAAAATTTTAATAAGTTCTTTTATAAACACCTTCTTTCTGTTTTTCAAACCTGATCATAACCCTCAAAATGTATTTTTACGAATTTGGTGGATAAGTCTATCATATAAATATTTAAAATAAATAAATCTATTAAAATCCTTTTGAAAAAATAAATTACTGTATCCTCTTAATAGCTGTAAGAGGGATATTTCTGAGTTTGAATGTCTGAAAAAAACCAACCAAAATCACTTTAAACATAATTATTTCTCAGATAAATATACACATCTTTAGGTAATTGAGGGCTTGTGCCCCAAAACATATCTCTTGAATAAAATTTAAAAGGATTATCTTTGATTGTTGGATCGACATAAGTATCAGAAAGTTACATACCAAAGTTAGCCTTATTTAAAAATTTGGTTATTTGGTCTTATGATTTGCAGTTTTGAGAGCATTAATATACAGTTAACTATAAATAAGAGAAAACAGGTGAGGGAAAATCACCTTGAAGCGCAATATTAAAATCTGGAGGAAGACAATACGTGTTAGTATAGTTAAGTTAGGTGTAATAATTTCGATTACTTGGATTTTAAAAATTATCCAAAGTACAGGGTTTTAATTTTAGATCAGTATTAATCCAGACTGTTTGATGATTTTGTGTTGTTTCATTGTATATTAAAAATTTTTATCTGAAAGTGGCATTAATAGTGTAGATGCCTTCATCGATATAGTAGTTTTGTAAAACAGGATCTTCCATTCCAAATGCAATAGGAAAAGAGTAGCTTGTAGCATTAAAAGCAGCAGGATCGTCTACTTATCTTTCATTATAAATAACTTGAGGATTTAATCTTTAGAATACATCAAGGACTATGAAAACTAAGCGGAAAAAAATAAATCCTACTATTAAAATAGTTACAACAGAGCCTAGTTAAGTTTGATAAGACTATTTTCCGTCAAATCTCAATAGAATTTCACTTCCAAATATATCTATTCTACTTAGCATTTTAATATTTTATCTTCAATTACTCTTGCTTTTTAGTTATCTATTATTATTCTTTTGTTTTTGATAATAAATAATAATATTGAAACATAATTTGTGTTATTATTTTGATAATCATTTGAATAAAAATTTATTCTGTAAGTAATTCTGGCAATTTATAAATTTTAAGTAAAGTAAGTATGTAATCCATTTATATGCGTTATTCTTAAAAATTAAATATAAGTGTAATATTGAAAATATCATTTCTAGAATTTAATCTTAAAAAAGTAAATAAACACTATAAAAAACTCTTTCTATACAAACTACTTACAATTTTATTATAAAGCAAGTTTTAGACTTAAGTTCTAAATATTATAAATCATTACCTTTCATTAAAATTACTTGTAAAATCACCAAAAATGCAGAAGAATATTGGTTCTATAAATAAATTGATATCATTCAATTTTTGAAAAAAAATGCTACAACTAAGAAGAAGTAACAAAAGTTAAAATAAATACAAAATATCTAAATAATAATATCTTTCATTCTTATTTAAACTTAAACTCAATTTATAATAAAAGTAAAGTTAATTTCTATTAACTTAGTCAAATCTACAATAGTTGATATTTGTAAGGAACTTTTTGGAATCTTACATACTAAATAATTTTATTTATTTATTAATTAATTGGCTGGTTGATTAATGTATGAAAAATACAAAATTCTTACATTTGTGAATAACTCAAAATCATTAGTTTTTAAAGTAAACAAAAAAATATATTGCAATTTAAAAAAAAATTGAGGTTAATAATTATTTTTTGACAATCTTTAAAAAGCTAGGCAATAAAAGCTTAAATATATCAAATTACTTCTCAAAATTATGAATAAAATTCTCTTTATTAAACTTTAATGAGATATAATAAGGATTATAGTTTTATTGATTAGTTCTTGAATATATGGTGTAAATTTTAGTATTTTCAGTAAAAAATTGTTATGATTAAGAAAAATACAATAAATTAAAGTAACTTAGGAAACATAATTTTTTAATTAAATTAGTTAATTTTTTTAATATACAGTAAAAATCTATAAAATAGACCTCTAATAATCAGCTAATTTTTTCTTCACTGCCCATTATCCTCCTTATTAAAAATTATACTTATGCTAAAATCATTCTTATAGACAAGTACCTACTGTATATATTTTATTTACTTATTCATAAAGAATTTTTTCACATTCATTATTTTTTTTCAATCTATTTTATTCTTCTTACTTCAATTAATCAATCATTTACTATTAATCTAAAATGACATTTTACAATTGATTCTTCTCTATGTAGTTTTGCTAATTAATTCTGTACAATTAATTATTTTCTAATATATTAATACTAATTACTATTGTAAGTATCTAATAATCAAAATTGTTTTTTAAATTGAAATAATTTTAATATATAGTTGAAATTTATTTAGAAAGGATAATTATATTATTAATTAAAATTCACAAATTTTGCATGTTTTTAATAAAAAATACTCATTTTAATCTTACACATAAACACATTAATAATATGACTATTAATACAAATTATAAAGTTAATTTACTTTTATAATTATTAAATAATGGTTTTTATTCATTTAAAATTATTAAAAAACATAAAATTAATTTTAATTTTAAAAAATAATATTTGTATTTTAAACAGCTCTATTAAAATACATTAAAATAAGATTTATGGTGAGTGTTCTTTTTGTTGAGTTTAAATTAAAAAATTGATAAATTTGAATTTTATTTTTCTGGTTGTAAGAATATTTATTTTTAATAATTTTATGGCAACTAGTTAATTTTTTATACTAATAATTAAACTTAAAGATTTTTGAGAAGAATAAAACAATTTAAATTTTAAATAAATAAATATTATTCAAATTTTTAAGTATGAAAAAAAGAATTTTAAAATAATATCTTTTTGTATTTTATGTAATATTTTTAAATGGTGAAACACAAAACCTAAAACTACTTGTTATCTAAATTGATAAGTTTTCTATAACTCTAATTTTTGTAATAAAATGAATTTAACATTTTAAATTACATGTATCGATCGATATTCATAATTTAATTCAAAAGGTATTGATGGAAGATTAAATATTTCAACAAAAAATATATGAATTAAGAATAAATAATATTAATAAGCATTCACAATACAAAATAAAAAACACGAATAAAATTTTTATTTTTTACTATAATATTAATGATTAGTATCATATTTTATCTAATTAATTAGTTTTGGATTCAAATTAATTTGGCAGTTTCTACTTTTCTAATCTTAAAACAATATTAGTAGAAATTAATTAAGAAGTTTTTAAAGCTTCCTAATTAGAAAAACAATCTTTTATCTAAGTGGCTTAATTTGATTTATTTTAAACTTCTACTTTCATAAACTCATCTAAAACGCAGCTTAAATCTGATTGATTGCAGCTATTAGCATCAAGGATTGAATCCTACTTGATCTAATTTTATTGCTAAAACAATTAGAATACTTTTTATGGCATATTTGATTATGATAAAACCTGATTATAAATATTACATTTAGGTGATTCACTGTTTTACCTCGTCATTTACATGTTTTATCTTTCTTCAGCTTCTTTTTAAAAGATCTAAAGCAGATTACGATCAAGCAAATTTATAATCTTTTTATCTATGCCTCTTTAATTTTATTTCTATGTTATATTCATGTATGATTAGAATGCATCGCTCAGCTTTTACATTTCAGATCTTTCATCTTAGTACATTAAATCTACTTCTTTGTTTTTTTAATCCCATATTTAAGAAGACTATTTTTTAAATGCTAAATCTGGTTGTATTGTGGGGTTTGGAAGACAATCAAATAATCTTAACTAGTCTTAATCTAAAAGTAATCTCTTTAATTTTTCTACATCCACTAATTTCTTTAATATGTTAAATATATCGAGATTGTGATATAACTTATCGACGCTGTATTTAATAATTTATTTCTTCTTTTTGTATTTTTCTGTAGGAATGATAAATGATTTAAAATATTCCCATGTGCTAACATTTATTTTATTTATCTTTTTTTCTATCATCTATTTAAATTAGCTCTCTTTTTTTCTTTAGGTTGCAGCATTAGCTTTTTTAAAATAAATTTTACTGTCCTAACCAAAAATGTTCTACTCATCAGGAGAATTTAATGTATTTGAGTTATTTGTTTTTGATTTATCTCTGGTTGGCTTATTGATACTCGATTAATTGAATTATTACTTATTATTTTTTATGTGATATATATTTTAATGAGCAGCAGCAGGTGAAGCTTTTAAAAAACTCATATTATTATTAATACTGAATTTATTAAAAGATGGAGATAAACTGTTTTAATCTTGCTTATTTTAGTTTTTTACCTTATTTTCAAATGAATTTTGATTCAAAAAATTTCTCTTCCTTAAACTTTTAAACTTTTCTTCATTTACCTTTATTTCATCTTAATATTATTCATCTGTCAAACTTTATTATAAATCAAATTGTTGCTATTTTTAACTTGATTTATCTTCTTAATCGTTTTAATTATTTTCTAAGCTAGTTTCATCATAATTAAAATATTGATTTATTAGTTCTAAATTTAACTTTAATTTAGAAAAGTTCTTGCAAAATAAATACCCAATCGCTAAAAGACTCTAAGTAAAGCCACCTATCTCTGAAATTATACTGTTAAAATTTTAATAAGTTCTTTTATAAACACCTTCTTTCTGTTTTTCAAACCTAATCATAATCCTCAAAATATATTATTACGAATATGGAGGATAGGTCTATCAATTAAAACATTTAAAATTAATAAATAAATGTATTAAAATCTTTTTGAAAAAAATAAATTACTGTGTCCTCTTAATAGCTAAAAGAAGGATATTTCTGAGTTTGAATATCTGAAAAAAACCATCCAAAATCGCTGTAAACATAATTATTTCTAAGATAAATATGCACATCTTTAGGTAATTGAGGGCTGGTGCCCCAAAACATATCTCTTGAATAAACTTTATAAGGATTATCTTTGGATGTTGGATCCACATAAGAATCAGAGAGTTGCATACCAAAGTTAGCATTATTTAAAAATTTGGTAATTTAGTCTTTTGATTTACAGTTATGAGTGCATTGCTGTACAGTTAACAATAAATAAGAGAAAACAGATGAGGGAAAATCACCTTAAATTGCAATATTAAAATCTGGGGGAAGACAATACATGTTTGTATAGTTAAGTTGGGTGTAATAATTTCGATTACTTGGATTTTAAAAATTATCCAAAGTACAGGGTTTTAATTAAAGAACAGTGTTATTCCAGATTGTTACATAATTTTGTGTTGTTTCATTGTATACTAAAAATTTCTATTTGAAAGTGGCACTAACAGTGTAGATGCTTTCATCGATATAGTAGTTTTATAAAACAGGATCTTCCATTGCAATCGCAAAAGGAAAAGAATAACTTGTGGCATTAAAAGCAGCAGGATCATCTACTTATCTTTCATTATAAATTACTTGAGGGTTTGATCTTTAGAATGCATCAAGGACTATAAAAGCTAAGCGGAAAGAAATAAAGCCTACTATTAAAATAGTTACAACAGAACCTAATTAAGTTTGATATGACTATTTTCCATCAAATCTCAAGAGAATTTCACTTCCAAATAGATCAATTCTTGTTACCATTTATAAAATTTTCTTCAATTACTATCTCTCTTTTATTATTTTTTATAATTCTTTTGTTTTTGATTTTAAATAATAATATTAATTTTCATATGTTTATAATATATTTAAAGCTATTCGATAAAAAAAGTTACACACTTTATTAGAAATTAAGAGAATTATAAATTTTAAGTAAAGAAAGTGTGTAATGTATCTATAAATAAATACACATAATTCTTAAAAATAAAAATTTCTATATATTGAATATACCGTTACTATAACATTTAATCTTAAAAAATGAGAGTAAATATTATCAAAAATAGCAAACTGCTAATAATTTATCATAAAGAAAGTTTTAGACATAAGTTTGTAAAAACTACTAAGATTATATCATTCATTAGAATTAAAATTGTAAAATCAAGAAAATGCAGGAAACATATTATTCAAAAAGTAAATTAATATCATTAGATATCTAAAAAAAAATACTTCACAAAAAACAACAAAAATAATATATATGCAGCAAAATATCTATGAATAATTTTGTTTAGTTCTTTTTTAAACTTTAAACTCAATTTATAATAATATAAGGTTAGTTTCTATAACTTAGTCAAATTGAGAGTAGTTGATTTTTTATATATAAAGAACTTTTATGAATCATGCATACTAAATATAATTATTGATTTATTTACTAATTAATTGATTTATGCTGGGAAAAAAATATAATTCTTAAAAGTGTGAGAGTAATTAAAAGTCATCAGTTTTTAAAGTAAACAAAAAATAGATTTCAATATAATTAACAATTAGTATCAATTTTTTGTCAATATAAATTATTTAGTCTCAAATTAAATTGTGTAAGTAACATCAATTTCAGTAAAAAAATTCTTATGGATTAAGAAAAATTTAAAAAAAATAAAATAAAGTAACCAGCAAACAAAGTTTTTAGATTAAATTTATTATCTTTTTTTTTTTCAGTAAAAAACTATTAAATAAACCTCTACCAATCTGCTAATTTTTGGTCAAAACTTCAGTGATTAAATGGTCGATGGGGGGGGGGGGGGGGACATTGATTGAGCTTTTAGAGTAATAAGACAATACAAAAAAATAAAAAACCTATAAAATTTTATTTTTCTCAATAATATTAATGATTAGTATCATATTTTATCTAATTAATTAGTTTTGGATTCAAATTAATTTGGTAGTTTCTATTTTTCTAATCTTAAAATAACATTAGTAGAAATTAACTAAGAAGTTTTTAAAACTTCCTGATTAGAAACAAAATCTTTTATCTAAGTAGCTTAATTTGTTTTATTTTAAACTTCTACTTTCATAAACTCATCTAAAACACAACTTAAATCTGATTGATTGCAGCTATTAGCATCAAGGATCGAATCCTACTTGATCTAATTTTATTGCTAACACAATTAGAATGCTTTTAATGGCATATTTGGTTATGATAAAACTTGCTTATAAATATTGCATTTAGGCGATTCACTATTTTACCTCGTCATTTGCATGCTTTAACTTTCTTCAGCTTCTTTTTAAAAGATCTAAAGCAGATTACGATCAAGTAAATTTATAATCTTTTTATCTATACCTCCTTAATTTTACTTCTATGTTATATTCATGTATGATTAGAATGCATCGCTCAGCTTTTACATTTCAGATCTTTCATCTTAGTACATTAAATCTACTTCTTTGTTTTTTTAATCCCAAATTTAAGAAGATTGCTTTTTCAATACTAAATCTGGTTTTATTGTTGGATTTGGAAGGCAATCAAATAATTTTAACTAGTCCTAATCTAAAAGTAATCTCTTTAATTTTTCCACCTCCACTAATTTCTTTAATATGTTAAATATATCGAGATTGTGATATAACTTATCGACGCTGTATTTAATAATTTATTTCTTCTTTTTGTATTTTTCTGTAGGAATGATAAATGATTTAAAATATTCCCATGTGCTAACATTTATTTTATTTATCTTTTTTTCTATCATTTATTTAAATTAGCTCTCTTTTTTTCTTTATGTTGCAGCATTAGCTGTTTTAAAATTAATTTTACTGCCCTCACTAAAAATGTTTTACTCAGGAGAATTTAATGTATTTGAGATATTTGTTTTTGATTTATCTCTGGCTACCTTACTGATATTCTATTAATTGAATTATTACTTATTATTTTTTATATTATTTGTATTTTAATGAGTGGCAGCAGGTGAGGTTTATTAAAAATTCATATTATCATTAATACTGACTTTATTTATAGATGGAGATAAACTGCTTTAATCTTGCTCATTTTAGTTTTTTAACTTATTTTCAAATGAATTTTGTTTCAAAAAAATTCTCTTTCTTAAACTTTTAAACTTTTATTCATTTACCTTTATTGCATTTTGATATTATTCATTTGTCAAACTTTATTGTTCATCAAATTGTTGCTATTTTTAACCTGATTTATCTTCTTAATCATTTTAATTATTTTCTTCACTAGTTTCATCATAATTAAAATATTGATTTATTAGTTCTAAATTTAACTTTAATTTAGAAAAGTTTTTGCAAAATAAATAGCCAATCGCTAAAAGACTCTAAGTAAAGCCACCTATCTCTGAAAATATACTGTTAAAATTTTTATAAGTTCTTTTATAAACACCTTCTTTCCTTTTTTCAAACCTAATCATAATATTCAAAATATATTATTATGTATTTGGTGGATAGGTCTATAAATTAAAATATTTAAAATAAATAAATATATTAAAATCTTTTTGAAAAATAAATTACTGTATCCTCAGAATAGCTAAAAGAAGGATATTTCTGAGTTTGAATATCTGAAAAAAACCAACCAAAATCGCTGTAAACATAATTATTTCTAAGATAAATATGCACATCTTTAGGTAATTGAGGGCTTGCGCTCCAAAATATATCTCTTGAATACACTTTATAAGGGTTATCTTTGGATGTTGGATCCACATAAGAATCAGAGAGTTATATACCAAAATTAGCATTATTTAAAAATTTGGTCATTTAGTCTTATGATTTACAGTTTTGAGTGCATTGTTGTACAGTTAACTCTAAAAAAGAGAAAACAGATGAGGAAAAATCGCCTTAAATTGCAATATTAAAATCAGGAGGAAGACAATACATGTTTGTATAGTTAAGCTGGGTGTAATAATTTTGATTACTAGGATTTTAAAAATTATCCAAAGTGCAGGGTTTTAAATTTAGAACAGTATTATTCCAGATTGTTACATAATTTTGTGTTGTTTCATTGTATACTAAAAATTTTTATTTGAAAGTGGCATTAACAGTGTAGATGCTTTCATCGATATAGTAGTTTTATAAAGCAGGATCTGCCATTGCAATTGCAAAAGGAAAAGAGTAGCTCGTGGCATTAAATGCAGCAGGATCATCTACTTATCTTTCATTATAAATTACTTGAGGATTTAATCTTTAGAAAGTTTCAAGGACTATAAAAGCTAAGCGGAAAGAAATAAACCCTATTATTAAAATAGTTACTACAGAGCCTAATTAAGTTTGGTAAGACTATTTTCCATCAAATCTCAATAGAATTTCACTTCCAAATAGATCAATTCTTGTTACCATTTATAAAATTTTCTTCAATTACTACTATCTCTCTTTTGCTATTTTTATTATTCTTTTGTTTTTAATTTTAAATGATAATATTTAAAATTAACTTTCATATTTTTATAATAAATGTAAAACTTTTTGATTAAAAAAGCTACTCACTTTGTAAGTAATTATGAGAATTTATAAATTTTAAAGAAAGAAAGTGTGTAATGTGCCTATAAACACAAATAATTCTTAAAAATAAAAAATTTCTATAATATTGAATATATAGTTACTATCACATTTAATCTTAAAATAAAAGTAAACATTATCAAAAATTCTTTCAAGTAAACTACTTGTAACTTATTATAAAGAAAGTTTTAGACATTATTTTGTAAATAACTGTTGAAAATATCATTCATTTGAATTTAAATTGTAAAATTACCAAAATACAGAAGAATATACTATTCTAAATGTAAATTGATATCATTAGATAACTAAATAAAAATATTTAACAAAAAACAACAAAACTCAAAGAAATAAAATAGAAACATACCTAAGAAACTTTATGTTTAGTTCTTTTTTAAACTTAAACTCAATTTATAATAAAATAAGATAAGTTTCTATAATTTAGTCAAATTGAGAGTAGTTGATTTTTTATATATAAGGATCTATTTGGAATCATAACTACTAAATATAATTATATATTTATTTACTAATTGATTGATTTATGCTGGGAAAAATATAAAATTCTTACATATGTGAGAGTTGTTAAAAGTTATTAGTTTTTTAAAGTAAATAAAAAAATATATTGCAATATAAATAAAAAAATTGAGGCTAGTAACAATTTATTGTCAATCTAAATTATTTAGTCTGAAATTAATTGTGTAAGTATCATTAATTTCAGTAAAAAAATTTCTTATTAATGAAGAAAAATTAAAAAAAAATAAAATAAAGTAATCAAGCAAGTAAATTTTTATATTAAATTAATTATCTTTTTTTATTTTTCAGTAAAAAAGGGTGCCCAATTTATAGTGAGAGAAGATTTTAGATGCACCATTAATTTTTATTATCTCCTTAGACAAAATTAAAAAATATGGTCAATTTTTAAGGTGATTAAAAAAAAATTTATTTACTGCAAAAAAAATTTTTTTTACTCAAAAAATTTGAAAAAAGTGTTCTGTATTTTGATTAATTTTCGTAAGCATTTTAAAATCAAATATAAAGAAAATAATTAAGTTAAAGAAAAAAAAAAGATTCATAATCAATAAAATGATTATTTGAAATAACTCAAATCATGATATCATGATTCGTGATATTTCAAATGCAGGAACAGCTATACTAATTAAATTATTACAAAACAAAAGAATAATTAAAGTTTTTCGTTTATAACTAAACCAACTCAATAAAAAGTTGATTAAATTGTGATAAATTTACTGTAAATGCCTCTATTTAAATTGAAAATTATTTAAAAATCATTCCAAAAATTAATTAAATAATTTTGAGTATTCTCTTTTTAATAATTATGTGATAATAAAACAAAAAGCAAGTAAATTTATTAAATTAAAAGCGAAATTAATTAAAATAAAAACAACAATTATTTATCAAAAAATATAAACAAAATATAAATTATCATTTAACTATTAATGTATACTTGATAAATAACTAAATAATATATGAATTTTTAAAAATCAATCATCACTTTTGCACAAATCAACAATAGAAAATATTGTTGATGCTAGACCACCAATAATTCCAATTCCCAGATAAAAGTAATTTAAAATTTTTTACTTTTATGAAATATCATGTTAAAATGTATAATTATACATAATTACTGGAAAAACAAATTGTAAAGCTGTTCCTGCAAAGGCTCCTATCAAATTTAAAAATATTGCAAATCTAGGAATAAGGAATGCAAAACTAGAGATAATGATAGTCACAAAAGTTCTAAAACAAAATCTTTTAATTTTATAATTTTATTCCTGTGGTTTTATAATCGATTTTATAAATCTTGAGCTCTCTATTATTTGAAGACTTGGTAATAGTTATAAAGGATAACTCATGACTAATGCAATAGCATAAGTTATCTAAAAATAAGCCACATCCCCTCTTTTTGGCAGAGAAAACAAAATGATTTCACTTAAAGACTCACCTTAAGCCATAGCTCCAAGAATTGAAAATCCTACATAAAGGATAGTAATTAATATTGATGTAAATTTAAAAATAGATTTGAAAACGGAATCATCCTCAACAGTATTTTTAATGGAGAAAATAACTCCTATGCTTTCAAATGAGTATATGCTGACACCAATCATGAGAGGTAAATTAGAAAAATCAAATAGATTAGTTTCGTTTCTGACGTTTTATGAGTGGGTGTTTGAATCAATTAAAAGATGAATATTATATCCAATTATTGCCATGAGAGTGCATATTATAAAGAAATTTGCTACGAAAGATATTTTTGCAAACAAGCTTATATTATTTATTAGATTCATGGGTAAGATTATGGCTAAAGCTATACAAAGATATCTATTTTTATAAGAAAAAATATTTGATTTAACTTTTATTAAGTTTTTTAATTCAAATCAAATTTTTGATATCTTTTCAGAATGATTGTTTACTTTTTGATTGAATTACATTTAATAAGTAAATAATCATGAAGCAAATTCAAAATATTATTTCAATATTTTAGAATAATCTCAATAAAATATTCAAAGCTCATCAAAAAAATATATTAAATAATATAATTTTTAAGCAAAAATTTAATTTGAATTTAAATATTTGAATTATTGTTACAGAAACTCATGAAGTTTGTTAGTTTGGTTTTCATCTTCAAAAACATGCTCAAAGAATTTCAGAAAGAATATGATATAGCTTATACAGCATCCGAATTAAAAAATAATAATGAAGAACTTTACGCAAAGCATACCTTTTCTTCCAAAAAATAGTTAAGCTAGTTGCTCATAAGTCATTCCCTTTTTTCCATATTTTTCAGCTACTTAAAAGAGCAGATCCATAGTTCTATAAACAATTAATGCTATCATTAAGAATATAATCGTAGCAAGCAAATAACCAGACTACTAAAACGCATAAGGAAGTGCTAATATTCCAGATCCTATATATCCCTGTTAATAAAAATTTATTTAATATTTGTTATTTGTAAAATATGAAAGTTAAATGAAGTCTGAAATTACTTTGAACAAGTTGATAGTAGCTTCTGATTTAGATGAAAACTTTTAAACTTATTGGTTTTTATCATTTTGAACTTCTAAATTTTAAATATTCTATTGCTTTTAACTAAATTCCTAATTGATAGAGTTTATAGTTGTGTCTGAACTTTTACGAGCTTGCTAAACATCTTCTTAGAATATAGAAGGAGATTTTTCCATCATTTTTTGCTAATAATTTTTTCAAAAAAATAAAGCCAAATTAATAAAGCAATTACAATTTTTTATGCAAATTTTTAATCTAAAGATAGATAGTTTTTTACTTTTAATTGCAATATATTAATCAAAAGGGCATAATATTAATCAGTTTAAGTCCACCTAAAAAAATAATCTATTAAGTAATAATATCAATAGCAGCATTTAGTAAAAGTGATTCTTCAAAGCATGATTTTTGATAAATTTTTATTTGTTGCAAAAGTAAAATTAAACAATAATAATTGTGTAAACTCACTTTCGTTTTTAAAATAACTTTTTTAAAAAAAAAATGATTTTTAAAAAAAGGCAGTATTTTTCTATTCATAAACTAATGAAATATCAATCAAATTATATTTATTCTACAATATTTATTATGAGTATTCAAATATAAAAAATATTTAAAGAATTAAAAGTTTAAGTAAAATTATTTGAAAATAACATTTTTTATTTAATATTATTAATTTAAAATAATTTTATGAAATCATTAATTTTTTGAAAATAAATAATGTTTTAAATTAAAATTTGTTTGCTAAACTGGACAAAAATATATTTGATATTTCTTACAATTAAAATTTACATTATTCTTAATTATTTATGTAAATTCTTTTATTTTTTACCAAAATTTAATCAAAGAAGGAAAGACGGAGTGAGTGATAATTTTGTATATCTCTTTTCCATAAAATATTTCTGATAAAATTAAATTACAAACTAAATGATGATAAATCAAAAAAAAAAATACATTTTTTAAATATTTTAAAAGCATAAATTTTAAAGTTGGTTGTTCGTGTTTATGATTTTATTTAACATGTTAAAAGTAAATATAAATTATTGCAGGCTACATTCACTGTAATCGAATATTAGGAAAGAAATTTTAATCTATAATTTAAAATTTGAAAACTAAAAAGTTGTTTATCAGTAAATAAATCTTTGTTACTTAATGTAAATATTTTGAAAAAGTAAGACGCATTTTTATGAACTAAGAAATAGATTCAAGCATTTTGATTTTTTGCAGAATTTTAATATAATTGTAGGGTGTAAACAAGGTGAGATAAATTCGAGATCAATAGAGAATATAAAAAAAGAAGTAAGATTGATTAATAAAAATAATAATTTATTTCAGATAATAATTATTGTTATTAATTTTTCTAATAGCTTTTCAACCAAAAGATTTTGCATTCGAACACAAAATAATAAATAATTTTAGCAAGAATCTACCGAGTATGATGAATTTCGTTTAAAAGGGACAGCAATATTTATTTAATGGTATTGCATAGGGAGCTCAAGCAGTAGGTATGGATTTGTATAGCCCATTGATTGGTGTTGATCACGTAATTATAGATTAAGAAATTACTTGGTGGGAGATGGTCCCAATATGCAATTAAGAAAATAGATATTTTATTTACGCAACTAACGGCAATTACTAGTTTAATCGTTACCCTAAACCTCCTCCTTTGTTAGGTAAAGCTTTAACATTAATTAATATTCATTTTATTTATTTTTTTATTTTCATTTTATGATTTTACTTTTTCTGTTTGCAAGCAACAACTATATGATTGTAGAAGCTTTATAGAATAAATTTTATCTGTTGAATAAGAAAATTATTATATTTCTTTATACTTATAGGATAATTTACAGAAACATCTGGCTACTGTGCTAGATAATTAATGAGATAATGTAGGTCTTTTAATGCTACATTCAGATTAGGAAGTTATCAAGTAGGTAAATCTATGGTTCCTTTAAAATGCCATTGTCCAGTCAGTTGTTGCTCTTGTCCTTGTGATAGACCTGAGCTATATGTTTCAGATGCAAGCGATTAATTAATGGGAACACTCAAAATACCAGGTTATGGTCCTATTTGTTGTCCTGCAGGATAAAATACTTGTTCATAAATGGAAATTGAAATGTATGACCCTTAAGGAAATGTGAGATTCAGAATTTAGTCAGAATGCTGCTAGAAGAGTGTTGTTTGTATGCCATTTAAATGCTGTGGTTGTGAGTAAACCGAATATGTTATTTTAGATCCCAATTATCAACCCACAGGAGGAGTTATTAAAAATCTTTTAAATGAATGCATGACTGAAATTTTTAGCAGTGCTGATATGTTTGCTGTTACTTTTCCTCCTAACTGTTATCCCTAAGATAAAGTTTTATTAATGCATGCAGCAATTTGGATTGATTATTTATAGTATAGAGCTTGATCAATAATAGTTTAAAGTATATTTATCCATCATTCATTATAGAATCAGATAATAATTGATTGGCAAAAAGAATCAAATCAAAAAATAAATAAAGAAGATTGATACTTTAGTTAATGAATTCTAACTAACTATAATTGAAATAAATTCTCAACACCTAGTTATATAAAAATATAATTTTTATTTATTTAAAAAGTTATTACTTCTACCAATAAAACAAACATATTAGTTAGATACTAACATTTTCTTCTGTGACTTTATACCTATGTATTATATATATTTATATTAAATATCATCATCATATTTATATGCAAGCATATTCATAATTTAAGACAGACGTATTTAATGGAAAAATTTCAAAATTATAACGTATTCCTTTGAAAAAAATATTTGATCTCATAGATACCACTGTTTTTTTTATTTTCTGATCCAAAATTTAAATTTAAATTTTAGTATAGACAACAAACTCTATTTTTTTAATTTTCTAAAATCGAGCAAATCTTAATTTTGTTTTATTAAATTAAAATACAATCTTTTATTCTCAAAGATTATTTTAATTAATGGTAACTATTTCTTAATTAACTAAAGCTTTTCTTTAATTAGCTCTATTTTCTTTCACTAATCTATCTTACTTATCAGATCAACAAAAGTTATTTAATATTTTAAAAACCTATTTCAGTTTTATTACAAATAAATAAATACTATAAAAAATGTTTTATTCATTAAATTTTTATAATAAATTCTGTGATTTAGTAAATAATAAATGATATTTAATAACACATTTTGATGATTTTTAAAATAAACACAAAACCATTATAAATTTTATGATAAAATTAAAAAACTATTATGATATTATTATAAATAAATATTTTGTAGTTATTAATTTTTACAAAAAAACTTAATTCTTTAATCCATTAATTTATAAGATAAGCAATTAATTTTTGTTTGTATTTTATTTTATTCTATAAAAATATTATTTAAAAATTATTTTTTTAATTAATAAAATATATTTTTTATAGACTATTAGTAGCTCGATTAGCTCAGCTGGTTAGAGCATGCGGCTGTTAACCGCAAGGTCGTAGGTTCGATCCCTACATCGAGCGCTTTTTATTTTTATTTTTATTTTTTGTGAGTATAAAAAATAGATAGTAAAATTTTTTTGATACAGAAGTTAATTTTTCTTAGTATTAGCAAAAAATAATAGAAAAAAATCAAACAAAGCTTAATCTATTACCTATCTTAAATTCTAAAATTCAAAACAAAAATTTAAATATAGTTATAACGACATAAATAATCTATTTTTTATTATTAGTGCATTTCGAATCAGTTATCATAATTTGCTTATAAAATTTCCTAAATTTAAACTCAAAACAAAAGTCAATCAATACCTTAATAAGTACAGATTTTAGTAATAAAAGTCATTAATAAAAATATATCTTTTTATTGTGGGTATCTAAAAATTGTTATTGAAAAAGTGGTTAAAGGATAGATGTTAAATCAATTGTTAACAATAATTGATTTTTTTTTACTTTAAAAATCTTTTGTAGTTTAAATTGATAACTCAAAATATTTATTATATAAATTTTTGATTATATTACTTTAATTTATTATTTTTTTTTAATAAATGTTTTTGATGTATTAAAATAATAAATAACTCAATTTAAAATAATTTAAAAAATTTTTAAAAACCCCATAATTTATCATAAATAAAAATGAATTAAAAAAAAATGGCTAGGAACTAACAATTTCAAATATATTTTTATTTAATTTTAAACTCAGTAATAATCAAACCACTATATCTTAATTAGGCATTTGGTTATATTTATTTCAAATTATCACTATTAATTATAAGTAAATGCTTTTATAATAAATCAACTAGTAGTTATTAAAATTTATTAGGTTTAATATTAATTTTTCTAAAAATTTTAAAAATAAATGTTGATTGAGGTATTCAACAAAGAAAAAAAATATTGCATGCTTTTGCATTTTTAATAAAATTAAATGTATTTAGTTCTAAGATAATAAATTGCTAAAAATTAAAAAATAAGTTAATAAATAAACAAAATTTCTTTTAATTTATTTTAATGAAAAATCTGTTAATATTGTATTTAAATAAGGTTTTTATAAATCAAAATTCAAGCTTTTTAAAAATTATGGATTTTAATTAGCTTTCTTAATTATTAGAAGATGAATTGCTTTTATTCTAGAAAAATTAGTAATTGAAAAATGGAGTCATATTTTTACTTAAATCCCTTTAAAAATCCAACCTAAACAATCTATACAAATATTTAACTGAAAAAAATTAGATTAAAATATAAAATATTTAATATTCTTTGCTAAATAAGATGTTAGCTTTATAAACAAATCAATACCAAGCATATAAGCTTAATCCTTTATATAGTATTATTTATTAGTGAAAAAGTTCTTTTATATTTTATAAGATATTTTTAGGTAAATACTGAATAAATTTATTATGATTATTAACTTACATTTTTTTAAAATTAGTCTGAATGATCAAAAATTGATAAGATTAAATAATTGTTAAAATACAATTCTACTTATTCTAAAAGCTTAAATTTGGTGTACTTTAAGATTTAAACATCAATTTTGAATATATATAGATAAATGTAGTTTTTTTTTAAGAGTAGATAAAGAGATTCAATAATTAATCTACCACACCTAAAATATATAAATTTTTTAGTAAATAAATGATGATTAGAAGGTATTTCAAAAGCTATTTCAAACTACTTACTGGATATCGAATTTTATGATTATTAATCAAGCATTTTCTATGATAATTTTTTACTCAGACTTCAAAAATTAATTTATTTATTCAATTGTTTTCTTTCCTATTTTTCTGAGATTTTAATAAAAAGAAATTAATTGTTAATTTGATCAAAAAGCAAACTATTTAATAGAAATTTTTTTAATAGGATTAAGGTTTTAAAAGGACTATCAATATAATAAAAATGGGAGATAAGTAAGCAGATGATTCTGCTAATATCAGGGTTATATGCCGTATGAGACCTCTTAATTCTTTAGAAAAAAGTACAGGAGGAGAAACATGTATAGAATACGATGAAAAAAGAATATTCTGTAAAGTATGCAATCACTTTTTTGAATTTTAAGTTGACATGATTTAACAAGCAATCAATGTTAAGCAGAAAAAAGATAAATAATTAAATTTTATGAAAAAAAGGTGATTGGAACTGAGAAGCCGCATGAGTTTACATTTGATAGAGTATTTGGCCCAAATGTTGCATAGAAAGATGTATTCGAAATCGTTGCAAGTCCTGTTATTGAAAGTATAACTTGATTTTACTTCTTTGAAATTTACAGTGAGTTAATAAAATAATGATCAAAACATTAATAGGTGTTATGGCTGGATATAATGGAACTATTTTTTGTTATGGGCAGACCTCTTCAGGAAAGACTTTTACTATGGAGGTAAATTTATTATGCATATGAAAATTTTAATAGATTTGTTTTATGCTGATTTAATATATAAAAATGTATTTATTAATAATAATTAAGGGACCAGATGATGTTAATTAAGAAACTAAAGGTACTGAATATTAAGAAAATTATCATTATATAGCTTACAAATTTAAAAATTGAAATAGGGTTGATTCCAAGAATGATGGATCGCGTTTTTGAAACAATTCTTAATTCAAGCGAAGATTTAGAATTTCAAATTAGGGTTTCATTTTTAGAAATTTATAATGAAAAAGTCCAGGACTTGCTAGATCGTATGTTAAATTAAAAGCTATTTGAGAAAAAAAACTTATCATAAATTAATTTACTAAACAAACAGCTGATAAAAATAATTTGCAAATTAAAGAAAATAAAGCTAGAGGTATATATGTGTAGGATGCTACTGAAGTTTATGTTACAAGCGCGATAGAAATGAATTAAGTTATGAAAACAGGATCTTCAAACCGTACTATCGCTGCTACAAGAATGAATGAAAGATCTTCTAGATCTCACAGTTTATTCTACTTGCAAGTTTTTAAAAAAAATTTATAAAATGATACCACAACTATAAGTAAGCTCTACTTTGTTGATTTAGCTGGAAGTGAAAAAGTGAACATTTAGTTTATTTTTGAGTTTAGATTTAATATGCATTAATTTGATTTGTGGTTGATTAAGCTACTTTTAGATTTATTTTTTTAAAATTTTAGTAATAATAGCTTAATTAAAACCTAAAAGAAAGTTTTAAATTACTTTAAATTTGCATTTTTTTTTTCTAAATTCTTCGCACTTAACAAATTTTAATTATTAATTAAGATTAGCAAAACGAATGTTTCTGGACAATAATTAGAAGAAGCAAAAAATATAAATAAGAGTTTAACTTGTTTGGGTATGGTTATAAATGCGCTTACTTCTAATGGGAAAGAGCATGTGCCATACAGAGATTCAAAGTTAACAAGAATATTATAAGAATCGTTAGGAGGTAATGCCAGAACAACTTTAGTAATAAATATATCTATGTGCAGCTACAATGATAAAGAAACGCTTTCTACTTTAAGATTTGGCTTTAGAGCTAAAAGCATTAAAAATAAGCCAAAAAAAAACGAAGAAAAGAGTGCTAAAGAGCTTATGCTACTTTTAGAAGCAGCAGAAAGCAAAATAAAGTACCAGGAAGAAATTATTTCTACTTTATAGCTTCAGATTGGTGGTGACAGAGCATCCATTGATACGTTAAAATGTAAATAAATAAATAATTAATCTATATTAAATATTACAATATACTATATATTTATTTAAACTATTTGACAATTATATAAACAATTTGTATTTTAGTAATGAGTAATTTTTATATTTATTTGTAAATAGCTTAAGACGGAGATAGAAAAGACTCTCTTTCAAGACCAGTAAGCAAAATTCCAAAGGGTGAGCACTAAGAGTAAAGTGCATCTATGAAATTACTCAAATAACATATTGAATTAGTTAAGATGAGAGAAAAAATTGATAATTTTACTCGTTAGCTAAATGATTAAGAAATGGAACTTTCCAACAAATAAAATGAAATTTTGACAGTAATTTAATATAAATGAATAATTTAAAGAATAATTTTTAATTTAATTTAAATAGCTTAGAGAAGACAAGGATGAGTTTGAAAAGAAAATTTAAGAATAGGTTATTATCAATAATGATATGCAAAAAGAATTTTAAGAAGTTATAAATGAAGAAAGAGCATCTAAAAATAATGCAATTTAGGATATAACTATATTAATTGATTAATTTAGGAGACTTAAATCAGATTTAAGCTTTGTACTAATCAGTGAAAAAGCTTCTACTTTTGAATAGGCTGTTAATATTTCTGAAAAAGAAGAAGGAAAGTAATTAGATTAGCGTTAAGGGGAGTAAACACCTAAGGAAATAAAGAGATTAACTTCAGATACAAAAGATTCTATTGATAAAGCTGTTGAAATTATAGAAAAAATTGCTTAAAAATACAATATAGATACAGGCTTTGAAAATATGCCAACAAGTGAATAAACCATTTAAATAGATGAAAAGAAAAATGAAAACATTATTGATAAGACCTTTTAACTTCCTAAGGTTCCAATTCTTCAATAAATAACATTTTCTTAACCTTCAAACGAAGATGTAATTAATTAATTATTTTATTATTAATTAATAAAATAACCTTGTCCATTTGGACTACATTTAAAATAAAATTAGGCATTTAATTTATTTCCAAAATAATTAGGATTTTTTTTAATATTTTCTTTTTCTTCAGCTACAAAATATGTGTTGATTTTATTTATTTAAATTAAATAGGCTTAAGAAAGACTATCTGTCCTGTTATAAAATGTAAAAAAAAATAATATAACTAGCTCAGAATACAAGGAATACTTAAGCACAGAAGAAGATGATATAAGATTATAAACTACAGAGAGTGAAAGTGATTATAAATTTATGAATGAAGATTTAGATAAAGAAGCAGCTGATATTATTGTTGAGAGGGATGAAGAACAGGAAGACTATGAAAATTTGATTTAAAGAAAAGATACAGAAAATGACCCTATAAATTAAGTTAATAAAAATATAGCTTAAATTATGGATTAGATTAATTAAAATCAATAAGAGAGTAAAATAGAGGAGCAGCTGCTTTCACTTTAAGAAACTATCCACCATTAAAATGAAAAAATTAAAAATCTTAATGAGCTAAACTTACAAGCCTAAAATAAAGTAAAATGTTATTTTTTAATTTTTTATGCTTTTAAACATCATTGTTTTATTTCCTTAGGTAAATCATTACAAGCAAGCCATTGAAAAGAGAACTAATAAATGTAAATAAGCTATTTTATAATAGAGAAAATTCTCTAAAGAAAAAATCAATAAACTTGAGGAAATAATTTCAACCTATCTTGGTGTTTTTGTAACAGTTTAATTTAATCAAGTACGTTTTTAAGTAAATAAAAAAACTTTTTAATTAGGAATAAATGCAAAAAGATTTCAACAGCAAAAAAGTTGTATATGAAAAATAAATTATGGAAAAAAATATTTAAATAAATGAATTAAATGAATTTGTTGAAGATTTCAAAAGGTAAATAAATATATTTATTTATTGCTCAAAATTTCAAAAAAAATGAATGTTTTTTTTAATTTCATAATAGAAACATAAAGAATAAAACTCCACATTAGACTATCTCAGAGCAGTAAGTAAAAATCAAAGAACTTCTTAAGGAAAGAAAGCAACTATTTTCAGAAATTCAGAGATTAAGAAAAGAAAACGATTAAAAAGATGATAAAATTAAAAAGTAAGAAACTGATCTTACTTGTGCAAGAGAAACATACCTAAAATCAGGTTTACCCAGTTCTTAGGCCATAAGTGACCATTCACCTTTAAATTAAGTTGTTTTTACAAAATCAAATGACAACTTATCCTAATGTGCAAGTGTGAGAAATGCATTCATTAATTATGATTAAAACTATTAAAATAGATTGTAAAATGAAAGAAGTGGTAATAATTCTATGTAAAATTCGGGATCAATTCATGGAAGTTCATAATTAGCTTTGAAAATGTAATATAAAAATATGATGAGAGGAACAGCTATTAGAGGAGGTAAGAATTAAAAATTTAAGCTTAATATTGAATAAAAATTTTATTTTATAAAGGTGGAGGAAGTAAATCAAATTTTGAGAAAATTAACAACCTTGGATTCTAATTAGTGGAAGAAGATGAATTGCTTGAAAGAAATAGCTCTAAATACAGCTAATTGCACTCCTTTACTGAAGAAAACTCTTCACCTTTGCAAGGTAAAAACATGAAAATAATAAATACAGAAGAAGAAGACTCTCGCCCCTAAGCATTTAATTTACACAGAAGTGCTCACAAATTTTAACAAAAAATGAAAATAAAAAATCTTGATTAAGATTAAGATTCTTCTTCATCTTCTCAGTCTAAGCTGAGTCAATCTTCTAAACTAATTAGTTCTCAAAGAGGTCAAATTACATAACAATAAACATCTTAATAACAAATATAGTATTCGCAGTTGTAATAGCAGAAAGAGAAAAAAGAAGAAAATACCTAAGAAACAGGTTTTATTAATAGAATAAAATAGTTCTTTCTTTGAGTGCTGTCAAAATTCTTGAAGAGTATTTACTGGGAGAATATTCCTTCTTTGACAGTGAAAATTAATAAATTCCCAGATTATTTTTCTTTTCTAACAAAATATTTGACACCAGCTTAAATACTATCTAATTATTATATTTATTTGAAACTAAAATCTAAATTAAATATAAAAACAGTTTGTTTAAAAAAATCAAAATAATATTTTTTAAACTTTTGGTCATTTTGTTTTAGACAGACTATAAATTTATAAGACCTATATATATTATCATGTTAAAATTACATATTAAATAGATAAAACATTCATTCATGTTTTGCTTTATTTTTAAGATAAGATCAAAATCTAATTTTCAAATAGATATTTTTTAATTTTATCAAGTAATTTCTTTTTTAAAAAGATTTAATTTTTATAATCTAAGAAGGGAAATTAATGTCTCTACCTTAGAACAAATATTTTATTTTTATATTTAAACTGGAAATTTAAAAAAATATTTTTTAGCTTTACTTTAAAAAAAAAAAATTTATTTTATTTGAAATTGATAAACTTTTATTGAATTCTAAAATAAGTTCTTCTTTATTGTTAATTTTAATTATAATTTTGTAAGCTCGATTAGCTCAGCTGGTTAGAGCATGCGGCTGTTAACCGCAAGGTCGTAGGTTCGATCCCTACATCGAGCGCTTTTTTTAATTTATACGAAATATTAATTAAAAAATAAAAATAATAAAAAAATTCGACACCTGTGAGAATTGAACTCACGCTCCCAGAGGGAAACGGCTTAGCAGGCCGCCGCCTTAACCACTCGGCCAAAGTGTCCTTCATATTAGCTCATAAATTCTAATTTGTCAATAAGCAGTACAAAAAAAAGGATTTTAAGACAAAAACAAAACATAAATTTTTTTAAATAAATACTTGAAAATAAATATTTTTCTCAATAGAATTCACTTTTAGAAGTAAATAAAATTTTTCTTAACTAGATTATTATGTTAATTATTTGTGCAAATTTATTTACGATCTTAAATGTAATTTGAGACAAAATTGTTATTCATCTATTGATAAAATATTTAGTTAGAAATGTTGTAAAAATAAATATTAATTAACATACTTAAGAATTATCTTATTTCTGATTAGAGGCACTAAATTATTCGAATGTGTCTGACAACCTTTTTGGAACAACTATATTCTACCTTTTTTTATTTTTTTGATTAGAAAAATTGCTATTTATTTCGATGTCTTCCTGCTCATATTTTTAAAAAATATTTTATTATTTTTTATATTATTCTAAAATATACAAAGTTTAGCATTGAAAATGAATCTTGATTGTTTTAGTATTTCTGCATACTTTTCTGATCCTTGATAGGTGACTATTTCTCCTCTACCTCAATAATTGTTTATTAATTCTTAAATAGTAAGTTATTGTTCCCACTGTTTTAAATCATATTAGGACATGGCTAAAGCTAGTAACCCTTGAAAATATTTCCTGTCTTTAAAATATTTTAATTTATATAAGAAAAACATCAAATTTTAATTTTACTTCAATTTATTGTTTGCTTGTTTAAAATTAATCACCTTTGTTTTTGCTAAAAATTTTATCAAATTCACTGATTTAAGACTGGCTATTGTTGTATTCCCAAGTGTTTCCTGATATATTTGAAAGAACTTACATTTAGCTTTCAATTACTTTAAATTCTTCTTTTGTTGCAAACTTCCCTATACTAAATAGATCAATAAGATTTATGCTTCTCTTGCAATAAACACAGAAAGCTTAATTTTAATTCGTTAGTTAGGCCGAAACATTATTTGCAAGGCATTATCCATGGAAATTAACTTTACAACAAGTGCTTTGATAAGCTTACTCTTGATTCTCTATGCTTTAGCTGCAAATAGCACAAAAATTAGACTTTTATTTCTTGATTTGATAAAATTTTATTATATTGAGTAAATATAAGATGTTACTTACTTTTTTGTTCTTGAGGTATTAGCAAAGCTTCATAATTTTATCTGAAATGATTCCATCTTAAGTTTCTAAGGATTTATTTAATATATTAAGCTTCTCTTCGTAAGAAAAAACACCCTAAGACCTTTTTTTGTTCAAGTAAAGAAAAGCTTCATGTAATCTATCTAGATTATCAGCATAGTTCTATCCAAATAAATACCCTAATAAGAAAGCATCATCATAGGTGTCTTTGAATTTAATAAAATCCTTTGAGTATTTCTTAAGTAAATGTGTCATCTTTCTTTTTTAATTGTTAAATTAATTTTTTTATATTTATTTAATATTAGAATATTTACTATCAAATTTATATAAATTAATTTAAATTATAAAATAAGAAATTCCGCCATTGATTTTATTATAAAGTTAAGACACTCAATTCTTAGTCAAATTTTAATTTATCCAGACACAATAAATAAATATAATGATCTATAAAATTTAAAAATGAGAAATAGCTACTTTATATAAATTGATTTACAAAGCTTGATTAATCAACTAATTTTTTCATTTTTCTAAAGTAAGATAAAATATTAATGACATACCCTACCTTTTCATTAAAAAAATTTTAGATTATCAATAAATAAAATTTTATATCTCATTTATTAATGAAAATAGAAAAGTATTTCTTACATTTTTATAAAAATTGAGATGAATTTTGTTGTTTTGCTTTTGATGATTAGATTCCTTTTTAAAAAGCTTTATATTTACTTCTTTGAAAGCAAGTAGAAAACAAATTAATATTTTCTATCAGAAAAAAATCTTTTTCAAATTAAAAAATAAATCAAGAAAATGATAAACACACTTTTTATTGCCAAGTGGGTGTTTAGAGTAGGACACGTTTATCCAGTTGCAGCATTGACTGGAAAAGTATTTTTTGATTATTTATTTGGATCTGACTTTAATAGTAGCTCAGCAGAAAAAGGAGTTATAATAGCTTTAGGTGTTATTTTAATAGTTTCAGGGTTAATTAATATGATTCTATTACGCCCTAAGGAAAATTTCCCAACTGGCGCTAAATTCTGGAAATATATGATGATGTTGAAATTCTTTGTTACTATTTTTGTGCTTACTCCATTTTTGTCAAGTGTAACTGGCATTTCCAAAAAGAGCTTGAATACAGTTTAGTTTTATATTTTAACAATATTCTTTGTCTTGAGTGCTTTCCTCAGATTTTACAGAGAACATCATGCCGCACTCAGATAAAAGTAATTGTTATCAAAGTGATTCAAAAGAAATGACACATTTTTTAAATCTAATTGAAGATCATAAAACAGTTTGGAATAAAGCGAGTAAAATGTATGCTAATAAAACTTTATTGAATAAGCTTAATTTTGAATCATTAAAAAAATGATAATTAATAAATATTAGGTTTTAAGCCATGGAAAATAGAAGCATGCAATTTATATTCAATAAATAAATAAAGGTAAATATTCCATCCAAAGAAATAAAAATAAAAAAAATATCATAACATGTTTCATGTTGTATGAACTTTTAATCGTTTTTAATTAAATTACTAAAAAATAAATTGTTAAATATCTTAAATTGAAAAAGAATTCTTAATCGTTTATATTTTAAATAAATTAAAACATTTCCAATAAAAATTATTTCTTTACTTTTTTAAAAAAAGTTTAAATAAATATAATAAATTACTCAATCTTCAAACACTATTTTAATTGAATAAAACCATAGTTGAAAAGAAAAATCTATATATTACTTTTAATTATTTCATAACACAAAGCTATAATTTGGTAGCATTTTTATTGATAAACTGCTAAAATATTTTTTAATTTATTTTCTAAAAAACTAAATTTAAAGTAATTGCTATGACTTTTAATTTAAATAGCGAATTATTAGTTAATTTTTCTTTATAAATAAAGCAGACATCTAAAAAACTTTTTATATTAATGAAATTTTCAAAAAATTACAATAAATAACTCCTTTATTAGTATAAAAATGTAAATACCAAATTTGAGGAATTCTTTATAAAAAATTTAAGTAATTTTTGAAATTTTATAATTTTTAGAAGACAAACACAAATACTTCCAAAGAATAAAGAATGAAGTATTGAGGAAATAAGGTATTTAAATAAACTATAATAGATATTTAAACTGCTTTTATCAAGTATTTTTTAGTATTTTTGAACCAAAATTTTTAGACCTTTAGACCAATAGTTTTAAATAAAATATATAAGGTACCAGAAATGAACAAATGAATTAAATAAATTTTTACTTTCTTTTTTTCATAGTTGTTACAATATTTAAATGCTTTAATGTATTATTTTCATTTATTAAATAATACTTCACCTCTCAAATCTTTTTTATATTTTGTTTATATTTTAAGTATTAAAATTACTATTATTTATAGAAATTACAAATTAAATTTAAAATAGATTTTTAGAATTAACGTAAACAGTATATAATATAAATTAAAATAAATTCAAGCATATGATTGAAATTTAAAAATGATGTATTTAATTTGTTAAATAGTTTAAGAAATTAACAATCAAAAATAGAAAAGAAGTAAAATTTATGTATGTATGCATGTATCATTGAGTTTGAAATTTCTTATTTAAAAGAAACTGAAAAATGAAGATTTGAGTTTTGTTTGATGCAATTTATTAAATTATATATATAAAATGCATGAGGTGTAACAAACAATAAATCAATAAATTATTCAAAGGTAAATAAAATTAAGTTAGCAAATATAGATTTTCATAGTAAAGATTTAAAAGAATTAAAAAAATTAAAGAATATATCATAATAAAAAGCAAATCAGAAATAGGTTAATAGATTTGAAAGTAAAAGGCAAGGATTGATTGATTGATAAAAAATATAAATTGTAATTAGTTAAAAAGCATAAGAGTTTCAAACAGATGCATTAATTTTAGGCAGCTAATGATTATTAGTAAAATTTAATAGATTAGTAGCTCAGAAAGAATGATGAGAACGGATACAATTTATGGTATTAAAACTATAGCAACCCTAATAATTAAAATAACATTATGAATTTCAATAATTAATAATCATTTAATAATACAAATGCAAACTATAGTGATCCTTCTATGTTAAATTAACCTAGTTCTTCATAATAATTAGGCCATAGCAATTTAATCATAAACAATAATTTTCAAAATAGTGTTTAGTAGGTGAATGATGAAGGTCCAATCAACTGCGAAAGATGTTAGAAAGCGCCAATAGAATATATAAGATTGAATTGTGGTCATAACTTTTGTTTGGAGTGTATGGCTATAAGCTTCCTGAAAGGTGAGGGGAGATTAATTCCTGCATCTGAGAATCAGACAAGCAATATTTCAAACTCAAATGAGAATGGTGAAGAAAGCAACAACGGATAAAACGATAGCATAGAAATGACATGCTTTAAATGTGGTTAACTATGCGAATTAGGTCATTAGAGTAGAAGTGCAATTTTTATATTTATTTAAATGATCATTTAAAAGTATGAGTAAAAGTCAAGTGTAATTTATAATTAACAGCCAGATATAAGCTCAATACATTAATAATTTTTAAATTAGCCGATTAATTCAACTTAAACAAGTTCTTCAGCTGCTTTTGGTATGCAAATCAATAACCAAGTTAATAGCAATTTAACTAACACTAGTTCTAGCATTTAGGCAAGTGCCTAAAATAATTAGATTATTAATGGCAGTAGTTTACCTAACTAAATGAATATAAGTGACAAAATAACTAGCATTGATAATAATTTAGTGAATATAGTTGGCAATTAAATAAATGGAGTGTTAAACGTAAATATGTAGAATAATCAAGCTATTAACTAGATTAATGTAAATGGAAGTTAAATTAATGCCATAGGGTAATAACAGAAGTAACAGTAAATCATATAAGGTGATTAAATGCAATATTTTGATTAAAATCAAATCTAATTCGATAATTCTAAGATCATTCAACCTTTGATATAAAAAGAAGACAGTGGCAAAAATGATGAAAAATTAATAGCTTTATCTAATAATATTTCAAATAGTAATAGAGTAAGCAACTACACTTCTAATTAAAATGCAATTAGAGGTTCTGATGAAGATCTGTTGCAATATGAGTCTATCGAGTCCAATAATATCTTACCAACTCAAAAGCAATAGTTAAATATACAAGCAGATGTTTCTCTTTAATATTAATAAATGCAACAACAACAGTAATAATTTTAGCAAAGAAACAGAATAAATTCACCAAATACAAATGAAACTCAAAATAAAAATTTCAATGCAGTATAAGTAAATAATAATCCAAATGCTTAACCAATATAAAATTTTGATAGTAATTAAATGATAGTATAATAATAAGCTTCAAATATACAATACGAGAATGCTAATCCTAATTTTGAAACACCTTTTATTAAGCAGTAGCTATTAATCAGCACAAGTAAAAACCAAAACCAAATTTAATCATAAGACAAAATAAGAATTTCTCAACATGAATAGAAAGAGGATGATAAAGTAAATTTGCTTTAGCAATAATTATTATAAAAATAGCTATTGCAAAAGGGATCTTAGAATGGAAGTGTGGATTAACAAATTCTACTTTAGTAGTAACAGGAAAATATGAAAAACAGTTAATATTAGTCAAGCTAAAATAACCTAGTATCAACTCCAAATTATTCAATTCTTACAGAAAAAAAACCAACTCAACCATAATACTCTTAGATGATGCCAATAAATAATCAAACACCACAACACACTCAAAATTAAGCTAAGAAAAGTCCTCATTTAAGTAAATCAACACATATTCTATCTAATAATGTTAATCTTACCCCTATGCAGTAATAGATGGGTAAAAATAATTATAATCTTAATTCAGCACAAAGTTAGTAATTTTAGAATGATTATGGAAACAATTACAATTAATAACTTTAATTGTAAATGGAACATGAAGGTACACATTTATTGAATGGTGATAATAAACATATCCATCCTAAGTTAAGTGCTTTTAGCGCTTCAAATAACAAGAGTTAAGCTAAGCAGTAGTATTCTAATTTTAGTCATTTGTAGCCATATGGAAATGGAGAGGAAGCTAATAGTATTTTCTAAGCACAGCTGGCTCATAACTAGAAGCATCTACCTTACAGATAGCAATCTCAGTTAGAGACAGGAATTATAGAAGAATATGAAGCAAACCAATTAGAGATCAATGAGAATCTATAAAACCAAAAAGCAGTTAATTTGAATTAGAATTTATAACAAAATTAATAAGATGTCTAGCATTAAATTTTAGGAGGTAATCTTTAACACTAGCAAATTAATAAATTATAATTGCATCAAGTTGATGAAATAAGAGAAAGCAATTCTGCTTTTAACTCTTTAATTGGTGGCTCAACATCATCTACTTAACTTAATTGTAATGAACACCCATTTAATGAATTGACTTTGTATTGTTTTACTTGTGATAATAAACTGCTTTGTATAAAATGCTTATAAAATGGAGAACATAGAGATCATGATGTTCAAAGTATCAGTAAAAACTTTGAATATCTATTAGGAAAAATGACAGAAACCTCTCATGAAATAAACTCTAGTATCGAATAACTAATAATCTAACAGAAGAGGCTAGTAGATAAAAGAAAGGAGTGCTTAAGATAAATAAAAATAATAAAAGATTAAATTTAAGATAATTTAAACGATGTAAAAGCCAGTATAGCAAGCAGAGAATAACATTTACTTTAATAGGCTGAACAAATTTTTATGAATAAGCAAAGTGAAATTTTAAAAGAAATATAGGTAATTTAGAACAAGACATAAGTGATACAAGAAGTCAAGAATTAATTTGAATTAATATGCGAGTCATATTTTAAAAATAAAACAACCACAAATACTGATCGAGAAGTTGATTCTCTACCTCATCAATAACATAATCAAGAATAACTTTTGTAAGAATAGTAGCAGAAAGCTCATGAACAGTAAACAAATCACATATAGTAATAGCTTGAATAGATTTTACAGTAGAAGTTCTATTTATAACAGTTACAAAACGAATAGCATATTTAACAATAGCACCAATAAAATTAACAAAAGAATAATTAACAAATTCCTTAACATTATGATATTTTAGCAACAGAAAATAACTCTACAGAGGAGCTGCATGATACTTTTAAATTTTCAAGTGAAGCTGAAAAAATTAGCTTATATCGTTTCTATTAATAGTGCAGATCTTTCCTTTGCTAGTAAGGAATTACTAGAAGTAGTTAAGGTAATGAAAAAATAAATATGACTCAACTTTAATAACAGCAGTCTCCTCAGTATAGCTCGTATCAATTAACTCCTCATCAACCTAGGACTACATAATTCAATGAAACTCCTCGCAGTAAACATAACATTTAATAATAGCTTTAATTCTAAAATATCTCTTAGATTCATTAAAGTGGGGTAACAAGCAATTATCAATCAAATTAACCCTCATCCTATATACAGTAGCATTAAATGCAGCAATAATCTAATGCCCAAAGAAATCAGGGCAATTTTGAATCATAATATGCTAGTATTAGATCGAATATTAGTTAGCCAATAGAAGAAGAGGAGTATTAGCAATAATAATTTCAATAAAATTATTAATAATACAATATAATGAGCTCTTAAGATTTATCTTAGTTGATAGACGACGTACAAAGAATTAAAAAAGAAGCGACATAGATTGACTTAAATAATTATGCTAGTAGATAAAACACAACTCTAAACAATAGCAATCTAAATTAAAAAGAAAACTCAATTCTTCCTTCTTCTTCAATTTAAGCTCCGTAGCGTGGTAATTAACTATTTCACGACTATTTAAACAAGCAGCGCTATTAAAATTAGTTATAACAATAATATTAAAACACTCAATTGTAGCACTCAGAAGAAAAAAACAATTAGGGACAACCTTACTAAAAAGAGTAACCATAGGAGTACATGAGTCAACTTAACTATTAATAAAGTTAAAAGATTAACTAAAGTAAGGATCAAAAACTATAAAATCATAATGAAGAAGAAAATAATAATTATAATTAAGTAAAGTAGCCCACTTCTAGAAATTCTTAGTATCTTATGCAAAGATTATAGGAGAATATGGAAAATTACTAAGGGAGTTTGAATGGAACTAGCAATAAAAAGATAAATTCGTCAACCCTTAATTAAAACTCATATTTAGCATTCCCAACCTAATCATCAGAGACAGAACTTTATAAGAAAGATTAAGCTAAAAATAGCAGCTATCTAAAGCAAAAGAGATCAAAATGGCTCGATGAGGAGGCTCTTGAATAAGACTAAGAACACTAGAATAATTATTACACTTATTCTAATTAAAATTAATATTTTTATGATAGGATTAATGCAATTGAGAATTTTGAATAAGGAAACTAGAAGCAAAAATAAGAATTCAATAAGCACCTTGACAACATTTTTAGAAAAAATGGAATTCATAATAAAAATAGTTTACTCAACAAACTTCAATATCAAAATTCTTTAGAACACCAACCAGGTAATCAAATAATGTCTAATAGTGTATTAGTTGGTAGCAACGGCTATTAAACAGAAAGACTTAACACTAATCCAGAGCTCTTATATAGCAATATTAATAGAAGTTATACTAACACAGCAATAAAATAAAAGTAGGATTTCACCCTAGCTAAGTAAGATGATAAATATAAAACAGAACCCTTTTCTCCAAATTTCAAAAGATAAATGATAAATTAGGCTCAATACAGTTATACTACTCGTGCTTCTAATCAAAATACAAGTCTTTCAAGATAAACAATATCTAATTCTCATTTAAAAGTAAATGCATCATTGAGTACCCATAATAACTCAAATACTGCAAATCTTCAAAAAACGACACTTTAAAAAGACTAGCAAATAAATGCATAGAATTCTAATTACCAACTTAACCAAAGAAGCTTAAAAAAACAATAAAACCAATCTGCCACTCAAAGAGATAGAAATTTAGATTCTTTGTTTGAAACTTTAAGAATCTAAAAAGAGCAATACAACATTAAAAAGAAGTAGTACTTCCTTTAAGAATGATATTTACAAACAATAAAAGAATATTCAAGTAACAAAGTCAAAAAAATAAAAAAATATTCAACACCCTTATCCCTAATCAAACATTTTCTTAAGAATTATTAATATTTTTAATTAATTAAATCTAAATTATATAAAAGTAAATAACCAAACCAAACAAAGAAAGTAAGTAAGGCAGATAAACAAACAAACAACCAAACAAATAAAATTAACAAAACACTTAGTTTTATTTATAGATTATTAAAAAATATTTTATTTTTCATATTATTTATTTACATTTATTCATTCATCCACTTATTGATTTAAGAATTGTATTTGACATTTAAACTTCGTTTTACTTTACTTTTCTATATAATTTGTTCTTCCAATCTATATCATTTGTTATGGTTAATTATTTAATCAAGTTTTTATTTAACAAGTCTAGAATTCTATTATGAAAATTTTTTATTTTTATATATCTTTCTAAATAAAAAAACTTAAAAAATTAAAATAATTATGTGCAATTAAAACATATTTCTAATTATTAAATAGAATTTTTTTGAATAATCAATCTATTTATCAAAAGTTAAAACTACCAAATAAATTAGTCTAAAAAATCTAGAGAAAAAAAATAAATCAAAATAAATAATATTAAATGTGAATGTTTTTCTTTAATAATTAATTAAGATGCACTCAATAGGGATAAAGCAACTTTTCTATGGCTTGAATGAATTTAAATGAATATAGAAAAGCGAGATAACAAAAATCAAATCTTATTACATTTTGATGTTTTAAAATTAAGAAATAGACATTAAAATCTTAAATTTAACAGCAGATTTTAAAGAATGGTTTTTTTTTTTTTTTCATTTTTCGATATTAAGGTATTTGATGAAAAGTAAAATTAGTTAGTTGGTTTTAAAAATAAAAAAATCCTTTAAAGACAAAATTCTTAATTACAAAAATTTAAAGAAATTATTAAATATAAATAAAATAATTTAGTAAATCGAATAAAATTTCATTCTCTTATCAGTTAATTTATAACATTTAATAACCAATTGAGGAATTTTTTACTAAAGTCTAATTTACTTTAAAATTTTAAAATAAGATGTTTAAAAGAGAAGAATATATTTTCTATTGCACTGAAAATTTTAGTTATTATAGATGAAACAAATCAGATTTGATAAGATTTAATTAAGTATTTTATAAATTTTTGTAAAGTGTCTAATTTATCTTTTGCATTTACATTCATATCCTATTAAATTGGCTTGTTTGGATACATTTTTAGTAAGACACAAATTTTATTGGTAATATCAAAACTTTTAAAAATTATTTCTATTTTTAATTCATTTTATAAAGCCTTTAGAATAAATATAACAGAACTATTGAAACAAGACAAACTTCTGAAAATAAAAGCAACTGTTTGTAAAATTTTAACTGGCTTCTATTTTAATTAAAATATAGACTGTCAATTTTAAACAAAATAGACAAATATTTTTCAATAAAAAAGAGTAGCTATTATATTATCTACTTAATATTAATAAAATAACTTTTTTTTTTCCTGTTTTATTAACATTTATTACTCATCTATATAATAGTTTCATAAGCAGCAACTTTAACTTGTCGTTTCTACTACAAATAGTTCAATATCAAAAAAAAAAAATAGCATCAGAAATATTTTTGATGAGATTAGCTTCATAGATTTGATTTCTTGTAATTTAGAATCTATAAGTAAAACAAAAGAACAATAGAATATATAAATATTTTTAAAAAGATTGAAAAGTTTTAATATAATTTTATAAAACTAGTCGATAATATACCAACGAAGTAAATATTAGATATACTTCATTTTGTTTAAAAAATGTTTGTAGAGATTTAAAAGCATATCTGCTTAAATATATTATTTATTATTTTATTAGAAACTTCTAAACATTTTACATATATTTTTGATAAGAAATATAGTGTAATAATATATTTTGAATCACTGTTACTCCTCTTTTTTATAAATTTGTAAGCTCTTCTACATACAAAGTGAATACGATTAATTACAATTAATCGAAACTTAAGAGATAAATAAAATAAATTAAAAATAATTTATTTAATAATTAATTAAGGTGGATAATTTAATTTACACTTTAATCTAAAGACTTTAGTTAATTTTTTTATAAGAAATAAAGAATGATTACTTTTAGAAAAGTAGCTCTTACTCTCATTTTTTTACAAATAAATAGGTTACCCTCATAATCAATTGAATTTAATTACAAAAAATCGAAGCTTAAGCTTAAGGGATACATAAAATTAAATTAAAAATAATTTACTTAATATGTATAACTTAACTATTGTAAGTTTACTAAGTAACATTTTAAACTTTCTTTATTAGAAACTTCAGCAACAAATTGTATTTATTTTTATTTTTTCTTTTACAATCTTGTAATTTAATCAGGATTTAACATAATTAATGTATATTTTACACCTAACAGAAACTGAGAGGAGGCATTCAAAAATTAATAAAATTATCCATTTTTTATTAAATGTCAATCAAAAAAATATTTCTTTTATTTTTAAACATATTTTTAGCTTTTGGTAATTTCTTTATTAATCTCTTTTATTTGTATTATTAATACACTTTATTGTATTTTTAAAGCTAAATAATTTTTTTTTTTTTAAAGAAATAAAATCTTATTTGTTTTTTATTAAGCAAATTCAATCTTTAGTCGTAAAATTTATAATAGGATTGATGATTGTATGAGTTTGAACGAAAATTTAAATGGTGATTAAAAATAATTTGAGCTTTTAAAAGATTTTTGTTAAAATATCATGACTTAATGAAATCTGTTGTAAAGTTATATAGAAAAATAAAGAGTGCATTTAAAATTAAAATAGATTCAGAAAGTGCCAGAAGAAAGAAATTCGTCAATTTCAGATAGGAAAAATCCCTTTTTCTTAAACAAAAGATAATCAGAAAATATATAAAATTTATCAATCTAAAAGAATCAATTTAATATAAAGAAATAGCTATACAGTTTAGTCAGTATAATTTCAAAACTAATAGAATAGGAAAAGTAAAAAAACAGTAGAAAAATACTAAAATTTTAGTTAAAATATTTCAATAGTCTACTAAAATCAGATTGGCGTTTGCCATTGAATAAATTATTAAGGAATATAGGAAAATAGCTCGTCTAACTAAATCTTATTAAATTAATAAGAGAATCTGATAAAAATTATATAGAAAAATGAATAATTCTAATATTTTCGATGGTCATTAATACACATTAGCTACTCAGGAAATCAAAGAGTAAGTCATTTATATGACAGAGGTTCTTAAAGGAGAGAGAAATTTCTTAAACAAACATTTCTAAAATGCAATCACTAACTACTTCATGGAAGATTATGCAAGCTAGTTCTTGAAGGAAAAAATGAATTTAAAAACATACAAAGAAGTTAAAAATGTGATATCTTAAAAACTAGAAGAAAGAAAAAAATCTGAATACCCTGGCACAAAGTATATGAATTTAATAAACATTTATTATGAAGAGCATTCTAAATGGGACACACTTTAGCTATATTAAAATTATTTGCGCGATTTAGCACTTTCTAACGAAGATAAAAACTATAAATAAGGAAGTTAAGAGTGGATTACTGTCTGCTGGAAAAAGGCTACAGCTCTTTTTGTCTTACATCACTCATTAAATCCAAGTCTTTCTTCTATATTTGAAATATGGAACAGCTTGTATCCTGAAGACCCTATAATTAAGAAGAAAAAAACAAAAGAAGAGAGGGATAAAGAAAAAATGAGAGAACAAATAAAGGAATAAGGAAGCTGCGATTATCAAGACTCTTATTCAGTAGTAAAGAAAGGCAAAAAAGGTATTTAAAAAAATAAAACTCAAATAGATAGGTCCTCTCTTAATAAACAAAAGGACATTCAATTATGGAGAAAAAATAACAAAAAACAAAGTCCCCACAACCCAAATTCAGATCAAGAAGAAAATAATTAATTCGATAATAATAGTGATGAAAAATATTCATAAAACAGTTCTGATAATAATAACTTCAATAATAACAACAACAATAGAGATTAAATAATTAAGCAAGCAAATTAAAAAAAGAAATTTCAAAATAATAAAACAAAAGTAGAAGATTAAGAAAATAATTAATTAGTAGAAAGCTTGACAGATGTAAAAGATTCTATTCATCTGTTCAAGGAGAGGATAATAAAGGAAAATGGAGGTGAAGGCTTTGACGCATTCCCAGACTTTGAGTATATTCCTATGACTTCAAAAATTAATTAAGAAAGTAACACCACCAATTCCATCATAGTGTAATAAATGGATCAAGAAAAAATTAAAGAAGAATACCAAAATCGTAGTTTTCTTGGCTGCATGGACATTGAATAAAGTAAAGACAAAGATTCAATTTTTAAATCTCTTATTTTTGCTAAAGGAAACCAGGTAGGTGGTAACATAAATTTAAACTTAAATTTGAACTAAAATCAAAACAATAACACTCAATAATAACAATAACAACAACAATAATAATAACCATAAAGCTCATTGTTAATTAATTAATCATAACCCATATTTGAAAATGAAGATTTTTTTGCTAAAAATATGAATATTTTCTAAGATATTGGTTTTGGAGATTTAAATAACGAATTATAGATGTTTGAATCATAAAAAAATCCAACTATGAAAGTAAATTTACCCATATTTAATTCACTCACTTTCTCTGCTATGAATATGAACAATAATTTTAATTTGAATCTCTTAAGCAACAATAACTTAAACAGCACTTTGTATCAGTAGAACAACATTTTTGGTTCTAAATTTTACTAATAACTTGAAGAATAGCAAGTTACAAACAGTTTATAATTCTTAAGAATATCTGATAAAAATGATTAAAAGGCACCAATTAATTAAAGCCTCTAAGTAGATTTTGAGAGACAAAATGAAGAATAAGATCAAAGACTAGCATTTGATATGGCTCAAACTGAAGACTCTGTTTATCATTCTAATAAAATTAAAATTCCAAATATTAAAAAGGAAAACGGAGCAGATAATTATTACAATAATGAAGAAGATAAAAATAATGATGATGGAGTCAGAGAAATTCAAGAATTTTTAAACCATATAAACTCTCTTCCTATAGCTTAGTCATAAAAATTCAAAGAAATATTAAGCAATAACATAAATGGTAGTATTAACATCAACAACAACAATAATAATAATATTACAAATTCAAACAACTTATTAAATGGTAATCAAAAAAGTGCTGATACTTACACTACATCTTAAGAAGACACATAATCCTCAAACACTTTCTCATCAAATACTTCTAATCTGATTAATTCTAACCAATATTTCCTTAAAAACTTATCCTAACATTAATTTATATGATTAGAGAAAAAGCTCTTCCCTAATTTGTTTCAAGAAATAAAAATAAAAAACAATTTTCATAAAAAAATATATATAAGAGTGACATTAATTATTATCCACTACTTAATTAACTATTCCCGTTTAACTTAATCAATTATTAATTTAAATTAAATGAATGTTTATTAAAGTAAAAAGTATTATACCATTGCTATTTTAATCTTAGTTTTGTATGTAATTTAACAATCTATATTTTTATCTCAAAATTTTGTAAAAACTTAAAATTAAATTATTATTTATTCATTAAAAAAATGAAATCGATTTAATTTTAGATTTTTATTTACTGAATTTTATCTTAAATTAATTTCATTAGTAGAATTATTAAAAAATATTACTATTTTTTTTTGACTTAGTAATACTTTTAAATAAATAAAAATTTAAAGAAGTATAAATGCTAAGCTATAGGTTATATAATAAAAATTACTAAAATTTAAAATAAACTCAATTAAAAGGAAAAATAAGTCTTATTAAACAATTTTTTAGCCCTTAATTAATTATTTGATAATATAAGAATTTAAGTAGAAGAAACAACAATTTATTAAATGCTAAGAAATTTAGATTTTTTTGGGAGCTAGATTAAACTTAGGTACAATAAATAGCCAATGTATAAGTCAAGTGCAGGATCTATAATTACTCTTTTAATTATAGGTTTCATAGGTTTTCGGTTTATTTCTATAGTTTTATCAGTATTTTACAGAGAGAATCCTTCCTTAATATTTACAGAAAGGCAGGTAGATGATCCTTCTCTTTTTACAGCAACGGCTAGAACATTCCCCTTAGCGTTTGCATTAGAAGACTCAAATAATAACTTTTTTATTGATGAATAAATATACACCATTTAAGCATAATTGTAGTAAAAATTCCAGGTTTATAATAAAACTTCATTGAAATATGATGCTGTTTATAAAATGATGAATATTGCAGTTTTACCATGCACTACAGAAAACTTTTAGAATCCTGATAATGCTAAATATTATCTAAAACTAGACTACAAAAATATGTATTGCTTTACTCCTGACTATTAGCTAGATATTTAGGGTGATTTTCCATCTCCTGTGTTTTCATAAATCATGTTAAAAGTTTTTAAATGCAAAACAAACTGTAAATCTGATTACATAGTGGATAAGTACTTAAAAAAGATTTATTTTGGTCTTTAATTTTCAGATGCTTATGTAGATATTACAAATAAAGATAACCCTTTTTAAATGTACTCAAGAGACATTTTTTGGCCTATTAGTAGTTAATAATAAAAAGATGTCACCCTTTACATTAGAAATAATTATGTGTATAGTGATTTTGGATGGTTTTTTTCTGATGTTAAAACTCAAAGGTTTCCATCTTTCAGCTTTTAAAATATTGATGTAAATATTTATTATCAAAAAAATGCAGCATTTTATTGCAGTTTTATTAATTAATTAAATAATTTTTTTCAACACAAATGTAATATTTATATTTAAAAAGTTAAAATAATTTGTAAAGTTTTGATTAAAAAATAAAATAAATTTATGAACTCTATTAAATTAATTACAAATAAAGGTATTTCCTGTATAAAATTAAGGTGATTATCTACTTAGCGTCACATTCAGATTTGAGAAATAGCAAGAAAATGTCTATAGAAGATCCTATTTAGACTTTTTTGGTATAATATCATAAATTGGTGGTTTTGCAAATACCCTGTTTGCTATAGGTTTTCTAATCTGCCATAGAGTTTCTGAATTGCAATTAAATCAAAACATTATAAGCTAGATTTTTAGCTATAAGGAATCTCAAATAGAAAATAACAAATAATAAGAAATTTCAGAAGCAACCGAATAGAAGTAAGATAATCAAACCTAATAACCTCCTTTAGAATATTAAACTTAATTAAAAAATAAAAACAACAATTCAGAATAAAAATAAGAGATGAATTAAATTATTTAATGCATCTAAGAAAACACTAACAACAAATCTATTTGTCCTCATTCACAATCCATTTCAAATTTAAATAGAAATTTACAAAAAAAAGAAAAACTTAATTAAAATATTTCTAATTTTTCCAAAAAAAAACCAACATTTATTAGTAAACTAAATTCAAATTAAGAAATTAGCAAATAAAATAATTTAGAAAGCTAAAATTTTAGCCGAATATTTATTTTAAATAAATATCTATAGGATGAAACTCCTAATTAAAGTATTTCCTCAATTACAAATAATAACTCACCAAATAATTAAAACAAGACTCCATAAAACATGAATACAAAAGAAGAAAAAGAGTTCACAAAACTGTTTAATTAACAAACAAACAGCATGAAAATGAGTGTTTGGGAATATTTTTTATCTTATATTTGTCCTTTTGGCAAATTGAAGAAAAAAAAAGAAATTATTTAATATAGCATAGATAAACTGTATTAAAATTTGGATATTTTACAAATTTTAAAGAGACTAATCGAAGTTGAAAAGTTAAAGAGATTGCTTTTAGATCCAGATTAAATAAAACTGTTAGACTATTTACCAAAGCCAACAATTGATTTAGATTTAATTTTAGATAAGTAATCAACTGAGAATGCTTACAAAAATAAAGAAGTTAATTTACTATATTAAGATAATAGATGTGAGATTTAAAAAGCAAGAGATGCTTTTGAAGCTTATAAAAAAATAAAGCATAAACAAAATTTTACTTTGCTAGACAAAAAGATCATTGAAATGCTTGACTAGAATTTAGTTCAAATATTTGAAGCCTAACAAGATAATTTAAGTTTAGGATGTATTTAGAATAAATAGAATAATAATATTAAATAAAAAACATAAAATTCATCTCCTTTTCTGAAGCTTTAAAATGAAAAAAATAAAAATGTTGATTAAGAATCATAATAAACAATTAAAATATAGGAGACTACTAATTTTTTTGCTAGCTAATATGATAATCCAAGGCCGTTTGAATTTAATCGTTTTTAATCTACTTAGTAATAATCAATCAATAATTATAAGGATAGTTTCATTGAAAACTAAGAATTTGCTTTCCAGTAAAATTGTAATAGTGATAGCGAGCAAGGTGAAATAGCATAAGAAGACTTTCGTAACAACATACCAGATTAATTATAAAGTTATAATATATGTTGAAAATGAATTTTATTATTAAATTCCAACCCTAAGTCAATTATATTCTAATGGTAGAGACATACTTTAATTTTTATCCTTTAAAATAATTTTCATGTTAATTAATCTATTTTAATTTATTAAACAAATTTCATTAATCAAAAAATTGCTCTAAATTTTCTTAGAGGGATATAATTTTTTTATTTAAAACAAAATTTATTATTAATATTTTCATGTTATAAAAAAATTATTGATAAATAAAGTCCTTTATAAAAAATAGTTATTTTCACTAGATTTTAAAAAGGCATTTAGCTATGTTATTTACTATTTTTATTTTAAATACTGAACAATATGTAGAAATTTTTTATTTATTTATTTATTTATGTTTATTAATTTTATTGATAAATAATTAAATTGATTATTTAATCAAATATAATTAAAAGTAGAAGTAAAATAATAAAATAAATGTTAAAGAAATTAGATTTTTTTGGAAGTTAAATTTAGTTAAGATTTAATTAAGAACCAACATACAAATCTTAGATAGGGTCTATTATTACCATTTTAATTATTACATTCATAAGCTTTCGTTTTCTTTCTATCCTTTTATCAGTACTTAGTAGAAAGAACCCTTTCATAATTTACACCTAGAGGTAAGTTGATGACCCTTCTCTTTTTGTAGCAACTAGCAAATCATTTCCTATGGCCTTTGCACTTGAGAATTTAGATAGTTAATATTTTATTGATGAATAAATATACACAGTCTCAGCTGAATTACAGTAAAGAATTTAAAATTTTAATAATACTTCTTAATAATATGATATTATTTGGTAAAATTTGGAAATCTAAGTTTAACCATGTACAAAAGATAACTTCTAAAATCCTGATAATTCCAAATATTATTTAAATCTTGATTATAAAAATATGTATTGTTTTTCTCCAGACTCTTAGCTAGATATTTAAGGCGATTTTCCATCTCTAAAATTCTCATAAATTATTTTTAAAGTTCATAAATGCTAAATAAATTGTAAATCTGAGGATGTTATCAACTAATACTTATAAAAGAATTATTTTGGTCTTTAGCTTTCAGATGCTTATGTGGATATTACTGAAAAAGAAAACCCTTTTTAAATGTATTCAAGAGACATGTTTTGGCCTATTAGCACATAACAATAGAAAGACATTACAATTTATATTAGAAATAATTATGTCTACAGTGATTTTGGTTGGTTATTTTCTGACATAATAACTTAAAAGTTCCCTTCTTACAGTTATTAAGATATTGATGTAAATTTTTTTCTAAAGCTTAATGTATTCTCTATTTTTAAAGTTAATTTTAGTGTCAAAATATACCTTAATTTCTTTATTATTTTTTGTCCGTTTGATTAAAAAATTTTTTTAAAAATATTTAAAATATAAGATAGCCCCCTCTCATTTATTATTAATATTTTTACAATTAAAATTGAGAAAAATATGGTAATTAAAACATTTTTAATTACTTAACATAAATTTATAAAAAAATATTTTAATAAATTTAATATTCTGATAAATAAAGGTATTTCCTATTTAGTAATCTGATGATTATTTACTTAGTGTAGTATTTAGATTAGAAAAATAATAGGAAAATGTTTATCGAAGGTCTTATTTAGATTTTATTGGAATTATATCTCAAATTGGTGGTTTTGCATAGAGCCTTTTAGCTATAGGTTATTTAATCTGCCGTAAAATTTCTTAACTACAATTAAATTAAAGCATTATCAATTAGATATTTAATTATGAAGAATCAGAAACACAAGAAAATCCTTAACAATAATTTTAAGAATTTATGTCTGAAAAATAATAGGACCAAAAATAATAAAACTAATAATCTCCATTAGCATATGAGCTAAATTAGAATTAAAATAATCAAAATAGTTATAGTCAAGAAAGAAATTAAAAAAATAAATTTAACTACTAAAATAATAGTAATATTTCTATTGTTTCACATTCATTTAAGTAAGAAAAATTAAAAACATAAAGTCAAAAATAATAATCAAATGAAAAATAGGTATCATAAGCTCCTAGTTTTATGAAACAAAAGCATTTAATAATAAAAAAAATAAGCTCTAAATTAGAAACCAACGGAAAACAACATAATTAATAAATCTAAAAAATAGGCAGCAAGTAAATTTTAAATAAATATTTATAGGATGAAATGTATGATTAAAGTATATCTCAAAGCACACAATTAAAAAATAACTCTAATTTACCAAGCAAATAAACAAACAGCCCATAGAAAGTTCAGAAAAAAGTTGAAAAAGAATTTTCAAAACTTTTTAATTAATAAACAAATTGTATGAAAATGAGCATTTGGTAGTATTTTTTATCTTATTTTTGTCCTTTTGGCAAGCTAAAATAAAAGAAAAAAATAATTTAATATAGCATAGATAAGCTTTATCAAAATTTGGATATTTTACAAATTTTAAAGAGACTTATAGAAGTTGAAAAATTAAAGAGACTGCTTTTAGATCCAGATTAAATAAAACTGTTAGACTATTTACCTAAGCCAACAATACATTTAGATCTAGTTTTAAACAAATAATCTACAGAAAATATTTACAAAAATAAAGAAATAAATTTACTCTATTAAGATAATAGATCTGAAATGTAAAAGGCTAAAGATGCATTTGAAGCTTATAAAAAAATTTAAAATAAAAAAAATTTCTCTATGCTAGATTAAAAACTGATTGATATGCTAGACTAAAATTTAGTTCAAATTTTTGAAGCTCAAAACGAAAATTTTAGCTCTTTGCATAATAAATCTAATTAGTAATGGTAATAGCAGTCATATAGTTTAACTCCTCTCGTTAATTTTTAAAATTAAAAATTAAAAAACTTAAATAATGTATCATCTGAAGCAATTTAACATTAAGATGCTCTTAGTTTTTTTATGAACTTGAATGATGATTCTAAATAGTTAGAAATTCAAAATTTATAGTCTTCTTATTAAAAATCTATCAACAATAACAGGAATAGCTTAATAAAAGATGAGATATTTACTTTGAATTAGAACTGTAGCAGTAATAGCGAGCAAGGAGTTGAGGTAGCATAAGAAAATTTTTACAATAATTTATAAAATCAATTGGAAAATTATGAAATAACTTAAAAATGAAAGCTAATTTCTTAAAATTTTTATTATTTTATTTTGAAATTTATGAATGAAAAATTTTTCCAGTATTTTAAAATAGTGAAAGCTATTATGTTTATTTACATTAAGTTAAGGTATTTATTACTAAATAATTAATTTTACTTAATAGTTGAAATAAAATATTCCTTACAGTTTAATTAGTTAGTAATTTTTTATATGAATGTATGAGAATATAAATTTTGCGTTAGAATATTAAAATTGCTTCAGTATTCTCTAAAAAGTAAAAATATACTTGGACGATGTTTTATTTAACTATCAACTTATTATTTATAAAATTTATTATAAATAAGAGCAATATTATTCTAAATTTACTTAAAATAATTGTTAATAGTTACAAAATTTACCATTAAAATAAACTAATGTGAAAACCTATAAGCTCTTTTATCAAACTTTTGAATTTAAACTTGTATTTATTGCCAAGAATTGTAATAAATTAATAAAATTGTCACTACTATTTAATATAATTTAAATACACTCTAAATATTACTTACATTAGGCATATTTAAGCTTTAATTAATTCAATTCACATATAAAAAAGCCATCTACATTCAGGAAATCGATAAATAAAAATATATTTTTGGTAATTTTTTAACTAATAGGTAGTAAGTAGATTTTATTAAGAAAAAAACTGATAATATTAAAATCATAAAATATTTTTGCATTAAAAACAATATTGGACTCTTATATATTAGGAATATTTTAGTTTACATCATAAAAATACAATTTACATTACATTTATATTCATATTATTTAGATATATTAAATTAAGTTATTATCATTGCACTTACTTTTCATATATTAAAATAACTAAGACTTTATCAGTAGTTTTTAATTTGAAATATTGTTAATAAAGAGATTTTATTGTTTATTAATTATTACGATATATTTTTAATAATTTCAATCAATTTTATTTGTTAAATTAATTATAATTATATTTACCGAATTAATTTTATTTTTTTTTGAAATTAGCCTGAATATAATTTTGGTTGATGGATTCAAATGTTTATAGTTTTTTTTTTTAAGAACTTTTTAACTAACATTTTCAAAATTTTTTAAAATATGGTATATATTAAAAAAATATTCAAACAATATTTTGCTGTATTATTAATAAAATTGAGTCTTGGTTCATTAGGAGTGATATAAATTATTTATTATTTTTATTTTAAATATTTAACTAAGGTAGAATTTGTTTATTTATTTATTTAATTATTTATTTATGTTTGTTTGTTAATTTTATTGATAAACAATTCAATTGATTATATAATCAAAAATAATTAAAAGTAGAAGCAAGCTATTAATATAAATGTTGAAGAAATTAGATTTTTTTGGAAGTTAAATTTAGTTAAGATTTAATAAAGAGCCAACATATAAATCTTAAATAGGATCTATAATTACCATTCTAATTATTTTATTCATAAGTTTTCGTTTTATTACTATCCTTTTATCAGTAATTAGTAGAAAGAACCCTTTCATTATTTATACCTAGAGGTAAGTTGATGACCCATCTCTTTTTGTAGTAACAAGCAAATCATTTCCTATGGCCTTTGCGCTTGAGAATTTGGATAGTTAGTATTTTATTGATGAACAAATATATACTGTCTCAGCATAATTACAGTAAAGAATTTAAATTTTTAATAATACTTCTTAACAATATGATATTGTTTGGAATGTTTTCGATATCTAAGTTTAACCATGTACAAAAGATAACTTCTAAAATCCAGATAATGACAAATATTATTTAAATCTTGATTATTAAAATATGTATTGCTTTTCTCCAGACTCTTAGCTAGATATTTAAGGTGATTTTCCATCTCTAATATTCTCATTCATAACATTTTAAGTTAATAAATGCTAAATAAATTGTAAATCTGAGGATGTAATAAACTAATATTTAAAAAAAAATTATTTTGGCCTTTAGCTTTCAGATGCTTATGTGGATATTACTAACAAAGATAATCCTTTTTAAATGTATTCAAGAGACATGTTTTGGCCTATTAGCACATAGCAATAGAAAGATATTACAGTTTATATTAGAAATAATTATGTCTACAGTGATTTTGGTTGGTTATTTTCTGATATAATAACTTAAAAGTTCCCTTCTTACAGTTATTAAGATATTGATGTAAAAATGTTTTCTAAAACTTAATGCATTCTCTATTTTTAAAATTTAATTTAATTATTTTTAATGTCAAAATAAACCTTAATCCCTTGATTATTTTTTACATGCACGATTAAAAATTTTTTAAAAGCCATTTAAAAAACAACTTATTTTAACACTCACGTTTATTATTAATAATTTTACAATTAAAATTGAGAAAATATGGTCATTAAACATTTTTAAGTTATTTAAGATAAATTAAAAATAAAAAAAATATTAATAAATTTAATATTCTGATAAATAAAGGTATTTCCTATACAGTAATCTGATGATTATTTACTTAGTGTAACATTTAGATTTGAAAAATAATAGGAAAATGTTTATAGAAGGTCCTATTTAGATTTTATTGGAATTATATCACAAATTGGTGGCTTTGCATAGAGCCTTTTAGCTATAGGTTATTTAATCTGCCGTAAAATTTCTTAATTACAATTAAATTAAAGTATTATCAACTAGATATTCAATTATGAGGAATCAGAGACACAAAATAATCTATAACAATAATTTTAAGAATTAGATTCTGAAAAATAATAGGATCAAAAATAATAAATCTAGTAACCTCCAAATGAATATTAAATATAAGAGTTAAATTAAAATAATAAAAATAGTTTTATTTAAGAGATATATTAAAAAAATAAATTTAACTACTAAAATAATAGTAATATTTCTATTGGTTCACATTCATTTAAGTAAGAATAATTAAAAGCATAAAGTAAAAAATAATAATCAAATGAAAAATAGGATTCATAAGCTCCTAGTTTTATGAAACAAAAGCAATTAATTATTAAAAAAAGAAGCTCTAAATTAGAAAGTAGCAAAAAACAACATAATTAATCAGGCTAAAATATAGGAGGTAAGTAAATTTTAAATAAGTATTTATAGGATGAAATTTATGATTAAAGTATATCTCAAAGCACATAATTTAAAAATAACTCGAATTTACCAAGCAAATAAATTAACAGCCCATAGAAAGTTTAGAAAAAAGTTGAAAAAGAATTTTCAAAACTTTTTAATTAATAAACAAATTGCATGAAAATGAGCCTTTGGTAGTATTTTTTATCTTATTTTTGTCCTTTTGGCAAGCTCAAATAAAAGAAAAAAATAATTTAATATAGCATCGATAAGCTTTATCAAAATTTGGATATTTTACAAATTTTAAAAAGACTTCTAGAAGTTGAAAAGTTAAAGAGACTGCTTTTAGATCCAGATTAAATAAAGCTGTTAGACTATTTACCTAAACCAACAATACATTTGGATCTAGTTTTAAACAAATAATCTACAGAAAATATTTACAAAAATAAAGAAGTTAATTTACTCTATTAAGATAATAGATCTGAAATGTAAAAGGCTAAAGATGCATTTGAAGCTTATAAAAAAATTTAAAATAAAAAAAATTTTTCTTTACTAGACTAAAAACTAATTGATATGCTGGACTAAAATTTAGTCCAAATTTTTGAAGCTCAAAACGAAAATTCTATCTCTTAAAATTAGCATAATAAATCTAATTAGTAATCGCAATAGCAGTCATTTAGTTTTACACCCCTCTTCAATTTTTAAAATGAAAAATTTAAAAACTTAGATAACGTATCATCTGAAGCAATTTAACATTAAGATGCTAATAATTGTTTTATGAACTAGTATGATGATTCTAAATAATTAGAAAATCAAAATTTATAGTTTTCTTATTAATAATCTATCAATAATAACAGGAATAGCGTAATAAAAAATGATATATTTACTTTGCATTAGAACTATACCAGTAATAGCGAACAAGAAGTTGAAGTAGCATAAGAAAATTTTTACAATAATTTATAAAATCAATTGGAAAATTATGAAATAACTTAAAAATGAAAGTTAATTTCTTAAGATTTGTATTATTTTATTTTTAAATATATGAATGAATTATTATTTCAGTTTTATTTAAAAATAGTGAAAGTTATTATATTTATTTACACAAAGTTACGGTATTTATTACTAAATAATTAATTTTACTTAATAGTTGAAATAAAATATTCCTTACAGTTTAATTATTTATTTATTTTTTATATGAATACATGAAAATATAAATTTTGCGTTAGATTATTAAAATTGCTTCAGTATTCTCTAAAAAGTAGAAAATATACTTAGAAGATGTTTTATTTAACTATCACCTTATTATTTATAAAATGTATTATATATAAATATGAATAATATTAATGCTCCTAAAGTTATGAAGAGCAATATTATTTTAAATTTACTCAAAATAATTTCGAATAGTTACAAAATTTATTATTAAAATAAACTAATGTGAAAACCTGTAAGCTCTTTTATCACACTTTTGAATTTAAACTTGTTGTATTTATTGCCAAAAATTGTAATAAATTAATAAAATTGTCACTACTATTTAATATAATTTAAATCCACTCTAAATTTTACTTATTTTAGGCATATTTAAGTATTAATTAATTCAATTCACATTTAACAAAACCATTTACATTCAGGAGATTGATAAATAAAAATATATTTTTGATAATTTTTTAACAAATAGGTAGTAACTTTTATTAAGAAAAAAGCTCATAATATTAAAATCATAATTTATTTTTACATTAAATACAATATTGGATTCTTATTTATTTGGAATATTTTAGTTTACATCATAAAAATTTAATTTACATTACATTTATATTCATATTATTTAGATATATTAAATTAAGTTATTACCATTAAACTTAATTTTCAATATGTATTAATTATTACTATATATTTTTTAAAAATTTAGTCAATTTTTTTTGTTACATTAATTATAATTGCATTTATCCAATTAATTTTATGTATTATTTGAAATTAGCCTAAATAAAATTTTGTTTAATGGATTTAAACTTTTTCAAAATATACTTAGTTGTAATTTCAAAATTATATTTTGAAACTAATATTTATCTTAAATAAATATCCTAAATTAATTGAATATTTCTTTTAATATTTAAGAATAATAAAATTTTCTCATTATTAATGAAATGTGATGAAATTGATTAAAATATTTTTACATTTAAAAAATAACTAAATATTAAAAATCTCAAGAGCGAATACTTTTCTACTTTAAATTTAGAATAAATAATGAAAAGATGTAAAAACAAAGTGCTAAAAATTTAAAATATATTTTTAGCAAATATCAAAAACATAAAAAAATATCGTATTTATTTTTTTTCTCACTTACTTATAAACTAATTGTATTTTTTAACTTAATTTTTATCAACGATTTAAATTTCCGTTTAAAAAATTCTTACTTTTTTACTAGAAATTATAATGGTTTACAGAGTTATCAATATATTTCACTAGGAAAAAATTGATCCATTTAGAATTACGAAGATTAATTCAGCTAAATCTTTGAATTCTAAACAACAATTGCTTTTATCATTAAAAAAGACTTCAATAAATTAGGGGATAAATCGAACTTAAAATTAAATTAAAAATAATAATCAAGTAATTAAAAATACAAATCTAAAAAATAAAATCAGGACAAACATTTTGAAGTAAAATATGTTCTAAAGAATCGATCTTTTTGGAAGTAAGATCAATTTAAGATTTTAAGGAAACCAATCATACTAATCCAAAATTGGGTCTATAGTTAGTCTTATCATAATAGGCTTAATTCTTTTTCGCTTAACTTAGATAATTTTATCTGTCATCCTTAGAGAAAACCCTTAGGTAATTTATAGTGAAAGACAGGTTAACGATCCTGATATATTTTATGCAACAAGTGAAACCTTTCCGATGGCTTTTGGGATGGAGGATCCATATAATAGTGAATATTATATAGATGAAGGTATATACAACGTAAAAGCTTAATGGAAGTAAAAATTACTAATATTTAACTAAACTACTTAATAAAATGATATATTATGGAAGTAACAAGACCTAAAAATACAACCTTGTACAATTGAAAACTTTAAAAATCCAATTAATAAGAATTATTATCTACGTCTTAACTATACTAACATGTATTGCCTTTCCCCTGAAAGTGTTTTGGCTATTTAAGGAGACTTTTAATCTTAATAGTATTCTTATATAGAATTATAGGTTTAGCAGTGTTAAAAAAATTGTAAATCTGCAGAATAACTCAATGACTATTTACTTAAATCAAGTTTCGGTTTATAACTTTCTGATGCTTTTGTAGATCCTTCAGAGAAAGAATACCCTTTCAAAATATATTCCAGAGATATGTATTGGCCTACAAGTAATCTGATGCCAAAAGATGTAAATGTATATATCAGAAATAATTACGTTTACAGTGATTTTGGTTGGTTTGGTTCAGACATAATTACATAGAGATTTCCTTCTTTCAGTTTCTATGAAGACACTGTAAAAATTCCATGAATTAATTTTTGTTTATAATTTTAAAATCAATCTTTAATTCTCAAACTTTTATTTTTTATTTTTATAAAATCCTACTAAATTTAAAAATATCTTGATAAAAATAAAATTTAATTCATAATCTCCAATTAAATTAATAGGTTTATCCTCCTAATTTTCAAGATTATTTTATAAGTATCGTATTCAGATTTGAAAAATAGAAAGAAAGTGTCTACAATAGGTCTTATAAGAATTTTATGGGAATATTATCAGATATAGGTGGTTTTTCTTAAAGTTTAATGACTATAGGATTTCTAATTACCTATAAAGTGTCTTAGCTACAATTAAATTAAAGCATAATTAATTAGTTATTCAACTATGAAGAATCTTCTGATGAAGCATTAACCAACTAAAATATTAGAAATGATTTAAAAAAATCATCATTTATGAGTCAAAAAAAAATGAGTATTTTACCTTAATCAATATAATTTACAAATAGAAGCAAAAAAACAAATTTTTATTAAGTTGATTCTAATGTCTAGTTAAATCTTAAAAAAGGCTCAGAATCTAATTTAACTTTAAAACAGGAATCAGAAAAATACCATAATTCAACAGATACATCAAAATTTAATATTCAAAAGTAAAGAGCAGGCTCCAACAACACAAACAGAATTCGCTTTAGTAGTGGTCAAATAAAAAAAAATTAATCAGATAAAAATTTGCCCATTAAAAAATATAAAAATAAACATATATAATCATTAAATAGCATCAGGACTATTTTAGAGGATAATGATCAAAAATAAACAAAAGATGATAAATAAACATTAAATAAAATATTGCATGAAGATTTAGAAAAAGAGACAATAAGCAATACTTTAAATCCTACAAATTTGGGAATTCGTAAAAGCTCATATTAAAAATTGTTCATTTAAAAATAGAAAAATCAATAAAAAATATAAAAAGTAGTTGAAAAACAATTTGATAAACTTATGAAAAAGGAAACAAATAGTATGAAAATGAGTGTTTTCGAATATTTTATATCCTTAATTTTCCCTTGTGGAAGACTGAGAAAGAAAAAGCAAGTAATTGACTACAGCATCGAAAAATTATACCAGAATCTGGATATTTTTTCAATATTAAAAAGGCTGATTGAGGTCGAAAAATTAAAGAGATTACTTTTAGATCAGAATTAAATAAAACTATTAGATTACCTACCTAAACCAACAATCCATTTAGATTTAGCCTTAAATAAAGATTTAAATCACAGCAATTAAAAAAATTAAGAAATTAATTTATTGTATCAGGACAACAGATCTGAATTGTAAAAAGCTAAAGATGCCTTTGAAGCTTACAAAAATATTTTAAGTAAAGATAATTTCTCTGAATTAGATGAAAAGTTGATAGATATGCTTGATCAAAATTTAATATAAATTTTTGAAGCTTAGAATTAGAACTACACTAATACCAATACAAATACAAACACACAATAATAACAGTAACATTAGTAAATTATAGATTTTACTATTGTTCAAAGTCCTTCTCTAATTAATGAATAATAAATTTTGTAATTTTCATCTAATAATATCAAAGAACCTCAAAATATTGAATTTGATATTAACAATTGTAATTAGGACGAATCTAAAATATTTGAATAATAAAACCTCCAAGTAACTAAACTTCAAGAATTAAAATAAAATGAAAAAAATTAAAAAGAAGTAAATAAAAATTAAATTGAAGAAGACTAATTGTAAGAATCATCTAACAGTGATTAACAGGAAATCCCTCAAGAAATACAAAATAATATTTTACCTAAATAAAATTTTTCTTAAATAAAAAATTTTAAATGAATAAATAATTCAGAATTTGTAATATTAAAAATCATTTTTCTATTAAAAAAATAATATCTTTAAATTTATGCATAAATTTTAATTTATATTTTAAAATTAATTTTTTTCATAATATCGATTAGTTTATAACAAACTTTAGCATCTCAAAATAATTAACAGCTATTTATAAAAATATTTTTTATTAGTAAATTTGATTTTTTATTTTTAATATTTTTAAGAACTTTTAATGAAAATTTTCAAAATAAAAAAAAATATGGTATAAATTAAAAACCATTCAAACAATATTTTGCTGTATCATAAATAAAATTAAGTCTTAGTTAATTAGGAGTGATATAAATTATTTATTATTTTTATTTTAAATATTTTTCTATGGTAGAATCTGTTTTTTTATTTAGTTTTGTTTGTTATTTTTATTGATAAATAATTCAATTCGTTATCTGATCAATAATAATTAAAAGTAGAAGCAAACTAGTAATATTAATGTTGAAGAAATTAGATTTTTTTGGAAGTTAAATCTAGTTAAGATTTAATAGAGAACCAACATATAAATCTTAAATAGGATCTATTATTACCATTTTAATTATTGTATTCATAAGTTTTCGTTTTATTACTATCCTTTTATCAGTAATTAGTAGAAAGAACCCTTTCATAATTTAGACTTAGAGGCAAGTTGATAACCCATCTCTTTTTGTAGCAACTAGCAAATCATTTCCTATGGCCTTTGCACTTGAGAATTTGGATAGTTAGTATTTTATTGATGAACAAATATATACTGTCTCAGCAGAAATGTACTATAGAATTTAAATTTTTAATAATACTTCTTAAAAATATGATATTGTTTAGAATATTTCCAATATCAAAGTTTAACCATGTACAATAGATAACTTCTAAAATCCTGATAATGCCAAATATTATTTAAATCTTGATTATAAAAATATGTATTGCTTTTCTCCAGACTTTTAACTAGATATCTAAGGTGATTTTCCATCTCTAATATTCTCATACGCAACAATTAAGTTTCATAAATGCTAAATAAACTGTAAATCTGAGGATATAATCAACTAATACTTACAAAAAAATTATGTTGGGCTTTAGCTTTCAGATGCTTATGTGGATATTACTAACAAAGATAATCCTTTTTAAATGTATTCAAGAGACATGTTTTGGCCTATTAGCTCATAACAATAGAAAGATGTTAGAATATATATTAGAAATAATTATGTCTACAGTGATTTTGGTTGGTTTTTTTCTGATACAATAACTTAAAAGTTCCCTTCATATAGTCATTAAGATATTGATGTAACAAATTTTTACTAAAACTTAATGAATTCTCTATTTTTAAAGTTAATTTAATTATTTTTAATGTCAAAATATACCTTAATCCCTTGATTATTTTTTATTTGTTTGAATAAAAAATTTTTAAAAACCATTTAAAAAAGTGATAGCCCCCTCTCGTTTATTATTAATATTTTTACAATTAAATTGAAAAAATATGGTAATTAAAAATTTTTTTAATTATTTAATATCAATTAAAAATTAAAAATATTTTAATAAACTTAATATTCTGATAAATAAAGGTACTTCCAAGTTAGTAATCTGATGATTATTTTCTTAGTGTAATATTTAGATTAGAAAAATAATAGGAAAATGTTTATAAAAGGTCTTATTTGGATTTTATTGGAATTATATCTCAAATTGGTGGATTTGCGTAGAGCCTTTTAGTTATAGGGTATTTAATCTGCAGTAAAATCTCTTAATTACAATTAAATTAAAGCATTATCAATTAGATATTCAACTATGAGGAATCAGAAACACAAAACAATTTTTAAAAATAATTTTAAGAATTTAAGTCTGAAAAATAATAGGATCAAAAATAACAAATCTAATAATCTCCAAAGGAATATTAAGTATAAGAGATAAATTTAAATTAAAATACTAAAAATAGTTTTAATTAAGAGATATTTTAAAAAAATAAATTTAACTACTAAAATAATAGTAATATTTCTATTGATTCACATTCATTTAAGTAAGAAAAATTAAAAAAATCAAGTCAAAAATAATAATCAAATGAAAAATATGCTTCATAAGCTCCTAGTTTTATGAAATAAAAGCATTTAATTATTAAACAAATAGGGTCTTAATTAGAAAGTAGCGGAAAGCAACTTAATTAATAAGGTAAAAATATACGCAGTAAGTCAATTTTAAATAAATATTTATAGGATGAAATTTATGATTAATAAAGTATATCTCAAAGCACCAAATTAAAAAATAACTCTAATTTACTAAGTAAATAAACAAACAGCCCAAAGAAATATCAGAAAAAAGTTGAAAAATAATTTTCAAAACTTTTTAATTAATAAACAAAGAGCATGAAAATGAGTCTTTGGTAGTATTTTTTATCTTATTTTTGTCCTTTTGGCAAGCTCAAATAAAAGAAAAAAATAATTTAATATAGCATGGACAAGCTTTATCAAAATTTGGATATTTTACAAATTTTAAAGAAACTTCTAGAAGTTGAAAAGCTAAAGAGACTGCTTTTAGATCCAGATTAAATAAAGCTGTTAGACTATTTACCTAAACCAACAATACATTTGGATCTAGTTTTAAACAAATAATCTACAGAAAATATTTACAAAAATAAAGAAATAAATTTACTGTATTAAGATAATAGATCTGAAATGTAAAAGGCTAAAGATGCATTTGAAGCTTATAAAAAAATTTAAAATAAAAAAAATTTTTCTTTACTAGACTAAAAACTAATTGATATGCTAGACTAAAATTTAGTTCAAATTTTTGAAGCTCAAAACGAAAATTCTAGCCCTTAGCATTAACATACTAAATCTAATTAGTAATCACAATAGCACTCATATAATTTTTCACCTGTCTCCAATTTTTAAAATTAAAAATTAAAAAACTTAGATAATATATCATCTGAAATAATTTATCATTAAGATTCTAATAATTTTTTTATGAAGAGGCATAATGATTCTAAATAGTTAGAAATTCAAAATGTATAGTTTTCTGATTAAAAATAAATCAATAATAACAGGAATAGTAGAATAAAAAATGATAAATTTACTTTACATTAGAACTGCACCATTAATAGCGAAAAAGAAGTTGAAGTAGCATAAGAAAATTTTTACAATAATTTATAAAATCAATTGGAAAATTATAAAATAACTTAAAAATGAAAGCTAATTTCTTAAAATTTGTATTATTTTATTTTTAAATATATATTAAATTAGATTAAAATATAAATGAATTAAAAATTATTTCAATTTTATTTAAAAATAGTGAAAGTTATTATGATTTTTTACACTAAGTTATGATATTTACTAAAAAATTAATTTTATTTAATAGCTGAAATAAAATATTCCTTAAAATTTAATTATTTAGTAATATTTGATGTGAATTCATGAATGTATATATTTTCCTTTAAGTACATTAAAACGGCTTCAGTGTTCTCTAAAAAGTAAAAATATAATTGGACGATATTTTATTTAACTTATTATTTATAAAATATATAATAAATAAATAAATACGAATGATATTAATGCTCCTAAAGTTATGAAGAGCAATATTATTCTAATTTACTCAAAATAATTGTGAATTGTTACAAAATTTATTATCAGAATAAAGTAATGTGAAAATATATAAGGTCTTTTATCACACTTTTGAATTTAAACTTGTTGTATTTATTGCCAAGATTTGTAATAAATTAATAAAATTGTCACTACTATTGAATATAATTTAAATTCACTCTAAATTTTACTTAGATTGACATATTTAAGCATTAATTAATTCAATTCACATTTAACAAAACCATCTACATTCAGGAGATCGATAAATAAAAATATATTTTTGATAATTTTTTAACTAATAGGTAGTAAGTAGCCTTCGTTAAGAAAAATACGTGATTATATTAAAATAATAAAATATTTTTGCATTAAAAACAATATTGGATTTTTTTTATTTGGAATATTTTAGTTTACATCATAAAAATACAATTTACATTACATTTATATTCATATTATATAGATATATTAAATTAAGTTATTATCATTATTGCACTTACTTTTCATATAATCAAATTTATTAAAATAGCTTAGACTTTATCTGTAGTTTTTAATTTTTAATATTTTTTATAAAGAGATTTCTATGTGGTATTAATTATTACTATATATTTTTAATAATTTTAGTCACTTTTCTTTGTTACATTAACTATAATTATATTTACCTAATTAATTTTATGTATTATTTGAAATTAGCCTAAATATAATTTTGGTTGATGGATTCAAATGTTTTCAAAATATTTTTACGTTAATTGTATTTTAAACTAATAATAATTTAAAATAAATATCCTAAATTAATTGAATATTTCTTTTAATATTTGAGTTTCATATAATTTTTCTCATTATTACTGAAATATGATGAAATAAATTAAAAATATTTTTACATTTAAAAAATAACTAATATTAAAATATCTTAAGAGAGTAAATACTTATCTACTTTAAATTTAGAATAAATAATGAAAATATGTTATAAAAATGCGCTAAAAAAATTTTAAATTTATTTTTAGCAAATATCAAATACATAAAAAAAACATTGTATTTATTATCCTTCTTACTTACTTATAAACTAATTGTATTTTTTAACTAAATATTTATCAAAGATTTAAATTTCCGTTTAAAAAATTCTTAATTTTTTACTAGAAATAATAATGGTTGGTTTACAGAGTTATCAATATATTTCACTATAAAAAAATAAATCCATTTAGATTTAGGAAGATTAACTCAGCTAAATCTTTGAATTCTAAACAACAATTACTTTTAACATTAAAAAAGAATTCACTAAATTAGGGGATAAAACGAACTTAAAATTAAATTAAAAATATTAAATCAAGTTATTAAAAATACAAATCTAAAAAACAAAATCAAGACAAACAGTTTGAAGTAAAATATGTTCTAAAGAATCGATCTTTTTGGAAGTAAGATCAATTTAAGATTTTAAGGAAACCAATCGTACTAATCCAAAATTGGGTCTATAGTTAGTCTTTTCATAATAGGCTTAATTCTTTTTCGCTTAACTTAGATAATTTTATCTGTCATCCTTAGAGAAAACCCTTAAGTAATTTTTAGTGAAAGACAGGTTAACGATCCTGATATATTTTATGCAACAAGTGAAACCTTTCCGATGGCTTTTGGGATGGAGAATCCATATAATAATGAATATTATATAGATGAAGGTATTTACAACATAAAAGCTTAATGGAAGTAAAAATTACTAATATTTAACTAAACTACTTAATAAAATGATATATTATGGAAGTAACAAGACCTAAAAATACAACCTTGTACAATTGAAAACTTTAAAAATCCAAATAATAAGAATTATTATCTACTTCTTAACTATACTAACATGTATTGCCTTTCACCTGAAAGTGTTTTAGCTATTTAAGGAGATTTTTAATCTTAATAGTATTCTTATATTGAATTAAAGGTTTAGCCTTGTTAGAAAAATTGTAAATCTGCAGAATAACTCAATAACTATTTACTTAAATCAAGTTTCGGTTTATAACTTTCTGATGCTTTTGTAGATCCTTCAGAAAAAGAATACCCTTTCAAGATGTATTCAAGAGATATGTATTGGCCTACCAGTAATCTGATGCCGAAAGATGTAAATGTATATATCAGAAATAATTACGTTTACAGTGATTTTGGTTGGTTTGGTTCAGACATAATTACATAGAGATTTCCTTCTTTCAGTTTCTATGAAGACACTGTAAAAATTCCATGACTCAATTTTTGTTTATAAATTAAAAATCAATCTTTAAAATTCTCAAATTTTTATTTTTTATTTTTATAAAATCCAACTAAATTTAAAAATATCTTGATAAAAATTAATTGTAATCCATAATTTTCTATTAAATCAATAGGTTTATCCTCCTAATTTCCAAGATTATTTCATAAGTGTCAAATTCAGATTTGAAAAATAGAAAGAAAGTGTCTACAATAGGTCTTATAAGAATTTTATGGGAATATTATCAGATATAGGTGGTTTTTCTTAAAGTTTAATGACTATAGGATTTCTAATTACCTATAAAGTGTCTTAGCTACAATTAAATTAAAGCATAATCAATTAGTTATTCAACTATGAAGAATCTTCTGATAAAAAATAAACCAACTAAAATATTAGAAATGATTTAAAAAAATCATCATTTATGAGTCAAAAAAAAATGAATATTTTACCTTAATCAATATAATTTACAAATAGAAGCAAAAAAACAAATTTTTATTAAGTTGATTCTAATGTCTAGTTAAATCTTAAAAAAGATTCAGAATCTAATTTAACTTTAAAACAGGAATCAGAAAAATATCATAATTCAACAGATACATCAAAATTTAATATACAAAAGTAAAGAACAGACTCCAACAATACAAACAGAACTCGTTTTGGTAGTGGCCAAATAAAAAAAAATTAATCAGATAAAAATTTGCCCAAAAATATATATAAAAGTAAACATATATAATCATTACATAGCATCAGAACTATTTTAGAGGATAATGATGAAAAACAAACGAGAGATGATAAATAAACATTAAATAAAATATTGCATGAAGATTTAGAAAAAGAGACAATAAGCAATGCTTTAAATCCTACAAATTTGGGAATTCGCAAAAGCTCATATTAAAAATTGTTCATTTAAAAATAGAAAAATCAATAAAAAATATAAAAAGTAGTTGAAAAACAATTTGATAAACTTATGAAAAAGGAAACAAATAGTATGAAAATGAGTGTTTTCGAATATTTTGTATCCTTAATTTTCCCTTGTGGAAGACTGAGAAAGAAAAAGCAAGTAATTGACTACAGCATCGAAAAATTATACCAGAATCTGGATATTTTTTCAATATTAAAAAGGCTGATTGAGGTCGAAAAATTAAAGAGATTGCTTTTAGATCAGAATCAAATAAAATTATTAGATTATCTACCTAAACCAACGATCCATTTAGATTTAGCCTTAAATAAAGATTTAAATCACAGCAATTAAAAAAATTAAGAAATTAATTTATTGTATCAGGACAACAGATCTGAATTGTAAAAAGCTAAAGATGCCTTTGAAGCTTACAAAAATATTTTAAGTAAAGATAATTTCTCTGAATTAGATGAAAAGTTGATAGATATGCTTGATCAAAATTTAATATAAATTTTTGAAGCATAAAATTAGAACTACACTAATACCAATACAAATACAAACACACAATAATAACAGTAACATTAGTAAATTATAGATTTGACTATAGTTTAGTCACCTTCTCTGATAAATGAATAATAAATTATGTAGTTTTCATCTAATATCAAAGAACCTCAAAATATTGAATTTGATATTAACAATTGTAATTAGGACGAATCTAAAATATTTGAATAATAAAACCTCCAAGTAACTAAACTTCAAGAATTATAATAAAACGAAAACAACTAAACAAAAGTGGATCAAAATTAAATTCAAAAAGACTAATTGTAGGAATCATCTAACAGTGATTAACAGGAAATCCCTCAAGAAAAATAAAATAATATTTTACCTCAATAAATTTTATCTATAAGAAGAAAATTTAAATGAATAATATATAAATATTTGTAATATTAAAAGTGATTTTTCTATTTAAAAAATAATAAAATCTTTATATTTAAGTATGTATGTTTAATTTATGTTTTAAAGCAAAAATTTTTTCATAATATTGATTAGTATATAACAAACATTTATATCTCAAAATAATTAATTTAAGAAATAAAAATTAGACAACTCTTTAAAAATTTAATATGTAAATCAAAGTAAAATAATAAAAATACTACTGTTAATAATTATATTTTTTATTAAAATTTTTGAAAAATATTAATTGTAATCAAAAATTTTTTGTATGTTAAAAATTAAAAAATTTTAACTAACTCTGTTCTATATATTCAATTTTTTATTTTTATGAATTTTTTAATAAACATATTCAAAATTTTAAAAAACATGGTATAAATTAAAAATTATTCAAAATAACTTTGCACTATTATTAATAAAATTGAGTCTTAATTCATTAGGCGTGATATAAATTATTTATTATTTTTTATTTTTAATAATTAATTATCAAAGGTATAATTTTTTTATTTATTTATTTATGCATATTAATTTGATTGATAAATAATT